TTCTTTCTTTCAAACATTTTCTACATAAATAGGCTACCAAACATGTTGTGCACTAAAAACATGATGCATTGAATTTACTTGACTCAACTGTGTAGCTCATTAGCACATGGATGTAATATATTATTACATCAGCACAGTTATTGCTATGAGTAAGTAAACTAAAATCCAAAAGTGTATTGACATTATATATTTTATTCATGTGGAAATGGTGTTCACAGCTAAATCAAGTAAATTCAGTGTTTCGCTATTTTCAGTGTATACCGCAAAGTAATGTCCACATCTTGCATTATTAGACATACAATGTAAAACAAGACTAAAGAGACTGCATTGTTGATGCATTTATGCTCAGTTGTACATTCACCAACAGACATCAGAATGCATTAATAATAAAAAGATATCTAAATAATCTGAAAACGCTGCAAAAGAGTCATGAGATTTTCAAAGGACAAGAATGGGAGGGACAATGAGAAGACTGAAGCAGTGAAGGTAAAAGTGAGTTCCAGATCATCAGAAGAGCAACAGAAGGCAGCATTCACAGATTACTTTGACCATTTGTTTAAATAACCACAGCACTAGACACTAAAATAGCATTCCCATGTCATTCCCACTGCCGTACTGTGATGGTCCACCATCGGACAAATATGTGATCAGTCTGATCACTTGTAGTCCTATGGAGGTCCATTCCATGGATGGACAAGGTAGAAGGAGGCTGACAAATAATGCAGCAACAGATGGGCTTCAGTTAATTACTGAATAAATATACTGTAAATGGGTGATGTACCAGAAAAAAACATAGTAGACAACAAACCTGTGTGTAGCCATGAAGATTCCAGTCATTTTCCATGACACTAAATTGTGACAGGTTGTATTAGCCATGAAGAGGGTTGTCACTGAATAGATGAGACTTGGAAATGAACTTTGTAAAGTTAAAATGAGTTTACACTGCCCTTGTTGAACTAGAGTTTTTTATTATGAAAAGGACACTTTGCTGGTCATTTCATTTCAGCATTGCACAATATCTCTCTCTCTCTCTCTTTCTCTCTCTTTCTCTCTCTCTCTCTCTCTCTCTCTCTCTCTCTCTCTTTCTCTCCCCCTCGCTCTCTCTTTCTCTCTCTCTCTCTCTCTCTCTCTCTGTTACAAGTTAATTATCTCTCTTTCTCTCTCACTATCTCTCTCTCTTTCTTGCTGTCTTTTACTAACACACATTAATCACCTCTCTTGCTCACTCTTTCTGTATCTAACATACATTAATCACCTCTCTCTCTCTCACTAGTCTACATCGAGGACCTGGCACGGAGTGTAGAGCAGAGCCGACGCCTCATTATTGTACTGACCCCCGAGTTTGTGGCTAGGCGAGGATGGAGCATCTTCCAGCTGGAGACTCGGCTGCACGGCATGCTGGTGACGGGCGAGATCAAGGTCATTATGATCGAGTGCACTGATCTGCGCAATGTCATCAACTACCAAGAAGTGGAGGCGCTGAAGCACACCATCAAAGCTCTCTCTGTTGTCAAGTGGCGAGGGCCCAAGAGCAACCAGCTCAAGTCCAAGTTCTGGAAGCAGGTGATCTATGAGATGCCGACGAAAAAAAAGGAGACTCTGTCTCGCCGGCAGGTGCTAGACTCGGGCGAGCAGGGTCTCTTTGGTGACCTGCAGGCTGTATCCACCATCGCCATGACGACCACCTCGCCTTCAGTGGCACCTACCCATGCTGATATCCCAGACTTTAACCAGTCCAGCCACCCGCAAATGCGACACTTCTGCCGGAGTTACGAGTATGAAATGCCGGCCTCAACACTACAAATAGCCACGCTCAGCAATCGCCACATGTACTGCAATATCCCCATGACGCTGCTCAATGGACAGGTGATGCAAAATAATACCGGTGGAAAGGCCAAGCAGGAGATTCACTTGAACAGCACGTTCGTCCCGCTGTCTGGCCGAGAACTGACCAGTGACATCTGGTAGAAATCTTACCAGCAATATCCCCCGAGTTCCACCCTTTTTGTTTTTGCTCTTCCTTTCCTTTAATCTGCATGAGGATTAAGTTGATTCAAAAACAGACTAAAGACATAATGTTTTTTTCTCTTTCTCTTTCTTTCCGAATCTTTAATTAGCCATGTTATTTTTCCTTTTGTTAGCCAAAAAAAAGACACAAAAAACCTAATATGGATATAATTTTCCTACTTGAATTTCTCCTTTTTGGAGATGGAGTAATAAAAAGACCTTGTTTTTCACATTCAAGGTGTTGATGTAATGTACAGTTTCATATCTGCTAAAAAAAAAACATTCAAGATGACTCCTTAATATTGGTGTGTAAGTTGAGTGGACCCACATTCAAAGGTTTTTTTTTCAGGTGAATGACTGCTTTGGTCATTGCATCACAATTATGTAAAGGCAGTTGGAACACATTCATTGTGAGCTTTAAAAAAGACATTACAATATATTTAAACAAATAAATCATGTTTAAATTTACAAAAAAATATTGTGTTTGTTTGAAGCCTAAATATGGATATCTGAGTATTTGATGCAAATACAGTTTGCTTGATCTTCTGTTAGTCAAGTTTGCTGTCTTCTCTTTGAGGACTTAAAATCAAGTTTAATTGAAACTTTCTGTCTAATCATGTTTTATCAAAAGCTTGCTCTTTTGTTTGTTTGTTTGTCTGACTGACCTTCCACATGTCCCTTGTATCAGACACAAGAATCCAAAATTATATCAATCAATTATATTGATTTTATTACAAATATTATTCTGTGCACTTTCATAGCATTTGTATGTCATGACACCTCTATCAGAAAGCATTGACCCTCATGAAGGGCCTCTGGTGTAAAATGCATTCTGTAGCCAACACTGATAATGAGATTTTTAAAAAGACACCAAATTCTCTTGGTGATTTCATGTCATCTTTTCATGGCTTGATAATGTCATTTTATACTCCAGAGACAGTGCTTCCATGCCTCTCTACAAGACATTATATGTCAAAGTTCTGGAGAGACAATATTTTGTACATGGACATGTATTTATACAGCATACTTTGGACAATCAGTATGACTTTATTGCATGGAAAAAAGGTTCCTGAAAAGAAGCAGCAGACTCAAAAACTTGGGATAATCATAACTCAATAGCACCATCTAGAGACAATAAATAGGCATTGTGGCCATCACAAAGCATGATATTACTATTTTTATTATGAAAATGATCACTATTAATAGTATTATTTTCATTAAACATTTTAATGTGTATCCCTATTAATCTATTTGAAGTAGACAGTATTTAGACTAACAGTTTAACTGACTTTGTTATATGTTACATACTCTCATTTTTCTGTGCAATAAAAGCTCATGGCAAAGTGTTCTTTAATCCATAACAACAGAAGAAGATAACCAATCATTGGTTATTAAAATAATGAAGTTTTCTCTTTATATTTTTGGTCTTGGCTTTTTCCTTGCAATATATGATTTCTCTGTTAAGATGACAGATACTGTAATGTACAGTGTACACATATTGTTGCTGTCAGAACAAAAACTTGTATCACTTGTTTAACATGATTTAAAAACACTAGCTGACCTTTGCATTGTGTTTTGGTGAACTGACCAGGAGAAATGGTCCACAATTACATCTTTTTACACAAATTCTTTTTACATTAACTATCTATCTATCTATAATCATTTAAGAAAGTTTTTTTCATCTCTTGTAAAGTTTTGTGACAGCGACAATATATTAATACACATAATATGTGATATCCCACATACTACTTTTAAACTCTTTGAGATTCAAGTATTTATTTCTAACTTTACAGTTGGGGCTTTTGACAGCTGGAAATAGGGGAAGTTATGATGTTTTTATAACTTGGTCCAGTCAGGAGCCTAGCAGGTCAAGAAAACAAGCTTGTGATCACACACAGGAAACTATAAAAATCTCAGTGAAAGATTGGTGCATCTAAGCATGGTATTTTTATGAGTATTTTGCTGTATAACCTCGATGCAACCCAAAAGGGACGATGTTTGAGATTATTTCACTATACTGTCCTCCTGCTATGTCCTTCAAACAGATTTGAGACATCATATCATCATGCTCCGCAAAATAACCAGACATACCGGCTTTTTGCCTGATAAACACTCAGAAAGTAGCTTATCAGTTTACACTAGGCCTGCTTTGCCTCATTGTGCAAAATTGCAGACATGGTTGCTTAGTCCTGTGGTTGATGAAAATCAGTTTCTAACCAAATTTAGCATAATGAAGTATAGTAATACTATGAGCATTTCTATAGGACTACTATATAGGAATCTTACAAGAAATTATATAGAAACAATATAGTTCGCTAAAGGGCACTATAGATTGCTATAAGAAGACACTTCATGAATACAAAACGGAGGTAAAAGCAGTATAGATTATTATAGAAGTATAGAGCACGGTAGGAGTCTTAAAAGTGTCTTATCGTATTACTACAGTTCTTTTTCGTAATATTGTTTTAAAGCTATGCCATCCTTTGCTAACTCATAATGTCATAAGTTCTGTCCGCGCTTCGTTTCAATAAAGGCTCCTCTGTAGCCTGTACACAGTGGCCCTGTTTAGAGGTCAGCTGTTGCTCGGGCTGGATTTCTCCAGGCTTGGGTCACGGAGAGAAGGAGAATGACAGTCATGAAAGAGGTTTATTCACTAACCACATACTGTGTATGACCCGCTACAGTTCCAGGGACTGGAAAAGACAGGTTTATCTGATTCTAGCACCTTTTAAGTTAACGGTGTCAACCGGTAAATCTCAAAACAGAAAAGGAAAAAACGACAATTGCAAGCAGTTAACCTACAACAGTCACAAGAAGCCAACTATATTAGCCCAACCAAAATAGAGAAGATGTTCATTAGCGTAGCTTTAGTAACGTTATCGTCGAAACTTTAGAAGCTTTCAAGTGCTGTCATCATCTTTCAAGGAGGATAGCCGAGCGTTTTCTAAGAAAACAGCTGAAATGTGCTTTCATAGGCAGAGGAGGGGGCACATTTTCGGTTTCCTGAGCGTGTTCCGGGTTTCGCTGGATGAGAGACCAGTGTTTGTCTACAGTCTCAGAGAAGAACGAATGGACAGACACACTGACGGCGCTAGCTTTCTTTGAAAAGTTAGAAAAGTTAGTTTGTCTTTTTAACACGGAGAGGGACTTGTTAAAATGGCAAGAGACTGCGTTGCAAGGAGCCTGGACAACATTGACCTCTCTGCTTTACGGGTAAAAAGATGTTTGTCGTCAGCTACAAATGCTAACATTTTAGTGTTTTGTGTTTTCCAGTAAGTAACTACCGATAACATTCTTTGTTTACGAAGTTTCCCCCAACAAGACAGTAAAGATGTCGATAAAATTAGGGCATGTCAAGTTTTGACCGCTATAGGCTCTAGCTACTTTGTCTTTGTCAGATAAAAAAAAAACGTTATATGTCACTGCAAGTTCTTTTACTGGTGACAGAAGTAGCAGCAGTAGTCCTAAAATAGCCATTTTCGTCCATTTTTCTCCCCGCCTTATTTTTAAGTATACTATCATAATTACAGGCCAGTAGTTGGCTTTGATGTGCAAACAGATGATGTTTTGTTATGGTTGGTATTGCCATTTTTTCACTCTCCTCCTTGATGTCTGTTTTACCTTCCTGCAAGTTTTACCTCTAGCCCAAATATTACATCTCAAATCCAGCTAAGCTAAACTCAGCGGGGTGGATTATCTCTAGTGATCTTGGTGACCACTATTGTATATGAAAGTGTAGCAAAGTCTGATGTATGTTCACTATAATGTGTGGTATCACAATCATTATGATGTTTGCAGACATCATGCACGCAGTTTATCAAGGGACATTAAATGCCCTAGGCTACTGAATGGCCCAGTTTAACAAAATATTCTCAGTATTCTCACTTACTCAACGTTATGTCCCTTTTCATTTTAGGACCCTGCTGGGATATTTGAACTTGTTGAGGTGGTCGGCAATGGAACATATGGTCAAGTTTATAAGGTTTGTGTAACTGTTTCTATATTCCTCGTGACCTAGTGTCAGTCTCTACATAGCGGTTTGTGATGTAGCTCTTGAAGCTGGCGCTGCCAATTCAGGATTGCCTAAATTAGGTCTGTGTCTAGAACATTATAACCTACAGACAACATACACATCCTGAACTGAGCTCTCAATAAATTGAGATCCTGGAAGCGAATTTTTATACCAACTGAATGTATTTTGTTTTTACATTTAATCGCTTACTAGACTTCTCAGATTTCAGCCCTTCTTTAAACATTGGTAATTTACTAGATACGTGTTTAGTGATCAAGAGTCATATGAATAGGGAAAAACTGGGGCCAAGAGGTCTTTACCCATTTCTAAACCTTTTAAACTAACATTATTTTCACACCGTTATGCTCCACATTATTCACTATACCTTAGTGTATCACTATATTCAATATGCATATATAGCTCTGACATTTAATGTAACATTTCACAATTAGCATCTTTTTCATAATCATAGTCAGGTACATAGAAATGAGTGACCTGCTAAAAATAACAGTCACATGCATAACAAATATTTGTTGTACAAGATGGCCCCACATCCTTGTTTTAGATGAGTATACAGTTCTGTGCAAAAGTCTGAGGCACCTTTAGCACATTATTAGTGACATGCAACACTGTTATTATCTGATGGTATGTTATTCTTCTTCCTTTTGGTTCAGATGTTTTTTTGTCCACTAACCCATCCTGCAGTTTTCAGGATATTGAGTTCCAACTCTAGAGTTTTCGGTCTGTTTGGGAATGGTGTGCTTGTGTACAGCTCTTTGATCGGCCAGGCAGTATTTGTGCAATTATTTTTGAATGATGTTTTTTTCCCCATAGGAATGACTGGGGTGCTAAAGTTTGTGCACCCATCTATGTCATGTTAATAAAAGTCCATAAGAAACATTCTATAAACCTTAGCAACACTGTAGCAACCACCTGGGATACCATACCAACACCTTTGCAACCACTTAAAATACCATAGTAAACACTTGGCGACACCCTAACAACCACTAACTGTTTGGCAACACCCTAGCAACCACCTGGGAACTGCTTAAGCTGCACTGTTCAGATTTCTCCCTGATGCCCCCAGCCATTGCATGGATTTGTTAAACTCCATCATTGCACAGTTGATTTAACATCAAGAAGGACGAATTAGCAAACCCGGTACTAGAACTACAAATAACGCTGGGCTGCCACAAGCAGAGCTTTGGAAATGATTAAATGAACACATCGACATACATAAAAAAAACTACTTAGTGTGTTAATTTTATTTATATTTATATGCATTTATATTTATTGCAATATTAGTGTTTGTGTCTGAGCAAATAAACACTCACTGTCTAGGTAAATCAATTAAGTTGGACAACTCTATTGTGCACTGCATTTGTGTATTTGCTTTTGTGTTGATCTTTTTTACTTCATTTAAAGTGAGCATATATATTTTACTGGCCCTAATGAGGAAATGAACCAGGACACTCCATTTTTATCCCCTGATCAACTCATCACTTCTGAAATCACTGTGGTAGATTCTCATAATCAGTAAAGATAAGTACATTTAGGTGATCAGAATTTTGTAGAAGTTTAGCATTGTCTCAACTGTCCATAAAATGGAAAACAGAACTCTCATTTCTTTGAGTAAAAAGTACATCCAAGCCAAGAACCATTTAGGTGTCTTTATTTTTAAGAGTGCATAACTCTTATGAATATATAATTTTGCCTCTGATCATGTTTTGACCCAACTGCTTGCTCGTCTCAATTTGCCTAGCCCAGCTGATGTAAATGTAATTGTTTTTTTTGTTTGTTTGTTTGTTTTGTTTTTGTTGGTTTAACAGTGAAGCATGAATTTCAAATATTTAGTGAGCTCTTTGCTCACTAATTAATATTTTGTGAATCCTAAGTGCCAAAAAATTCAAGTTCTATTTTTCAAGTTGCCCACATTCAGTTTCAAAAAAGAGAATATGGGTAAAGGTCAAGAGTTCAGCCTTTAAAAGAAAAATAGAAGAGTCCACTATCCAATGTTGCCTAAACTTCAAGATCAAAATTAGAAACACTTCATTGTGAAGTATGGCAAGCATACTAGGAATTTGCTTTGGCGTTGTGGAGTGTGACCACCACCATGCAAGAACAGTAGTGTGTAATGAATATTCCTTCATACTTCAGACAAAAAAGAAACTGACTTGCTGAGCAGTGGGACACTGCTGGACACATTTCCAGTAGTGCAAAGACTATGATAGATTGTGTGTACGTAAATGACATGGATTAGATGGTGAATCCTGAATTTTGAATTTTACAAAGCACTCTATGATGGGCTAAGAGATTAAAATATACTGTAGCATTCTGTCTTCAGTAGCTGGGGAATTGGTAATATTAGTGAGCAATCTGTTAAGATAAACAAATAGAGTATACAGCAATGAAAAAGTTAAACCTAGATTTAAAATATGTAAAGTTTATTATATCTCATCATGTTATTCAGTAACTACTTGAAGTATTCAAGACACTGTGTATTATGGAATATATATTTAGCCTAGTATTGTCTGATTTGGTCTTAAATAAAATGCAGTGAAGGCTGTGGTCATCAGTCAGACTTGGATCGGTCTCCTGGGCATGGATTGAGTCTAGTCTTGGACTAAATTGCAATGCATTGGTAATTCACCAATTAAAATCAATTTTAAGTATATTTTGGCTTAATAGTTTCATGGAAAAAAACTAATTTACCCAGTTCTTTCACTTGCTATAGATTGATCAATCTAGACATATTTTGAGTCCAAATTTTGCCTCTTTAGATGCCAGTGTTTCCAACAAACACTAGAACTCAACAGTCACCCAAATAGACCAAATAGTTTCATGTAAAAATACATCCCCAAAACCGCACCCAGGTCTTCATGTTCATTAAGACTTGCTGATGTAGTGTACGGCACAGTATGATTTCTGTGGGCTGTAAAAATGAACATAACTTCACTACAAAGGGCAGCCATTACAGACAACACCAGAGCTGAAATTTTAAAGCAAGACTGATCTTGGATCAAATTTCTCAATGTTTATGATGGTCATTGTCACAAATACTGAATCTACCCAATACCTGAGGTGGTTTGTGAATACAGACCCTGTTGTCTAATGTGGGTGCCCACGTTATTTTTTTCTTTTTTTGTACTCCATAGGAAGTCATACTGTTTTCTAAACCACACTGATGAGTCTGTGCAACCTTAATGCAGACATAGGTGCAGTTTGTGCGGGTTGAAAGAAGTTGTAGTGATGTATTTTTATTTTTTTTTGTCCAGAAATGACTTGAGCTGTTTTGGTGACTATTGAGTTCTAGTGTTTGTTAGCAATGTTAGCCTCACTGCTCCAGTTGCAGTTAACAAAAAAAGACTAACAAAATTTGGACTCCATACATGTCTTAGCCAATTGACTACATCTAGGTTAAGTGGAAAACTGTCAAAAATTTGACATTCTTCCAAACCATTTCTTTAATCTGGTCTAGATTGTGCACCTATTGTGAGATTCTAGCCAAGTGAAAACCTGCACCAAAACAGTGCCTTGCATCTGCTCTTTCTTACGCTCTTGAAAATCATGCTGTTCTCTTTTTCTGACCTGGTACTTGAACTTTGATATCTATCAACACCTTTCATATACCAACAGACAGTGACTCTTGAGTGTGGTTTTGGATATACATATTTCACACCCTTTGGGTGGAGCTAGCTTTCTCATCAAAGTTAAAAATAAATTTAGTCTGTCTCCCAAAAAAGGAAGTGTGTTGTCATCTAGCTGGCATCATAATACAGGTTTTACGATTTTCTCAGGGACCTGATTATTTGCAATTTGGGTTATTACCATCAGCGCGGATGCCTTAAATTTTGCAATTGTCTTACCAGTAAGGAAATGTGTCAAAATACAATGTAAGACAAAAGAAACACTGTAGAGAGAAAAGATGACTTTGCTATTGTGAAATTGTAGTGAATGTTGCATAAGCCATCCGAGTCAGGTACCACAGTATTTTATTCTATTTACATAGCTTAGAATTAGAATAATATTTATTGTGTTTAGAACTTCACTGTGTAAGTCATTATTATGAATTAACTCCAGGCAACAAATGTGCATATGCAGTGTATAATTTTTCAATATGTGGCTCAATTGTCCCTTTTTCATTTTCTCTTTCTTGCATTCTCCCAAAGCCTTTCACTTATTGGACTTATTTAGTGAACAATAGAATATCCTCCCCGGAACCAAACAAAGCTGTTTTAGTGTTTTCTCTCTCTCTCTCTCTCTCTCTCTCTCTCTCTCTCTCTCTCTCTCTCTCTCTCTCTCGCTCTCTCTCTCTCTCTCTCTCTCTCTCTCTCTCTCTCTCTCTCTCTCTCTGTGCATGTGTGCGTGCATGTCTGTGTACGTGCGTGTATGGCTAGAGGTTCTTCTAATATTTATAAAATTTTATATCACAATATTTTTCAAGTGCATCACAGTTTGGTTAAGTTTAGATTTACAATAGTACATTTGATTAACTTAATGCTACAAGAATGGCATACACATTCAAAATTGTTTTGATTTAACTGTTTTCTTCTCTCAAAACCTTACATTGTTGTAATATTAACCAGACAGAAACAACATTTCCGGATATTAAACTTGAAACCTAAACCTACAGTACACTACCAGTACTCACAAAATATCTTGCTCTGGTTTTGTCATAATTCTAAAAACCAGACTAAATAAAATTAAACTCTTCCTTTTTGCAAAATAACTAAAACCAATAATGCACTCTTAAAACTAACTGAAACTAACTGAAATTGAAAACTAAAATAAAAAATTTATTGCAAAGTAATGACATCAAAAAACTAAACTGAACCGTTCTGAACTATATGAAACTAATATAGGATTACACTTAACTAAGCTAAGCTGATGTGTAATATTAAACTAAACTAAAATGAACGGTTCTAAACTAGCAGGAATGAGTCAGAATTATTGTATTTTGTATAGTCATGAAAATGAACAGTAAATTAGCTGTACACTCCCACCAGCCATTTTGCTGCAACTTGTTGTGTGCATGCCTTTATTCACAGAGAGCTATTGTGTGTATGAGATTTTTAGAAGTACAAATCAATTTTTAAACAAACATTCCACAGGCCTGCAATACAAGACAGCCATTTGAAAGAGGGAAGAAAATCACAAAAGAGTGTGACTAGTTTAGAAAACTAGAAGGGCCCCTTTAATTTGCTGTTACGGCAATTCAAGGCTTTCGTTTTTTATGGCTTTTTCAGTTAATATTTACTAGGGCTGCATAATAAATCATATTTTTATTGTGACATGAGTTTCCACAATAAACTCATTGTTAAGCGCTGCGATGAGAGAACAAATCAACGTGCCTCAGACGTGTAATTAGATTGGCAGAAAGGTAGATCGAGCTCCATTTAGCCAATTACAAAACACACACAGCCAAAAACTGCTCTATCCTGAACTACTAGCCTGTAAAAATGCTATTCTCACTTTCTTCAGGTTTGTGTAAAATGCATGGCCTATATAGTACAATGGACAAAGCAGTAACATGATGTATGTCACAACAAACCTGAATCATTACAAGGAGCTTTTTTAAAGAATGAAACAACATATATTTATTGGTGTTTGTAGCCTGACTGCAAACATGAATAGCAAAAGCAAGTCAGGGAATTCTGACTGTTTGTAGAATGAGGCACCTCTTAGAAACTCATTTTTCGCAGGCTGCAGATTCTCCTCAAGTGGGCTCCATTAGCAGTCAAAAAGCTTTCAGTCCTTTAAAGGAGCAGTGCTTTGCATCAGCGTTGCAGTGTGTCTTTGTTCAACATTACAGTTTATAGTTTTTAGTTTTTAGTAATTTATTGTTTTTATTTTGCACTATTCTGATTTTTCCCAGCTTTTTTGTCAATAAGAACATTTTCAAATTCCTCTGCTTGATATATTTTTTTATGTAACTAATTTTTTTTTAGCCTTTTGAAGCTTTTATTTGAAAGAGTAAGCCTCCAGACCCTATGTTATTTTTAGCTATGTGCTTTTTATTTTGGCAATTTGTCATGTTTGTCATTTTTTGTTTCCCTTGAAAATCATGGTATCGAGCCCTTGATTAACTTGATATCCATTCAATAACTCTTGTCTCTCATTAATACTTTTAATATCAAAATTAGTCTGAATGCATATCGCTAGTATTTAGCACAGCACCTGTTACATGTTGCCTTGGTATCTCACCATAAATGACCACATAGCCAGCCAGCATTTGTGGACTAGGACATAATGTAAAATGAAAGTGGAGAACACGCTCAAAGTTTCATGTTTAACACTTTTAGCATATTGTCTTAACAACTGCAGCTACTTCTAGAGGAAAAACAATGCAGGCTTTGCTAGTAAGAGCTAATACCTGCCTTTATGACACCCACAACTAAGTAATCCTCTGTAGACCAAAGCTTTTAACATATATCACACAGTGTTTTTGAGCAATTCCATAAAAGAACCATTTTTTTACTCATAGAAGAACCTTTTGGTGGATCATTCCTTAAAGATTCATTTTTGCAAACAATAACCATTTACAAGCTTTTGTATTTAAGAGTTCATTTCTGGTGAAATTAGCAAGTCAGTCATTATTCCTCACTGACCAGGTTATTAGTGCAGGATGAAAAATATATCAAGGGCTGGTGGGGATGGATCATGTTGGATATGTTTTTTATATATATATATATATATATATATATATATATATATATATATATATATATATATATATATATATATAATTTATTATATGTATTGTTACATCTTATTTTGTACAACGTTTGACTACATTTGTGTCGACCTAGCCTCAACAAACTGGAATTAAACAGAATGATTAATTCATTGGGATATTTCCCAGTGTTGCAGATGGCCGGTCCACTATTGGAAGTGTTTTTTTTTTGTTGTTTTTTTTTTCCCCTGGACAGCACTTCCTGTTTTTGTCTCTGTCATATAATACAATGTGATGCTGGTGAGAGGGGCTTCACAGCAACCAGGGGAATGTAAGGAAATCCCCTGTCGACAGAAATATCCTCCATAGGTATGGACAGACAGCTGAGGGGCAGAGGTCATTGTTCACCAAAGTGAACTACAATGATTGAAAATAATTGTTCTCTCTGCTCACCACAGTTTATATTTAAGCTTTACTTTATAGGAATTTCTAGCATTAGTTTCAACATGCATTTGTTTCTGGATGAAAGTATAACAAAATTATAAGTACAGTGTGTATATATATATATATATATATATATATATATATATATATATATACATATGTATGTACGTATATATATATGTGTGTGTGTGTGTGTGTGTGTGTGTTTATTACATTATAACATATAACATTATATAATGAGTGTTTTGGCTGAAGTACAATTTCCTCCTTTTTTCAACAATGTGGACCTTCTAACTTCCTCTATATTGACTGAGCGTGTTAGCATGACGCCATCTGTTTTGTGTGAGTGGCCCATTTGCTGGAGAAGGTCGAAGCAGGAAGCATTTGTTGAGAAAGCGGTTTCCTGGCCCTGGGCTGTTTTGGAATCGCTGTGTCCTAGCTCTGTAAGAGCGAGGCTCACTATCACTATCCCACCATTGCGTTACACATATTAGCTGCTTCTCTGACCGGTAATCATCTGTGTTTGGTTGGCATCATATTGGCCTGACCCAGTTGTTTCAACTGTGCAATAACTGCAATACAAGGTGAAAGTCAGGGTGTAAAAGAGCTGTACTTGTGTAACAGTGGCTTTGTAATCTCTAGAGAACCACGTTTTGAAATCAGGAGGACATTAAAGGAACTAATTCCCCTGTTGTAATTGCCTAAAATGGATATCATAGAATAGGCTGCTGCAAGTTCAGTACAACTGTATCACAATTTAATGTGCTCTATCATATGAATTCAATTTAATTGTAATAAAATGTAATTAAGTATAAATCACTTCAGTATAATATATGAAAAGTTCCATTCCAAAATGCTGCATATGCATTTGTAACAATTTTGAGTTTTTGAAAGAATAGCAGCTGACATATAATGTACAACACATTTTTTTTATTTCTCGAATAAAGGTGGTATTAATCGTAATTTTATATGTCTTGTATAGACTTGTAAAGCCCACTCCCAAAAACATTTACCATGAAAAAAAGAAAACTCCTGAAAATGGTCTACACTCTCAAAAATAAAGGTATGAAACTGTCACTGGGGCAGTACCCCTCTTGTCACTGGGGTGGTACCCTCAAGGGTACATTCTAGTACCTTTAGTCAGGGAACATAATTGTACCATAATCCATTGACATTATATTTTCTAAGTTGCTATGAAATGGTACTAATACATATTTACATATTTTTTAACTGCATTTATATTACTGTAAACAAATGACTCACAATATCTGTGAATGTATTCACAAAATAACATTTCAGATGTTTCAATTAGTGGTGTAAGAGTGAAAAATAGAAGTGAACCTGCTACATACAAAAATATTGGTTTATAAGAGGAAGTAGGTTGTGCATAAAAGTTGCACTGTTCATTTAGCTTTATTTTAAAAAAAATATTTAGTTTTTTTTTTCATCACTTTGCTGTGTGTTTAAGCAATACAACTCAGTCTTGAACTGAGATATACAGCTTGTCCTGTGGCCACATCAGAGACATATCTGTCAAAAGAAAATCAAATTTCAAAAGGAAGTAATGTTCTTTAAGACTCAAAATACTGGAAAAAGGCAACTTCTGTGAAAATACATAAAAGAGAAATAGACATAGCTCAAAACTTTTCACTGTGTATGGATGTTGTGTTGAATGGCTTGGACATGAAGAACGTTTTTTCAAATAAACAACAGAGGCCTGCCTATGAGACATGTAAAGTTCCATGTACCATTTTCTCTCAGTGCATTTCACAAGTAATTGCCTTAAGGATGAATGTACTTCCCTTGACCTGCCCCAGGTTCTGACATCTACAACATTTTCAATATTTCTGTTGCTTTCTGTGTCTCTCTTTTTTTCCTCAAATGAAAGTGGTTCCTGTCTTCAGAGTATGACATTGATTAATGTTCCTTCCTTTTGCTGCTGCTCAGCTTACTGTGTCAAAGTGGTTTCAGGTAGTAGGACCTATACTCCCTCGTTAACAGAGTTGTAGAGTCAGAAACCTACATAGTGTCTTTCAGAGATATTGCAGTTTATGAAAAATACAAACAAATTTTAACCTAAAAATGTCCATAAAGCTGTCCATTATGTTGGTATGATGTAATGTAGCCATTTTGTGTTTAAAAGTGTTGCTAAAGATGGTTGTGAGATATGAATATAAGTTTGTTTTGTTTAATGGGTTTGTAAAGATAATTACTGACACAGTACTAACTGAATGACTTGAAGTTCACAGCTTGTTAATAAAAACATTTGTTAAATATAGTTTGAAATGATCGGCCCATCATTTAATGATTTAATGGTTTAATTATGGATTTAATTTATGACGTGATAAGCATTAAACCTGCCATAATGAAAAGATTAAGCGTGTCCTTGTGCTTTAACAGGGCCGACATGTCAAAACGGGACAGCTGGCTGCTATCAAGGTCATGGATGTGACAGAGGTGAGAGATCCTGCTATCCTTACTTATAGTTTGACTCTGAAAGCCATGGCCAGTGAAACAGGACTGACCATAGCAGATGCTTATCTTCAACTCAAAGTTCAGAGCATTGCAGAGTTGCACTGAATCAAAGTCAGCTCTGTGTCTTCTTAGGAAAAAAGTATTATAAAGCATGCAAATGAGCCAGTGTTACCTCTGCATACCAAGGGTTATTATTTCCTTACCTGTCAGTCAGTAGCAGTGCTGGTGGAAGTCATGTTTACTTAGGGAAAGTTCAATCATCTTATTCCCCCTGGGCAATAAAACTCACTCAGTGATGAGAGGGAAAATAGGCTGAGCTCACCCTATGGCTTTCCACAAGAACAAAGGCTAGATTTATTACAATAGCACTGTGTACACATGAGGGGATTTAATTGAAACTGATTCCTGCTTTGAGGCACATTCAACTCCAAGTCTGATCTGTAAGAAGCAAGAGATATGCACAGTCCTGAGCAGTCTAATATAGAGCAACAGTGGCTTATTTAAATTTATGAAAAGGCACAATGTCAGTTCTCCGTATATGGTGTCACAATGGAGACATTCTTTCTTTTAAAAAAATATTTCTTTTCGGTGTCATTTTACTCTTTGTTATTATTATTATTATTTCTTATTTTTACAATGTTATGTTTGCCTTCTTAAAACGTAAGACAACAATGATGATGTAGACTATAGTAAGATTCTAATAATAATAATAGTAAGATTATTCAGATTTTCCAATTTGAAAATTGCACTCTGTCAAATTGCAGTTTTGATATGAAAACGATAAAACTTTCAGCCCTAAGGCAGACCAAGCTGTACTTTAGCCATTACTATCCATTGTTCCATGTCTAAGATATCTATAATTTTTGTGCATCCCTGTTTGTTTGTTCCATCTGTACGATTATATTTGACGTCATGTGTGGCTGCTCCAGAGTGTCCCATTCTATTGGTAATGCTTTTCTGTGGAGATTAAAAGCTGTGTATATGCACATGATTGCCTGTGTTAGCAGTGGTTGCAGTAGCTGAATTCACTATTTACAAGGAACACCTTTGGAGAATTAGTGTGAAGTTATGGTGAAGTTTGAGATTTATTGGAGCATTGGATGGTTTCCTAAAGAATAGTTATTGATGATATTGATAATTGTGATTACAATTTATCTTCTTGGTGAATTGCTAGTGATTAGTTGGAAGTTTGCATATTTTAGATTATTCTGTAGGTCTCTCTCACAGAATCTAAGAAACAGAACTTGATGGGCATACCTGTTCAAGTACTTTTTTTGCTATGCAGTATTTTTTGATAAGTCTTTTTAGAGGCTTCTTTTATTTATTTTTCTTTTTTTTTTGACAGTAGAAGATTTTGGCATAACTGAAAGACTGCATGGATTGTTTTTATCATCTTTTTCAAGCTTGTTCAGAAGTGAATCATGGGTGAGATTTAGGTGGAATGGATCAGGGGGATTTTGAAATAAGTCCCAGAGGAAGTACTCTTTCAAGTATTGTTCGAAGAAGCCATGTCTAAACTAAAGCATTTATTCCTTGCTAAGAGTGTACATGTTGCTGTGTTTAATTCAGTATGTTTTTATGGACTATTGGTCAATCATGCAATAGACAAACAAAAAAGTACTATGGGTTATCCAGGTTTTGGGGAAATAGGCCACTCAGGGTGACCAAAACAAAGGCTATGAGGCAGAGCTTCCTAAGCTAATGGACATAAATATCTAAAACTTGCTTATCTCAACCATTTATAATAGTCACATGAAAAGCTACTTGGTTTACACACTTATTTTGAAATTTGTGAAATACACTTTACATTACTGTTCAGTGCAAGTTTTACCTGTTCTGTGCTGTGAATTGAGTTGCCTTTTGGATAGGCTTTCTTCACTTGTTATCCTCTGCTATCACTTGCTGTGTTGATGGTGGTTGAGACTTTTAATAAACCAGTAATTTAGTGCAGTAGCTTTTGGGGTTAGTATACAGAGACTGTGTGTAAGCCACTTACTTCCTTCTCATTGTTATTTGTCTACTTTAGAAGATATTTTAGGTCAGCTGAAATGGATTGCTAGTGAACTGTTGTTTAGTTTAAGTATCTGCTTTCTATATCTGCTGTCTGCTGTCACTGTTGCTGTTGCCTCTGAGCCTGCTGTATTTCTTGTCTTAGCTCCATAGTGTTATTTCAACACTCTTGGTTTATTGGCAAAGTAATGGCTGCATCTCTGTCAGAATTAAAATTCCAGCGTACTGGTTGCGTAAGCCTAAGTCTAAAATCATTTGTTTGACACATGCATTTTTTCATTATCTCAGTCATGTGTTAATTAGACCTTATGTCAGTTCTCGTATGGTTTCACTTCCCAAAATGAATGCTCATACTAGATTAGATTCTTCTGCTCCTGTCTTCCTCTTTGCCACAAGAAGCTCAGTCTGGCTCCTAATAATAACTTGATTTGTCACCCCATATCCTGCCTCACTGATGCTGATTTGGATCTGGTCTGCCATCTCTTGCTTTAACACTGATGCTGATACTGATTTTAAGGAGCTGACAATTAAGATAAGTGAGAATATCAGTGTAATTTTATATGGTTAAACTATGCTTCAATAGTTTTAGTCAAGTAATGTTTTAATGACCTATATTACTGTTGGTGAATTATGAAATATGACCATTTTGTTCAATATCTTGAGTGAAAACTCTCAAAGTCTTAATGTTTTAACCATGATCAGAGTTGGGCAAAATACTTTGAAAACGCAATGATGGCTGAATACTGAATATACCGTCCTAAATGTATTCAGTAACATATTCCGTTACAATATATAAAATTCACGTATTGAATTAACACATTTAGAATACATATTGATAAGACACATGGGGAAAACTCTGCTGTTACTGGTTTGTCATTTTCTTCATGTAATTCTTCTGTTAATATGTTTCCTGGAAAATTTGCTTAATATTTAAGTTAACTTTTGGATTTGTTTTTTTTTGTTTTTTTTTTTTTATATACTTTTTTCTTTTGTCTGTCATTGCCTGCTTCAGTCCACTGCTGCTCCTACAATCCCCCAAGCAGGAGTCCAGTACAACAGCTTAACTTTTTACTCACATTAGTTGGATCATCAGTCAAAGGAGTGTATTAACACTGAGATTAATAACTGACTTATCACATTGATTTATCAGTCTACTCAGGCTTTAGCAGAGCTCAGTAACACTGATATTAATAACTGATCATGACTTTGCTTTATCAGTCTACTCAGGCTTTAGCAGAGCTCAGTAACACTAAGATTTTTAACTGATTATGACATTGATGTATCTACTCAGACTTCAGCAGGGACTTCATATTTGTAAAGAAGCCGTTACTTAAAGTCCTCTATAGACTTCATTGAGTAAGCATGTTTGCTACTTGCCCTGTGCTGATTTTAAAATTGTTAACAAACAAGCACTGTTGGTGTTCCTTTTGAAAATGTATTTTTATTTAGTGGGTATTCTAAAAGTATTCCCTTAAAATGTAAAAAATAATGGTATTCTGAATAGTGCCTTTACAAAATGTATCTTGGACTAAATATACTAAATTTCTGTATTCTGAATACATATTACAAATACTTGTATTACATTACATCCCAATTCTGACCATGATGATGTTTTTTGATTAAGTTTACCAGTTTAGCCTGTAATTGCTGTAACAAAGAATATTTGATGACTTCTACATGAGCTTGCAAACAGTAGTATGAGAATGTGCGACCATTATAATGAGCTTGTTAACAAACGTATGTTTGTTAATATATAACACGAGCTACTTCAAAACAGTGATGGTGCTTTAATTTAGTTGCAGTTTTCACCAATAGTGATAAAAATGTGAAACCGTAATATTGGCTGGCTTTTCTTGAGCTAATCTAACGATTAAAAAAAGAGAAAGATAATTAATAGTGAAATTAATTTTTGCTTTCTCAACAGATGTGTAAACTTTATTAAAAGGGATTACTTAGTCCACTAAAATCGACGACCAAATTAGTGGGCAACTAATTTAGTAGTCGATTAGTTGGTGACGTCATTACACGTCTTTCTCGCGCTCACTAGGAACGTTTTGACATTACCGCTCACTGGAGACTTAACAACAGCGCGATGGCAGCATCAAGAACAAAATCCTCAAAAGTGTGGAGCTAAACTCATAAGAAAAGGTTGTCAGTTGTGCTATTTGTAAAGCCGACCTTAGCTGGCTATGGGAGCTCATCCTCCATGTTGGAGCATCTGAAGAGGAAACTCGTCGGTTCACTGGATGAAGAAGATTAATGTTGGTAAAATACGCCGCGTCCCAAACCGCATACTAGCACACTAAATAGTGTGTAAAAATAGCGCATATACCATTAGAAGTACACTAATTAGTCTAGTGTGTGTGTGAAGTACAGAAGTGTGTGGTTTGAGACGCGGCGATAATTGTGCTAATGTTAATGTTAAATTCCGTCCTACTTCATGTTGTGAGCTGAGCTGTAACATTTGTATTTCGAAATGCATGTTCTCTGGTATCGTCAATGGAGTTTGGAACAGAGAAGCAAGTAAATATTATTCACAGCGACCCGTTCACGTTCAAGATAACGTTTACAGTTTTAAACACTGCATCGTTGTCTTAAAGTCGAGGCCACCGGTGTGTTCAAATTCGGCGAACACAGGAGAGCGCTTACGAAGAGTTTTCTTTTCTCCGCGAACGTTTGGCTCTTCTCGCTAACAGTTTAAGGAGGTAGTTCTCCGCGAACACAAAGAGCAGCTGGACGAAGGGTTACCGTTGAAATGAAACTTTTCACAAAATCGTTAATTTAACTGTTCATCGAGAACAAGTTTTCCACAAACATTCGCCACTTTCCCATCCGCGCCATCACAGCGCGTCTCCTCTGCAGCGGGGGAGTATCTGCTCTTAGCGGAGAGCCTCTCACAGAAGCACGGAGAGATGCTGACTTTCCTCTTTCCTCTTTCTTTTTCCGTTTCAGTGAAGACCTGTGATTGTAAAATTTAGTTGCAGCAAACGTAGACAGAGCACAGACTGCGCTGTTTAAAATGTAACATTTAAATTTAGATTTTTTTTATTTACTTGATTAAAGGAAAACTGATTTAGTTTTGTCATATTTCATTGCTGCTACGTTACACATCCTTGGTTATACTTTCTTTTTTTTTTACAGGAAAAATACATTGGAATTTTACTTTTTTGTCTTTTGTATTAGCAGGAAAGTTCATTAATACAGTGAATTCTTGAATATTATTCATCTTTGTCTTCATTGTTAGTTAGCAAATGCATAAAACAACCTCAAGCTAAATTTAAAAGCTAATAGCTACATAAAAGTTATTTGGTAATGTAGTGATTCATAATCCAAATAATCGATTATTTGTTTCAGTAATCGACTGACTATTCGACTATCAGATTAGTCGTTTGTTGCAGCCCTAATATCTAATATTATTTAATGTATCTTTAAAACAAGCTGATTGTATTATTGAATCATTCTGGGATATGTGTACAATTTAATTTGTTCTGTTGCCTTTTTGTAGGAGGAGGAAGATGAGATCAAACTGGAGATAAACATGCTCAAGACCTATTCTCATCATAGGAACATAGCCACATACTACGGCGCTTTTGTGAAGAAAAGTCCTGCAGGTCAGGACGACCAGCTATGGGTGAGTGACCCCATATCCTCTCTTTTGTTTAATATAGGAGGAAACTAGACGAGATGAATATTAGTTTGTCCTTGTTTAAGCATGTTGGTCTCTTTCAGACATAGATTTTTTTGGAATCTTTTTATGCATGCTCCAAATGAATGTAGACCTTATGAAAGTGGAAACTGGGCTAAGCATTGCTAATTTTTATTCACTTTTGAAGTTCAGTTAAGGGTTATTACATGAAAAATGTCTAGGAACTGTGTGCTCAATTTTTTTTATGGATGCAAAGAAAAATGTACATTTATAACAATTATTTAAGCCGCTTGCTAAAGGTTTGATGTAACTCTAATTTTGCAAAGCTTTCCCATTAAATGTAAGGTTAGCATTGTGTATTAATGCATAATGGCAATAGTGGGCAAGTCTTTCATGCTTATTTGCATATCAAAAATATTAATGTACTTAACTCACATTTCTCTATTTAATGTTCCTATTAAAATGGATAAAATGTTGTTAACAAATACTTTTGTCAATACTTTCATTGAATAAAGTATCACAGATAAAACACATCCCATAATACATTTTGAGAAAGAACTTTTGTAATTATTTGGATTTTTGTACCTTTTGGGCAACTGTGCTTGGCAACAAATTATTCATATTTTCTTATTACTGATGATGGACTGTGGTTTCTGTGTTGTCTGCCTCTTCTCTGTGTCCCACAGCTTGTGATGGAGTATTGTGGAGCAGGCTCAGTTACAGATCTGGTAAAGAAGACCAAAGGGAACTGTCTAAAAGAAGACTGGATTGCCTACATCTGTAGAGAGGTTCTTCGAGTGAGTATAATCAAGTCATTAAGATGGAAAAAAATTATCTCTGGATTGGTTTAACTGGAAAGTCACCATTCTATAGAAACTTGCAGAGTCAGGATTGTTCACAATGGCGGTGATAGGAGCCAGACGTAAGAAGTGTGTAATGCCTCTAAAAGCTACATCACATAAAGTTATTACACAAAATGGTTACATGTTGTCTGTCTGATGCCGAGACATTGTTTTACTATAGTTTTTAAGTAAGGCTTTGGCCTAAAACATAATTTCTAAAATCCATTCATGGTAGAGAGGTACAGGGCTATGCAAAAATCAGTGACAACCCTTTCATTCATTTAATTTCCAGGCAGTATGGCTGTTAAAGTTTATTTTTCATCATCAGGAAAAAAAAAAAAACAGAAAATATATATTTGACATATATTTAACTACACAGAAGCCTCAACAATTAAATATAACTCCTGTCCTGTTTTTTTTTTTTACTTTTTTTAATTTCCCTTCTTGCAAGTGGATGGTATTATAGCTGTAACTGGTTAGTTTTGAGATTGCAAAGATGGAAGAGGTAAAGTGTCAGCAGTGTGCACAAAAGTAAAGAGTGGACATATTAAGTACTGATTAGATATTATACTTTTAATTTAAGAGACATTTTTACTGTAAATTGAATAAATAAAAGGGTGGTCTCTGACTTTTGCGTGGTGCTGTACATGCAGGTCATTGTAAGGAAAAATAGTACCCAAAGAAAACATTCATTATTGAATCATTAAGTATTGAATAATAGGTGGAATTCTCCTTTAATACTTTGACCTCAGTGATTTTTGCCTTGGATGTGTTTTACCAGAAATGCCTTGGATAATCTTTCATGATAGTCCATGACAGAACTATGATGTACGTGCGCACACGTGTGTGTGTGTGTGTGTGTGTGTGTGTGTTTGTACATTTTCAGGACTAAAATTTTCTGACAAGAGAGAAACACAGAAAAAAACAGAATACTGATACTTATCAGGTCCAGCAAAATAGCCCTGATGCTTTGGAAGTATAACTATTTACAAAAACTAAATTTGTAAAATGCAGTACAATTTTTTTTTTCATTTCTTTTTGGTTAATGTGATTAATGTTAGGGTTAGACCAAGTGTGATCTTAATGTTTATTACTTACATGTAGTTGCACTCTTTACAAGTTTGGAATGACTGTTTAAATTTTTTAAACGAATGCTTTCAACAATATAAAACCAGTTTGGTTTTAGATAAATGTATGAAATGATTCTAATATGCTAGTTCTATGCAACGTCATAGCTTTCAGATAGTAGGAAGCTAGTTAAACAAAAATTAAGAAATGATGACCAGAGCTCTAAATGATTTTAAAAAGACTGGACAGCTGAATAGCATAATGAATGATGTACTAAATTTAACATCAAGATTGCCTTATTAAAAACGAGGGTAGATACCTGGACGAAAAAGATTGTAAAAATGTGTAATTACAGTATATATAGTTACAGCATATAATAACTCAAAACCTCTAAAATATTGAATGAAAAATCTAAAAATGCCGTTGTGCATCTGGTTTAAAAAATAAATAAATATCAACTGTTGTTATTGCATGTGAAATAGCACAAATTATCAATAAAAAAATAATTCCAAATAATTGAAGGGTAGTGTATATAAAATACATATAAAATGTGTGTGTGTGTGTGTGTGTGAGAGTGTGAGATAGATAGTGATAAGGAACATTTTCACATCTGAGTGCATTCTTTTGTCCATTAATACTGTTCATAAGTTCTTTTGACACTGTACCACCGTTTAGGGTCTGTCTCATCTCCACTCACACCATGTCATCCATCGTGACATCAAAGGGCAGAATGTGCTGCTGACTGAGAATGCTGAGGTTAAACTGGGTAAGGAGAAGGAACAGATGGGACTATTCATGTTTCCATTATTCATCCTCTAGTCACTTTGAAAGTTTTTCAAACTTACAAGAGTATCAAAAAAGCAAGGTCAGTCACTTATTACAAATTATGGTCTTTAATTAATTCTTCAATTTCATCAAGTAAACTGACAAATAAATGCCTTCAGAAAGTTTCACAATTTTAAAAAACTGTACAAATGTCACAAAAACACCTTTGGTGTTTTCAGACATTAACATTTCATGTAAAATACTGTTTAAGAGGAATATGCTGACTTCACATTCTTTACATCAGTGGACTTCGGTGTGAGTGCTCAGCTAGATCGGACAATTGGAAGGAGGAACACGTTCATTGGGACACCATACTGGATGGCTCCTGAAGTAATTGCTTGTGATGAGAACCCAGAATCTACGTATGACTACAGAGTGAGTACTATACACCTAGGACATGGTTGTGCAACACCTTGCTGCAACTCAGCATCATCATCGTTAGTTTGAATCGTACATTTGAAAAAACATATCTGGGATCAGCCTATATATAGTTTTGATGGCGAAATCAGATGATATTCTGTGGATTTTATTTGAGTACTATATAATTACAACTACTGGAGCCTGCTTAATTTTTGACCATTTAAAATTACACTGGCTGAGTATTAGTATCACAAATTCTAGCTTTTTAAAGTTTTTTTTTTTTAAGGCATTTGTGATTTTTCAATTTGATTTTTATAATGATCAGGCCCTGAAATGTATACGAACTTTGCAATCAAATATGGTGAATGTGACCTCTCAGGAGCATTCTATAATAAATTGAGATAAAAAAATATAATTAACACATTGTAGCCTCCTTGAAGGTATCAGCAAGGAAGGAGTCTGATACCATTCCACCATGTTGAATCTTTGGTTGTTTTGATGTTGATGATTCTGTGCTCAGTAAGCTATTTTTATGAGAGTTTAGAGAAATACTTTTGATTATTGTCTTGGTGGAAAGTGCAAGATGATCTCATTTTAACCTCCCAGCAGAGGAAGGATTTCCTCTAAAATGCCAGAGAGTCTGAGATGCAGTGTATCCTTACAGTAGGTTCTTCTATTGTTATGATGTCAAGCCTGTAACAATAAAAGAACCATTTTTGGTGCTATATGGAACCCTTTTCATGTTCTATATAGAGCCATATAAAACACACTGTCCATTGATCGAAATAACCATTTAACCATGCCAAGAACCCTTAATCACCCAAAGGGTTATTTAAGTTTTCATGGTTCTGTATAGAACCATTTTCTTTAGTAAAGATCCCTTGAAGAGCCATCTTTTCATGTTTTACCATTTCATGTTTGTATTAGAATAATTTGTGTTGGCCTGTTAATTTATGTCCACTGCAGTGGGAAATTGAAAGCTGGTGTTACCATTGATAGTCATCTTGTGCTTGTTTCTAATTATAGAGTGATCTGTGGTCTCTGGGTATCACAGCTCTAGAAATGGCAGAGGGTGCACCACGTGAGTTTTACTATATTGAGAAAGCTTATGTGTTCAAAGAAATAAAAAGGTGCTCAGATTAACTGTGCCACTAACTTTTTGGTCTTATCAGAGTTATTATCCATATTTATAATGATTCTTTTCCTGTGGCTTTCTCCACAGCCTTGTGTGATATGCATCCAATGAGAGCCCTCTTTCTCATTCCTCGCAACCCACCCCCAAAACTTAAATCCAGAAAATGGTATGAAACCTCAGAGTATTGCACTACTCAACAAAAAGGAAAGAACGAACTTTTGTGTCAAAGTGAAGCTAGCACATGCAAGGCTAACTTGTAGAACAAATCTCGGATTAGTGATTGCATTTTAACTCTGATGTTAACTTAATTTTTTTTTGTATGTAGGAACTGACATTTCAAGAAATTATAAAAGTCTTCAAACTTACCTCTACCTCTCACACTGTATATCCTAATCTTTAAGGTCTAAGAAGTTTCTGACCTTTGTGGAGAGCTGTCTGGTTAAGAACTACATGCACAGGCCGTGCACCGATACTCTTCTACGCCATCCCTTTATCAAAGACTTGAATGAAAGACAAGTCCGCATCATGCTTAGAGATCATCTGGACAGAACTAGGAAGAAGAAAGGAGAAAAAGGTGAGGAGAGGCGTTGTCACATGAAATGTGGGTGTTCTTTAACAATACCAGAGACTTATAATCATTAGTAACACCTTACTTGAACCCTGCTACATAACACTGATATAACCGTGCCATAAAGATGTCATGGCAGATGTCATGTGCTGTCAGGAGTTGTCACGACAGATTTTACAGTCATCAGTAATTGATCATGAAAGATGACTCAGTGTTTATCATGACAGCCTATGTCTGACACAAATTACCAGGGCATAGTTTATAAGAATGAAGCCAAGTTAATTTATTGTAATCTTTACCTGCTAATATAGCACATATGTTTTCAAGTGGTATGTGTAGAAATTGTGTTTGTACATAGTGTTCAGTAAAAGTACTGTTCAATTAATTTAAAAATTCTCTCATTTAAATATATTGGTTAGCTTTAGTGACTGTCACTCACTTATAATACATTTATTGCATTTTATTAGGAGCTTAACCTTTATGTTTTTGTATTTTGTGCTCATAAATAACAGAGGGAACAGAATATGAATACAGTGGAAGTGACAATGACGAGGATGAAGTGAATGAAGATGAGGGAGAACCCAGGTATGCATGAATTCAGATTAAGTCCACATCGATTGACCAATGTGGAAGATCGACTGCAGTGATGTGGTCTCCGGACTTCCAGCATACCATCTTATGTAACCACATTCTGGCCTTGCAAATTAGATACTCTGAATTCTTCTTATCAGCAATGACATGACTGTGTCACCAGATGCTCCATCTTATGTGATTTGTGAGTGGCCCTCTCAAGCCATATGCCATTAGCTTAAAAAGTGTTGTGCTTTTGTACTTGTTTTTCTACACTTTCAGGACTAATGTTTCTGAATGTAGGAAAACCAGAGAAAAAGAGGGCTAATCCCCTTTTCATTTCCATCTTAAAGGTCCTGATGTCATAAAGTGTTTTATACAGACGTTTTTACATATACAGAACTAGAGTTAGTCTTAGTACATTCTTTTCCCATGCGTGTAGGTCCATACATAAATGCATAGTGTGGTGTAATCCCTTGATATTATATAAAAACAAGTGTGTGTGCATGTGCGCGCACATGTGTTTGTGTGTTCTCAAATGTTCTTTCTCTATCTGTAGTTCTATAGTCAACCTTCCTGGAGAATCCACATTAAGGCGAGAGTTCCTCAGGCTACAGCAGGAGAATAAAAGCCGCTCTGAAGCTCAGAGACAGGCTCAGCTCCTCCAGCATCAGCTTCAGGATCAGGAGCGTTATAAGAAGCAGCTACTTGCTGATAGACAGAGGAGGATTGAGCATCAACAGGAGCAGAGAAAATTCCTCGAAGATGTATGGGTGACGCTTTTCTTCATATAACTGAATCTGAAATATAAAAACCATTGTTTTCCTTAGTTTTTTGTAATGGTTAGTCAAATGAACGATATGCCAAAAATGGCTGTTCGTTGTTGGAGTAAGGTGAGAGCATTGACATTTTAAAATATACTATAATAATAGCAGTAGATGCACTAGATTATATTCTGTCATGACAGAATGCCATAGTACATGTCTTTAGTGATGTCATTTTAAAAAGGTGATTGGGAGTTTTCAACAGATTCTAGTATGCAAATTAATGATTATTTTTTTGTCTATGATATGTGGTTTGAAAATAATGTGCTGTTATTTCCATGATTTACATATTGTCACTATCCAAAAAAACCCCCCACATGTATCTCCATTTTTGTCTGTTTTTATTTGTCTACATCATTTGAACACAGCAGCTGTCCTGTACATTATGTGAAGTTTCATTATGAATGGACCAATAGAAATGCTCCAAAATTACTTGTAATAAAATTTCTTTACATTTACTTACACTAAAAATTAGGAATGTTTTTACCTTCTCCTGTAAAGTTACTATTTTTGAGATACAGCGATGATATGTCTAATATCTAATGTAATTGAACTACATTGCAAGAATGTATATTTTCATTTATGTGTATTAGCATAGTTTTTGGTAGCCCTAATAACACACATAATGGCAGTTACTGGCATGCTAATAGCTTACAGGAAAAAATACCATATAGATCAATGAAATACAGTTATGTGTTGTAAGTTTGGACGACCCTGGTCAAATTGTTTTTATTGATTTTCTAAGTAAAAATAAGTGCGTATCCACTACACCACTGTTTTTAAGCTGAATTTAACACATTGGGAGAAAAAATACAACATATTTTTCTCTCATTGTGTGTGTTTTTTTCCCCAAAATGTTAAACTCAGCAAATAAATAGAAATTGTGCACTGAGGTTGCAGGAAAATACCATGTTGTTTGTTCCCTATACACCGTCACTTAGAAATCAGCAAAACATATTTTGACCAGGAGTATTAAAACCTTTGCATATGACTGTGATTGCATATCTAAGCCTGAACAATTCGGTTAAGACTTTTAAGAGTGCTAGACTCTGTGTATGGTGTTAATATGCCCACGGAAGCTGTAAGAAAGCCTGCACCCACTGTAGTTCTTTGCTGTAGTTCTAGGATCAGAATGTTTCAACAGAACAAGTCGGGGTCTGAATGGTTTACAGTGAAAGTGTTTTTGATTAATCACTGCAAGACCTCTGAGCATCTGTTCCTATTTATGATACTGAATGAAACAACAATGTGTGCAGAGGAAGCCAGGCTTGGTGTGAGCCAGTGTAGTACAGTTTATGGTTTGGGTCAAAATTGCCATGATTGCAGTAATGCCTTTCGATCGATTTAAGCATTTGTTTAGAAGTTGTTGAAAAGCAGGATGGTTAAAAGTGTGTGTGTGTGTGTGTGTGTGTGTGTGTGTGTGTGTGGCGGCAGCAGCAAAAAAGGCAGTTACAGGCATTTCAGTGGTCAGAGCTCCAGGAGCTGTTATGGCGAGAAGAGGCTGATCTTGATGAAAGAAGCTTACAAGAGGAGAACGCTAAATGGAATGTCACGAAACAGGTTAGATAAAATTCATTTCACTCACATCCAAACTGTTAATGTGCCAGTTGATTTGAAAAGCTGTTATGGTGAGACCTTTACCCCTCCTTTGATAGCGGAGAGTACTGGTGTTTATGTTCCCCAATTTAAAATTAATGTTCCAATAATTAATTAATGAAATCACACTGAATAACAATGTAATTGTCATTTAAAATTGTGTGTAGATGTAGCTTTTTAGGCACCTTGTTTTGAGGAATATTAGTGTATTTGTGTAAATGTTAAATGGTGATACTGCTTCAGTCAATGAGTGTGTATAGCAGTTTTTATAATGTGTCTACACATGCGATTTTGTATTTGATGCAGTTCCAGTAACTTCAGTGACTGCATTTTGAGGAGATGACATGCTTTTGACATGACACCGCTCCAGCTCTTCATTATTTACAGATAGTGATTAGATTTCTTCTTGCTCAGCTCCTCTGCCACAGCTGTCCTACACAAGTACTAGGGCTGCATAGCGTATATTTTCTTAAGCATTACTGTGACATCAGCTGTTGCAATACTGATATTGCAGAAGTGTGTGTGAATAAGCTTCTAGCCAATTGTGCTGACAGACTTAGCATAAAGGAAAATCCAGAAGCACACAGTGGAGTACATCATACTATAAAATAAATTGTCTTTCCAAGAAGTTCAGCACAGACATGTCTGAGAACTGACAACATATGAATGTAGGCCAATTTAAAGCACAAAAAATGATTCTGGAGACATTATTTACATTATCAAACTAGGGAAATCTTTCATTCACTACACATTAAAGCATCAGATTTTCATGTCTAATATGGAGGAGGTTGTGACAGGGGCTAACATTACCCTTTCACTAGAGCTAATGCCAAAGCGAAGAAAACAAATCATAACAAATCATAAATATTCTGTAACATTATTTATTGTTAGACATATTAAAATGAGTGTTAGCAAATACAGCTAATTATGTAAAATTTAGTTTACCTTAGAGCCAGTTTTAGTTTTGGCATTGAACCTTTTTGGCCTAGAGTCATTCTTGCTTCACTTAAAAGAGAAAGACGTGCCTAGAGATGTTTGTGATTGGTTGAGAGGTATGCCAATCATTATTTTGCAAACAGTCGATTACTAAATGCTTTTTTTATGTGCAATGAACAGACTGACCAGTCACTGACATTCTTGGGGTGCTTGAATAATCCAAAGCATTAGCATGATCCAACAATTTAAATAATTTTGGTCATCAGTAATATAAGCCAGTCTTTACACCAGTCGTTTCTTCTGTCATCAACCACAGTTGATCTAAGCCAAACTGGCCAATGCTGACTGCTGTTGCACTGATTGCAGTTATTATTTTTTTTCTTGTTAGATATTCTAACTATTAGAATGTGTTTTTAAATATAGATCTGATTTTGTTTCTGATATATATTCAAATTTTATCTGAATACTCTAAGTGCAGTGTGTTTTGTATTCTATTACAGTGTGTTTGGTTTACCAGTGTATCCTGTTTCTTATCAAACTCCTCTTTTCTTTCAACATCCCTTTTTTTTAATATTTATTTTTAAGTAAATGCCAAAGAAAAGTTGCTCTTTTAAATGTGCAAAGACAAAGTAAATGGAAGCATCTTAATTAGTGTTTCCTAGTTCCGCTGCAAGTGTTTCCTCTACTGTAATATATCTGATTCAAATAATGAAGGGTGTGATATTTAGCGTAACATCAAATGTATTAGAAATACAGTGTGCAGGACTGGGATTGGCAAACAGTTTCTCAAAATAAACTATAAATTATTCCGCTAGATTTCCTAGTACATGATAAAAGAGGAATAGACAGACCAATTAAATAGTATATCCATAACAAATGTAAACTGATTGAACATAAAGCACTCTCTCCTACAGAAAAGTCAGTTTAAGAACAACATACCTAGCAGTAATGTATTCAGTTATATCTTTATTTACTCTTATAAGCCATTTGGAATGATGTGGACTGATTCCCAGAGTAAAAAATTTAGAAGTTGAGTCTTATGCAAGGCGAAAAACACTGAATATTTTACATTTTCCCTTCATATCCCATCATTGGTTTGCATAAGTCACAGTGCACCGTGTACCTGTTTCTAATCTTGCTCTTACTGAATTGCAGCCTGAAGATTCTGGACGACAAAAGGCTGATGTGAGATCCAGGCCTTTAGGTCCATTTGCTGACCAGGTAAAGACAAATTTCCAGTTCTTAAAATGGGACTTTGTTGATTTTTTTTTTTTAAAGCTTTGAGTTGAATAATTGTTTTCGTATTAAGATCCTAAAGGTGGAAAAACCTGGAATCCTCTGTTGACTCTGTGCAAATAGGTCAGGGTTATTGACATGCCAGTGAAAACTGATTCTAGTTCAGCATGACTAAGTAATATTACTGAAACAGAGTGGTAGAATGCTTACACGATGCATACAGCTAGTGCCTAACAAAGTATGCAGAGAAACAGATGGACTACAGTCTGTAATTGTAGAACTACAAAGTGCACCTAAATAGTAAGCGGAGCTGATAAAATGGACAATGAGCGTAGAAACAAGGATATGTTATGCCTGATCAGTGTATATACACAGCATTCACTACGTATACAAAACATTACTTTTTTCTTAATCTTGAAGGAAATAACTTGTCAAAACATTTCAGACTTTCATTTTCAGGCATAAAATGCTATTGTAGGTTTTAAAAAGTTTATATTTTTCGAATCCAGTAATTTTGATTTAAACTATATTAAGCCACGGCTTAATTCAAGTTTAATATATGTCAATGTGTATGTTGTCTTAATTAAACTCTCTCGGTTCATGTAAAGAGAGGTAAAACTGTTACAGCATGACAGAGAAGTAAATGTTAAGTGCTTGCTAAAGCTTACTGTTCTTGTGCTTTCTTTTGCCACTGCGTTTGTGATTTTGCTTAGAGCTTTGCTGCATTTTTGTGGCATTTAAATGAATTAATATTAGTCTGGTACATGGCATTTCATTTTGATTTTGTAAGGAAATTGCTGTCATTGCGCAACAAAATTCTGTTTAGCAACTTTCCAAATAAGCTTAAAAAACATCCTGATTTCTAATAACCCTGGAAGACATTTTGAAAACCAGTGATACTGACTGAATACATGCAGCCAGCAGTATGAGGACTTATAAAGTCCAAGGTGTACAGTCTAAATTAGTTATATATTTGGCTTAGTACAGGTTTGCTCATTCTTAGCCATAGATCTAGACTCATCTCTGGTTGAGTCAAAGAGTGAAATGCTATTCAGGATTCAGTCAGTTAGAATTTCCTTGGCCTGGTCTGTGTGGTTGCTAACATGGCTTCCTGGCTTTGTCATCTGGCAGTGGGCACAGGGTGAATGTACTCTGTCTTTGTCATTGCGTAGGGGAAGGCCGAACAGCCAGCCCAGCAGCAGCTGGCTAGAAAGATCCACCGCACGCTTCCCAAAGATCAGACACAGCTGCTTTCGCTTCAGCACGACCACAGGCACAAGCAAAGGGAGGCCCAGAAGCCTGCTAGTGCCACTCCTAACTATCCTGCCAGCAGCCAGTGCAAAGCGGTAAATGCTTTGGCAAGCTTACCCTGCTGCTCCTCTGTATGTCAGTACTGTAAAGATATTCTCTCTCCTTTTTTTGGAGTTCCTACAGCAGGGAGTGCATGGATTTTTTTTTAAAGTTTCTCAAGATATAAACTGTTTTCTTATAGCATGTATTTGTCATCATCGGCTTGCTGATTGCAAAACACCTGTTCAGTATGGACTTCTTTTTTCACTGCTGATTCAGCATGTTTAATGTTCGATCGAGCCCAACTGATATAATGCCTCTGTGATATTATTGTGTATTTTGTATCGGTATTGGAATGTACTTAACCTGTATGACAGTAGTAATATAACATTGCAGCAAAATAGGGCTAATTACCAGTTGTATTTATAAAAAGAAATTTTATTTATTTATTACCTGTTCATCTTCATATTGTAAGGGTTTGTTTACTTAAGCTAAACCTTTGATTTGACAAGTATGATTTTATGTGCTCAGTAAGACAATCTAAATATGTACACACATTTTAGTAGTTGATGTTTTTATCTAATCTAACATCTATATCAGTGTCCATATCATTGGGCTGAGTCATTCAGTAAACAATTCTGTTGCTCATATTAACATTCAGATGGAGGACAAAATGAAAGCTTTGAAGAGCCATCATGCTAATCTGAACAAAACAGATGCAGTGTTTTCCATGCACATCCAGCCAAGACTGAGCTCAGGAAGCAACTCCAGTCCCTGTACACCAGCCCTCCAGAGAGCTGCCATTCAGGTACATTGCTTAAAGACAGTCAGTAACAAAATGATTATGCAAGGGTCCTTCTCCACTGTCATTTTAAAAATCACTGGTGATTAATATTTTAATTGCTAATAACTATAAGACCAGAGTGAAGGTAGAACATGCACATGCATGGATTCATAAATGCTAAACTGCAGATAGCTTTTAAAAAGCACTAAGCCAACATGATGTTAGACATGATGATATATCAAGTTCAATACCTAATAAGAACTCAAGAAAAAAAACAATTCTTCTGCCAGGCAGTGTAACTTATTACATTAGTAGGTTATGGTTGTCAGACAACATAACTGTTGAACATTATTCCATTAACACCAAAAAAATTTTTTAGTAACAATAACAACATAGAATTCTACTGATATGAGTGATCATACATTTGTATGTTGAGTATTTTACGGCAACTTTGAATGTGACTCAGAAATGGAACTACCAGGTTTATAATAATCAAGAAGAGGTAGGGAAAGCATAGGTTCATACATACTTTTCCAATGTGTGTAGCACCATTGGTACTTTAAGAGGTCAATGGATAATTCAGTAACACTTTACTTGATCTTTACCCTGCTACATAACATTGTCACAGAATATGCTGTCATGACTTGGCGGATTTTTAATAATATAACAGTGTGATATTGCCTTTACCGGTAAATGACATACAGCGTTTATCACAATGACAGCGTATATTACATGCTAATTTTTGCTTTTTACTCTAGTTAGCTGCCATGACCTCAAACATTATGACATACAGTACTATGCAAAAGTCACCTAAGCAAATTGTTTAAAACCATTTATCTCAGCATTAAGTCTGTCTTTGCCAGTAAAAACTTGACACAACATTAGAATAAATGCAAATACACATAAATACAGTAAAAAGAAACAAGACTACTTAGGACTACTAAGAAGAGAGTACTTAGAAGAACTAAGGTTTGGTTCCAGATTTATCCTTGATGTCACCAGCCATCAGCTAGGTTTATTTAAATCCATCACCAACACACCTGATTTAACTTAATCCAACAATAAACAACCAAACCAGGTGCTGGATAAAAACTAAATTAAATAATCAACTAATTAAACCCAGGCTGCCATTACACTGGTAGCACTCTTGCAGGCAACACTTGTAATTAAAAAATTTGAATGTCAAAAAAAATTGTTATACTGTGTAGTCCCCTGACTGATATTTGTTTAATTTATATAGTAAGTTCCGTTTACAGCACACTAGATTCACCGAGGCTTGAGATGAATTGGCTAACCTGAAGTTCTTTTGCAGAACGCCAACTTGTGCTCAAGTCGAGAAAGTCAACACAGTAACTCTATGTCTGATATGGCCAGTCCTGGTCTGTCACCCACAGTCGATGATGTATTTTTCCCATGTCCTGAGGAGCATCCTCCTAAGGTTAGTCCTCATGACGATGAAGCGGAGTATGCAGTTTGTTTTGAATGATTTAATTCTTATATAAGGTTATGTAAGATAGTTATTTCTATTTTTTTTTTTTTTCATTAAAACAATTTTCTAGCGTAAAATCGTATTGTGACATTATGACTGCTGTGGGATAATTAAACATGAAATACTTACTGTTAATGCAGTCTTGTGACACAAAAAAACAACTATACGGCTTTATTCATTTTAAAGCTCATGCATTTAATATAGATACTTAAACCAACGAAGGGTGGGCTAAATTACGGTAAACAGTGATCATTAGTTTAAAAGAAGCAGTCTAAAAGTAGATGCTGGCACCCTACTGAAACTTTGGTCAAAAACAGCTTCCTTTTTCACTGGGTGGTGTCTTCCTTCCCTTATGTGACACATGAGAGCAGGATGGGAAGGCTGTCAGCAGGTTAGAAAACCGCATTAGTAAAAAGAAACAGAGAAAACCGCAAACAAATGGGTGGTGGGGGTGGAGAGGTTACATGCATTGGGTATTAACTGTGTAATATGCACAGAAGACTAAACTTAACACTTAATTGGCCATTATCCTAGTTTGTGAATCCTAAGTGTGATTATAATATACTGTCTTATGAGATAACTGATTATGATTTGTTAATTCAGAAGCTTCAGTTGCATAAACATTGTGTGAAGGTTATCAGTAAAAACCTAACATTTTCTGTCCTGCATTTTCACAAGGTTCCAGAGCGTACAACTTCAAAATTTTACTGCAGAGGGCTCATGAGCCACCACAGAACTACATCACAGTAGGTTTATTCACTTCATGTTCAATCTGTGTTTGGATTTACTGCAGATATACGCCAGTTAGCAATGTTTCAGCTAAGCTACATTTTTAAAAAATGCAACTACATACTCGTAGCTCTGTAGCTCCCTCTTGCTCTTGAGATCAGCACTGACCTATGCTCTGTTCTTCTCATCCATTTCCCTTTTGTTTACCACATGTGCAGTGGAGGTCTCATGTCTGCTGAGGAGAAAAGGGTACCGTTCCCAGCTTCTCATAGCAGCATAAGCAGCACTGAGTCAGGTGTGTGCACGTGGGGAGCCTTCAGAGTAAAGTTTATGAATGATACTTGCTTTATAACACCATGTTACACCATGTACTGTGTTGCGTACTGAGGTGCATTTTGTTCTGGCTTGTTGAACGTGGAGCCATCTAGTGGAGGCTTAGTATAGTGTAAGTTTCATTTATGATTTATTTCTGTTGCCATGGCTACTACTGAAATCTCACCTTAGTTCAAAACTTAGGATGTCATTCTTTATTGTTTTCACATGTTGGCCAGTTACATTCTTAGTCAGCTCTCCTTTTCTCTTTTTATAATTTTCATTTATTATATATATAATGTTTGAAGGTAAAAGATATTCTTTTTTCAGTTAATTTTTTATCTTCAGCTAGCCCACTGAACAAATTGCAACAAGTAGCAATTATGGTGAAGGTGAGCTTCCTAAACTTTTCAGAGACAGCATTCTTAAACAACACTTAAATGGGAAAAGTACAGATCATTACCTCATACCTTAAACAGCCCTTTCAATACAATTGGTTCGATAATGCAGTTTGGATCCAATTGGAAATGGAACAACAACTAGTCGTCCCTGGACATATGCGGCATGCTCTTAGAGAAGCCAACTTTGCAGGACGACCTGAAAGCGGAAGAGAACAATAAGTAATGGACTGCACAGCATACGTCCCACACAAAACTTTTTCAAAAAAAGCATTTAGACAAATTAGAACTATTTGGACTAATGTAGGCTTTGGCAATAATTCAGGTCATCAGTTGAATTTAAAAGATGTTATAATTAGATTTGCATACGCATGTAATTTTTGTTTTTGACAGTTTGTTTCCTGACTAAAAGTTATGTGTTATTTTTTTTATTACTTCTTTCCTTAAAATTCATAGCTTTGGTAGTTTGTCTGGCAATATAGCTTCTCTTCTCTCTCTTTCTTTGTTTTTGTTTCTTTCATTGTATCCATTTTGGCAGCGAAATAGATGGGGGTTTTAACATGTATGAAGCGTTAAAGACACTGGTTCACTGATCACTGCTACAGTGACTTTATGAAGCTCTTTTTTACTTTACCTTACATTTTGTGTGGTGTGGCTACTGCTGAGTTTTATGAAACAGTCCCTTAATATGTGTGCATTTAAGGTGGATATTTGCAGTGGATGTGTACTAAATAACAAATACAAAAGTGTACTGTACATACATTTATACATATTTATATATAAATAAGTGTCAAAGAATGTTGCTGGATAGAAGATATCACTTTTACTTGGGTTTGTACTTAGATTTTTTGTGTTTTTTGATGTAGTATTCCAAAAGAAAAAATTGCGTACAAAGAGCAGTCTAAAACTAGTACAATATCACAATTAATATACAGAGGACATGCTCCTAAATGTAGGTAAAGGAGATGATTTTCTCTTGATTTGTTACAGGTTACCATCATTCAGAAAGTTCTTCTCACCACAGTCATATTCAGCAATTCAAGAACTCTCCAGATATGTGTTCAGGAACATCATTTCAATATCAGGTAACTTTAGGTTATTATACCCAGGTTCTGTCTATATGCATGTGTGTATGGCTTATGTTTTCTCTAACAATGAAACAACACAGAGCTCAAATTAACTCACATAAATTTTAATTACGGTTATATATTTACATTAATTGTCAATTTTGAAGTAGATTTCACTAGTTAAAATACATTCTTAAATAACACAAGTAACACATTAGAATATTGGCCAAATGTTATTATAAGTGCTTTAAAAAAAAAAAAGTTATTCCATATTGAAGATGCAATTCATTCATAATGTCAATGATCTTTCCCTTGAATACATTACAAGACTGATTTCATGAATGGATCCTGCAGTAGGAAAGCTGTATTATATTCTACTTTAGATTAATTGACCTACTTTAGAGGATCTATATAATCACCATCCAAAGAAACAAACAAATATCTCCAAAATAGTAATTTTACAGGAGAGGGCAAAATGTCCTTTACTTTTAGTGCAAGTTCATGTAAAGCGATTTCACTCTAAGCAATTTTGGATAATTTCTGTTGGTCTGTTCGTCATGAATTGTTCACACAGTGTAAAGGCCAGCTGCTGTGTTCAAATGATGTCGAAAATTAAAAATGGAGATAATTGTTTTTTGTTTTTTTTGGACAGTGATGATAGGTACTGCATATACATATCCTAGCATAGCAAGAAAGCTGCATGCTATAAATCATTTTGAAATCAATTTTGACATAAAGTCAGTCACGAAGTTAAGAATAAATTCTTCATTTTTAAGGACTTCCATCTGAGCCCTAGACACAAGTCTCACCTCAGTCCATTTGTAAAAGCCACAGAGTATTCTTCTTCCAGTGATGAGGTGGGGAGCAGTGATGATGATGAAAAGAGCAGGTCAGCCTGTTTCATAAGTACTCTTTTTTTTCCTCTTTTCTATGAAAAAGTTTATCAACTTGAGCGAACTGTGCCATTGTATGTGAGCCAGAGATGTTTAAACTGGGTTAAAGGAATACTTTCATCTCCTGTACTTGGATGATAACAGAAATCCCTCTAACACGAAACACGCATCTACTTGTCATACAAGTAGCAATAGCAACATTATTAAACTACACTCTAATGGAAGTAGTAGCATAACCAAATTGGTTTGCTAGCATGCAGTTGGAAAGTTCATGGAAGGTCATAAACTGATGCACCATGCAAGAATTGTCTTAGACTAATGATAATGAAGGTAAGAGAGAAGCAGCAGTTACCTGAAAAGAGTTGCATGACAACCTGAAAGTAGCAGGAACAGCAGTTACACAAAGAACTATCAATGAGACCATGACCCTTAACGGAAAAAGGTAAAGATGCTTGCATGGCTTAGCCAGTCTCCTGACTTTAATTCCATTAAAAATGAATGGACAATTTTAAAATCGCAAATCCATCAAAGGGACCCTGGTAACCTTGGGGAATTGAAGATGGTTTGCTCAGAGTGCAGGAAAGAGCTAATTGTTTCTTACCATATACATCTCAAAACTGTAATAGCCAACAACAGCTTTGCAACAAAGTACTATTGTTATTAATTTGTGCTATCTGAATCCTAATCAATTTGTTTTTTAAAACATATCTTTGTTTATGCTTATGAATACATAAAAAGACAAAAGACATTAAGTGTGTAAATTTGAAGTGAATGTCTGCACTGTGCTGAAGAGTGTTGACATACATTCACCAGTCAAGAACTACAATGGCAGGATTTTGCTATATAATTCAAGATGGACATGGACTCCCTGCAGTGATTGCTTTATAGACCACCATAAGTGAAAGGTTCAGCTACTGGAAATTAGTTTTCTTTGTAACTGTTGTTGGTCTTATGTCTCACAGTGTTATCTGAATTTTTGAAATCATACTGCAATTTCCTAAAACATTTACTGTATCTGTTTACTCTCTCACAACAGGTCACCACAGAGTAATGACAGGAGTAATTTTTTCCGAAGAGCCCCTGAAGATATAGTTCTACAGCCTCACTGCAATCTTATCCCACAACGGGTAAATTATCTTCATCTTTAAAAATAAAGCACAATAAGTACCAACAATTCTTATTCAATGTTTATAGACATTATCCACTAATTAAGTGTGGCAAACAGTTTTTCACTGACTTACCACTATTCATTACTGCATTTGTTAATTATAGTAAACTGGTGTACCAAAGTAAACAAAGGCATTTTGGATGCAAACCTGAAGAAGTCTACAGAGAAGCTGTTCAAACAATGATGATCTGATACACACCAGTTATCTTTTGAAAGAATACTTTTTAGGTTTTTTAGGTAACATGCTCTAGTCAAAGTCAGCTTTATTGTTATTACTACTCACTACAGTGAACGAAAAATGGTTTCTTCAAGACGTGGTTCTACATTTAATACGGAGCAGCAGCAGACAACAGTACAAACAAAACTAAATACAATAAAAACAGCCAAAACTGTACAAAGTATACAAAATCTTGCACAATAAACTATACAATATACAAAAGAGTATATAGCCATTAAGCACAGCAAAGTAGGACAGTGGGTTGAGAAAAACATAGACCAGCTGTCGGTCCATAGCAGCGATGACTGTTGTCCATATATCACATTATCAGTGCACACTGATCATAGTAATCATAGTACTGGCTAGTTGAAGAAAACACACTAGCAGTTTAATAACAGCTATGTAGGTAAAAGAAAGAGAATGGTGCTAACCTCAGATCAGACCAAATAGTGCTTTATGACAGATTTGGATGTGATTGAGGTGCTCTTTAATAACTGTCTGTAGAAACATTCACAGACATACTTCTTGTCCTGTGTGCTTGACTGATGTACACTAGAGGGCGTCTTCTGTATGCTGAGAGCTTGAATGTAAGCTCAGCTTATCGCAGGTTTTGTATTTGAGCTTCCTTTCCTCCTTTTAGTTGTAATGTTTTCATCACTGATGTTAGGACATGAGATATACTCTTGTGTCCTCCTCCAAGGTGAGAGCTGATAACAGTAATGTTGGATTAGAGTCGAATGACAACTACCTTCTCCCAGACATCTTGCACAAAAGTCTAAGCCATGAGTCCCCAGGCCTGAACCAGAATGACCTCATCTGCCCTCAGTCTCCTTCTCGATGGAGCCCTCATTCCGAGGTACCATTAACAGCATTAAGAACCTTATTATGACCTATAACATTAGGTTCACACAGAGTGAGGTTTTCATTAATTTTTATTGCTAAAAAAAGGAAAAAATCTAAATACATTAACACTGTATTGCTTAGAAAAAAAACATTAGAAACATATAATTTCATATAAATCAAAGCAAGGATATGGCCAAACTGTGCTATATATTTGAATTAAAGAAATTTTACAATTAAAAACTGACCGTTGTAGCAGGCGATGTTATCAAGTCCAATGTTTGAGACCCCTGATATATTCCTACTGTGGAGATTCTGGAGAGCATTTTCTTGTAGTGACCATTACATGCATAGTATGCATATAGTCATCTTAAATTCTTCTCATTTATTTGTCTTGAGCTTTGATATCTGTGAGATAAATGTGTTTGCAGAAACCACTTAATGGCCAGCAAGCAAAGAACATTTCATCTTCTTCCTCCTCCTTCACGCCATTCATAGATCCTCGCTTGCTACAGATCTCTCCACCTCAGAGCCCACAAGGAAATAGTCAGAGTAAGTCATTATCTCTGTCCAACTTGCTCTTTGTCTTAAGCTGTCCTTGGTCAGTTTGTTGTTTCAGATACTCATCATGAAATCCATACTGTTGTATATCATTAGTCATAGCAGAAGGGATGTAGTGAGCATAGATGAAAAGCAATGAGTGAAAAGCTAGCTATTCTGACCTCCTGACATTTTTGTTTTTAAAGTACACTACAGGCAAAGTTGAAGGAGAGTGTAAATAAATGTATAAATTGTCTCTTAATATTAAAGTATTTATACCTCTACACCTCTCTCTCTCTCTCTCTCCTCTCTCTCTCTCTCTCTCTCTCTGTCTTTGTCTGTCTGGCTCTGTAGACAGTGTAAAGGCTGAACCAATCAAGAGACAGAACCACAGGAAAGGCTCAGTTGTCAATGTGAACCCTGCCAACATCCGTCCCCAGAGTGACACACCAGAGATACGCAAATATAAAAAGAAGTTCAATGCTGAGGTCCTGTGTGCTGGTCTGTGGGGTAAGCCATACTTCACTGTGTAGTGAATGGGGAAAATCTGTAGCTGTATTCAGTACATTTTTGAGATTACTTGATGTATGTGTAGTGCTAAATAGGGCATTTTCTCCGGTATCTAGGTGTGAATCTCTTGGTTGGTACTGAGAATGGTCTGTGGCTGCTGGACCGCAGTGGTCAGGGTAAAGTCTATTCACTCATCAGCCGCAGGCGCTTCCAACAGATGGATGTACTGGAAGGCCTCAATGTGCTCATAACTATCTCAGGTAATCACAAGTGACATACCTTATGCCGTAATTTGCTGGACAGAGGATATATAGCTAAAGGTATAGTGTTTGCTCTGTGTTTTTGTAAGAGGGAAAACCATTACAACAATAGTTTCAGCTAGAAATATCAGGGTTCCTGAACATGGGTGCAAGTCCCCGCTAAACAAACATAGTGTATGTTAAACTAACGAACAGCCAACTAAAACTTATTCCCAAAACCATTGCTGCTCAGTCAGACCACAGTAGTTTGCTAGTTGGAACCACCGTAGTTTAAACTACAGTGGTTTGACCTCTGTGTTTAATGGAATTTGCAGTGAATAAACAACCAAAATGAACAGTAGCTTAACTTGTTCAGATAATGTGGAACCTACTGGGTTAGGTCATTTGAGGCAGTATAATTTAGAAAAGCTTTTGATCATTACATTGCAACCTACATCTGATAAATTAACACAGACTAATGCTATTTTAGGTGTACTATTTCAGTGGTAACTGTCTTTAGCTTAAATATAGGCCATAACTGAAATTGGGCCTAATTTTGTACACAAACACAAAGTTGGCTGTTCCAGGCCTTGACTGATGGATTCTCCCTGTCTTCACTTTTTCTCTGTCCTCCTCTATTGCTCCTATCATTCTTTCCTCACTGTACTTGTAATACTTCTTAACATTTTTTCTTGCATGTCTATGGGATCTTGTATTTCAAAGTTCACCCCTTTTTATCAGTTCTGTGCTACTGTCCTCTGCAATACATACAAACTGTTAATTGAGTCTCATAAACTGTTGTTATTGCTTAGTACTGTAATGCTTTAATTACATTTAGTGTACCAAAAGTAAAATAACAAAAAGAAAAGTAAAACAACTTCTCCAGCTTTGCCTTTTGCAGAAAATTGCTGTTAACCATGTGGTCCATATATCTAGATTATACATATACGCATTGTTCATAAATGTGGTAATTTCAGATTGTTTTTCACTATAAAAGCAGATTTTTAACACTGTCCCTTATATCATGTCATGTATTAGAGTTTGGGACAACAAAAAAATTTAATTACAAATAAGAACACCTGTTGCCACTAAGTTATCTATATATCATATGAAGGTAGTCTAATAGGACTTATAAAATGACTGCTATGACTTTAATTTAAGTTCATTCCAGTTTTGTGTTTACTAGGCTTACATTTTTTTTCTCTACATCTTTGGTTTGATTTACTAAAGAGCGCATATCAGGGCAATTAAAGCCTAAATTTCTTCTGATAAAAAATGGAAGTTAATTTATCCCCCATATTATTTGACCTTCCACAATATTGTGTGTGTAAATGTTACATGTAAGAAAATTACAGCTGTTGCTAGTGTAATTGTTTAACAATCCTGACTTTGGAGCTGGTCAGCTGTTGAATTGGGGCTATTTTCCCCTCTATGATCAAAATAAAATTACCTCGAACAATAAATGCATACATAGGTTAGCCCCCCCGCTAGTAGCTGTGTTTTGTTTGTTGTTGTTTTTTTTTGTTTGTTTTGTTTTTTTTAAGGCAAGAGCGAGTTGCACTATACCTTTGTCAAGAGGGTACAGTACATAGTTGCACATCTAGGTCAGAAAGTGTCTAGACTTGCATTGTTACATTATACATTATTCAGATTACAGCATTTAAACATAGTACAGTGTCTTACAGGAGGAAATATCCATATCACATTATATTTAAAGCTACATCATTTTGCTTACTAGATTTTACTGGTTGTCATAACTTGCAGATTTTTGTTGTAGAGTGTGTGTAATTAGTTGAAATTAGTTGAAATTTGAAGGTATTGCCCCAGTTATGTAGTATTTCTGTAGAGCTAAGAAAACAAACCTGGATCTGGGAATCTCTAGTTTCAGCAACACAAAAATATGTAAGACTAAGTAGTGAACAGATTTTTGTGTACAGGCAGTTGCTTGTAAAAGTGTAGTAACTTTACTGAACATGATTTGAAGCTCTAATAACTTTGTTTACAGGACAAAGGAAGTTACTCTGAGCTATCGGGGCATCTAAAACAAGGTTTAATGCTTAAATTTCTCAAACACTACTACCCCATAGGACGAAATGCACACTTAACTACATGACATAATGCAGTATAAGTGTCTGCTATTTCAGGCTAGATTTGTTACAGGATTGGATCTGATTTGTTCTTTTTTTGCATCCCATGTACAAAGTCAGAATTGTGCTGTTAGTAACATCCTATGATACTATGATACTATAACCCTAAGATATAGCTTAAAGTAGGATGCATGTGTTAGCCCATGCTCTGTTAGGTAGCTGTTTTTTTGTGTTTTTTTTAGGTGAGATCCTGTTATGTTAGTTACAACAAAAGGATCTAGACTTGTATTGATACATAATATATTAATCAGGTTACTGACTTGGGCAGCATTTAAAACTAGTACAATGTCTTACAAGAGGAAATACCACATTATATTCCATCATCTTTATCATATTATATTTAGAGCTACATCTGTCTTTTTTACTCACTGTCTTTTTTACTTTTTTTTCACTGGTTTGTATACTTGTAAGCATATTGGGTCATATTTGGTGTAGACAGTGATTAAGTGACTTAATTGAAATCTGCTCCAGTTGTTCACAGTCCCTCTAAAGTTTCTATAGTGTTTCTATGGAGCCACATGATGGTGCTGATCATATTAAATTTCTTAATATGACACATGCTTTTTATGTATTTGTTTGTTACAAAAGCCCACTCTAAGCAGATGCCCCTGCTTAAATCTACACTGGTAAAAACATTCAGTGTGTGTTATCAAACTCAGGGACACTAACTAAGGACAAATTAGAAAATGTATACACTATGTTAGCTGAATAATAATAGTAATCCCGATGCTACTAATAATATTTGTGATTTTTTTTTTTTGGATCTTATTGTCAAATGGGCAGGTAAAAAGAACAAGCTGAGGTTATACTACCTGTCATGGTTGAGGAATAAGATCTTACATAATGACCCTGAAGTGGAGAAGAGACAGGGTTGGACTTCAGTGGGAGACATGGAGGGGTGTGTGCACTACAAAGTTGGTGAGTCTCCACTTAATGACTGAATTGTCAGAGAAAGCTGTTGGCTGTTTAGGATATTTAGGATATAATGTTTTTTAAATACATTTTGCCTTGTTTTACCTTAATTACCCTGTTATGTTGAAGCTATCTCTGTTGTGACATGAAAATGATACTTGTGCTCTTGCCACATATGTCACAGAATTGTTGATGTTGAAAGTAGACTGAATGACTTCTCAAATTAAACTATTTCTCTTAGCTCTTTTGGGGGTTGTCATAGAACAAAATCTGCTTCACTGGTCCAACACCAAACTGTTTAAAAGCAGTGTTTTATCATATTTCTTTTTTTTTTCATTCAAACTTTGTTGGATGTTCAAATAACACTGAATTTTAGTATCGTACAAACATTTTCAGGCTTTATACTGTGTTCCCTGGTACTTTAAAGACCTAGGGAATCTAAATCCATGATTGCTTTTTAATTAGGTCAATGTTGGTATAATATCCGCACAATATGCATATAGAAAGTAGACAATATAAACATTGCGATGGACAATGACATCATGGGGAGGGGAGGGTGTCATTCATGTTTGAGCCCATTCACAGCCCATCTTCCCCTGTTCACTTGATTTTTACTTGTTTTTTTCCTTCCTTTTCTTCTTTTTTATCTTTCCTCCGTATCCACCTTATTTTTCACGTGACCACTGTGTTTTGTGATTATAGCTGAGATTTTTGGTTTGGTAACGGATGAAAGTGTTTATGTGGCTGAGTTTGTTGGAAACGGGTGAGGATAATAATGAGCTTGTAGGTAGCAGTGATTAGAAAGCCTTGTGTATGGAGAATCCTCCGTATTTCCTGGTTGAGGTCCATCTGGAGCATTCTCAAGGTTGATAAATGGCATCCAGACATCTCCATATCTGAAGTCATGTCTGTTTGAATGCTGAAAAAAGAAGAAGAAAATGTAAACAGCACCTGAGCAATCTCAAATTCTTTATGGAGAGATGGTAAGATAGGGTTAGTCATCAAAGGCTACAACTGTAATTTTAAGAATCTGTCCACAACAGTGAGTTCCTGTTGCCAGGGTCATAGTTACATTCAGTCAGAGATGTCTTCCTGGTCCCCAGTATTCTCTTTCACTGTAGAGTTCAGATGCATTTATGTTTACTGCTTTTTTAGTTAATTGATGGTCTGCATGCATTGGCCAAAGTAAGAAAATTTAGATAGATTATATATTGTAATTATAACTGTAATGAACGGTGACATCTGACTTGTGATTTCAGTGCGTTACGAAAAGATTAAATTCCTGGTTATTGCCTTGAAGAATGCTGTAGAAGTCTACGCATGGGCTCCTAAGCCATATCACAAGTTTATGGCTTTCAAAGTAAGTGTCACATTTTAGTGACTAAATGTGTAACTTTACACAAGTAAACATTTATTTAGAGATACAGTGCCTTTTCGCTTTACTGTATACTGCGTGTTGATTTATGTTCATTTTACAAAGGGCTGAGCTTAACCACTAATGGCTTGTTTTAACACACATGCATATACCCATAGCATAATACTAATACCCCATATGTAGTCCTGTGTTACTGTTAGGTTTTGTATTTCTGGGCTTATTTTATGGTATTCATTAAGATATGTGTTTTTAGATACAAGACATCTTATCTCAGGAAGTCTGTGCAGATTCAATACACAAAACATGCAGTGATTGCTGAGTTTAGATGACAGTAAATTTCTAAAAGCACAGCAAATATGACTACCCCAATTCTTTTGGAGCTTAGCATATGCATATGCTTGTCTTCCAAGCAATAGTTTTGGTTTCCACATATTTGAATAATGTCAACACTGAACAAATAAATACTGAGTAAAAACTGCTTGTGTGAATTTAAGTTATATATTACCAAAAATAAGAACCAAAGCCATAGCCATAAGGTGTAGTATTACCTAACTATCCACCACCTACCTTTTAAAGGTAATATTTTTTAAGCTGTTGGCATATATTGCATTCTTGTATACTCATGTTCTTGCATAGTATAGTATCTGTGTAATATTCCCAAATTTATTTATAAAAGCTCTGGACGTTGAATTAAAATCATGGATCCGATCTATAATCACTTAAATTGAAGTACCTCCCCAGGTCAAAATAAATCTAGCTTGAATAGAGTCAAACAGTGCTTGTCTCACTAAGGAGGTCACCTTGAAGAATGTCCTAGTTTAGTATTATCCTGGGAGACTTGTTCCAGTTTTGACATACTCATCCATTTATTGGTTATTTTAGCACAGAGATACATGTCTTCTTACCCTAAAGCAACCACAAGTTGTGTAACACTGTTGCCCTGCCTATTTTGTGAAGAATGGATTGCTTTACAGACAATCTGAGCTCTCCTTGCTTTATTTGTGCTGACCAAATATGTTTAACTGTGCGTAATACACAAAAGTAGCTGATAAGGTTACCAAACATATATGGAAGAGCACCTTCAGGAAAGTGTTCATATTCTTTGTGCTTTGTCCAGCTGTGTTATTTACTGGACAAATAGAGAGTCTTTTAAGAAAACCCACTCAAAAATAAGTAGTTTTTTTTTTTACAGTATCTAATACAGCATGCTAGCAATAAATATCAGTGATTTTTATTGTGTTACTTTGGCCAGAAATATAAATAATGTGTCAGTGATGCAGTAATGCTTTATATTTGTGCAGTCATTCACCTCTTTGCCTCAGAAGCCACTGTCCGTGGATCTGACTGTTGAAGATGGACAGAGGCTAAAGGTCATCTATGGATCAGTATGTGGGTTTCATGCAATCGATGTCGATTCTGGAACACCCTACGACCTGTATCTGCCCACACATGTGAGTTTCTTCTTCAGACTGCCTTACAACCGTGCTTTGAAATCAAACCTTATTAGGGGACATGGCAGACAGAAATACTTACATTTACCTCTCAAAGTCCCAAAGCACTCCTTAAGCTTTATTAATACTCACTATGCTTTAAGAATTGTGTACAAAGTACCATATTGTATGTAATAATATTAGATCAACTACACCTACATCAAAAGACTAAAAAACAAACTACATATTTAGTTAAGATTAGTTTCACAAAACATATTTGGCAAAAGAACATACTGCTGTTTGTATCTGTAATACATTAGAGTTTGAACAGAGGACAGATTTTGACAAATTGGTCAAATAAGTTCTACATGTGTGCTGATTTGTCTCCCAACACTGCTATCATATTTGCATGTGTGGTCTAAACACACCGGACACATAAGCAGTAGCGTTTTGGGAGGAGGGCACTGTTTTCCTTTAGTTAGTTTTTAAAATTGAATACAACCTAATCTAATTACATTAACTACATATTGCAATTGTGATAAACATTTGAATATAAAAAGAATGGTGAACTTCTGAAGATATAATTAAAAATTATTATTGTTATTTTGACCAACATTATTGGTTTTGTTGGATCACTTAAATGCCTCAATTTATTAAAACACACACAGAAACTCATCTGGAACATCTAAAGTTGGTCAGAATGCTCATAGCGCACAATTTAAAAACTAGCTGTCAAATATTAGCAAATATTAACAATTATAACTCGTTAAATAATGCAGAAATGTAGCAAAATCTGTGGAATTCCCCTTTAAGGTTAACACCAAAGTCCTTCTGTCCTCATAAGCATAGTAATACCATACACTGTCAGTGTGGTGCATTTGGACTAATTGTAGGATGGATACTTCTCAGCTCAGCTTCGCCCACACTGCTGAGCTTTTACTCTTGACTACAGTAATCGTGTAGGAAGGAGCTGTTTACCACCGATTGCCATTACACTATGATTCACTTTTAAATCGGGATGGAACACAGGCGTATAAAGCGAGATCATTGCAGTGCTCCATTTGGAAGCCATTGAAAAAACACACACGATCATCTGCTTATGGCACAAATATAATTTGGCAGGCCTAAAGCAACAGATCTGTGTTTGCTGCATGCCTCTGGGAGAAACTTCAAAACAAAAAAGATCTATACTTGAAAAAGGCAGTCTGCTTTCACAATGTATTATGTGAAAAAAATTTGTCACATAATTGTTAGTTTTAAGCAGTAAAGCTATTTTAATGTAGAAAGATTCATTCCACACCAGTATATCAGTCTTTTTACTTACAGAGATGCTGGACTATACTGTGTTTTCATGACTGTTCTGAGGAGAATCTCACACACCCACAGACCGTGGCTGTGTATCAGCACTAAGTGGCTCCCTGACACACAGCGAGAAAGGGAAAGAGGGCTATGTTGCCACCTATGACTCTTAATACCCATTCCCATTATAGGCCTACACTCTACTGAGGTGCCCCACATATATTACCCTCAAAATCTTGCTAAGCTTGTGTGTGCGTGCATGTGTGCCTGTGCTAGTTTCTCCTAACCAATAGCTCGCCTAAAAATACCCCTCCCCAACCTTAAAGTGCTCCCAAAGCATAAGCCTTTCGAAATGACCTGTTATTCTACTGTTTTTTTTTTCTAATGTGACAAAGTAGATATATTTGGAGGCTAGCACAAGAGAATCAGAGACTGAAAGCAGTGCAGGGCTGTGTTCCATAGCTTTCCTGTCGCTGCTTTTCTGTTGCCGTTTACGCTTTCTCATCCTCATTTGCTCTCTCACACATGCAGCTACACATATCTTCATTTGCTCTCTCTTTATTGCACTTGCTTTGTGCTTTCCTTCCAACGCTCTCTTTTTCTGTCTTTGCTCTAATATACAGATGCACACATATGCAACCTTTGCACAGCGCTTTTGCCACACTCACTCCATGTCATCGCATGCTTTTTTCCACATGCATATCTACATACATCAACACACTTTTTTTCATACATCTTTCACTGCTGCTGCTCTTTCCTTTCTCTAATTATCTGTATGCTCTTTCTGATTTACACGCATACACTCATAGAGGCGCGCACGCTTACACACCCACACATTCTACCACTCCATCCCTGCCAGCGGTGCTCATGAGAATACCACGGCAAAGAATTAAGATAGCGCTGCGGCTCTGGATGCCAGTGTTGATGCTGAGGATTGTAGTGGCTCAGCAGGAAGATGGGACAGTTTGTGTGAGGCAGTCTCGTAGTCAGGCAAGTACAGTGGATGGTTGTGTGTGTGAGAGAAAGAGAGCAAAAAAGAGCAAGAGAATCTGCATGCCTGTGTTGACTAGATTGTGGGTGTACAAGAAATATTGTTGTTTTCATTGTCAAAGAGCAGATTTTCTTTTGTTTAATATGTCTGTGATGAGTATTTCATAAAGTATGGCATTAATTCTTCAAAAAGAATTGGTGGAAAAAGTATTATTTTACATAGTGGCATTGCAACATGATGTGAAATTTTATAATGCATGTAATGAGCATTCAGCACCCTCGGTCAGAATGTTAGCATTGATAAAGTGAACTTACTTATTTTGAATACTTATTTTAAAAAATATTGAAACTGGCTTCTTTATCCTTACATAGGATTGTAGTCAAGTAAGAGACTAATAATAAATAATAAATATTCATGAGATCTCACAAAGTACACTTCCACTATTTATTTATTTTTTTTATGCATCAAGGCTGTTATGAGTTAGGATTGAGTGTTGAGTGGCATAATAAAATGAAGTGTTGGCAGGAACAGTGAATCACAGCCATCCTGAGATGAGAGTGCATACTCCGGTAGCTTTTTTTCAGTTTGTCATAGCTCACAACAATCAAACTGGGTGCAAATTAACCATAACTATGAACATCAAAGTCAGCAAATGGAAAAGTAAAACTAAAATTTTCTAAAAAAAAAAAAAATCTTACAGCGCTCATCTTTGTGACTCAGAAGGGCATCCATGATCAATCCAAAGCAACTGTTTATGCAACTAGAAATCACATTATTATATTTCTCTTGTGCATCAAAAAAAAAACTTGTCCCCACACCTGTACTGGCTCGCAAATCCCTCTTTGTTTATCATTGTTTTCACCTGTGTCCAGTGAACCTGTTTGTATAAAGACCTTTTTTAGTACCAGGTCTTTCCGTTTAGTAGCATGTTTTCCCATCATGTTATAAGTCTAGCATTGCCCTGTTCTCTTTCTTGGTCTGTCTTGGTTCTTTGTTTTGCCTGTGTTTTTCTAGTTAGTTCTATTTTGTTTCTAGCCAACCCAACTGTATGGATAATCCTGTGACTGCTTGTGTTTTTAGCCTGGACATGAACTACTGCTATGATTGTTGTATTTGTATTTGTATTATTAAACAGACAGAGCACTTGCATTTTGCTTCCGCTCCATGCCCATCATGGATGCAGCGAGACTATTTGAATGGCAACAATTGTAAATAGATTGCAACAGTGCCAGACTACAGGAAGACATTTTGTTGTTGCGACATCTTTGAGTCCAAGCTGACAAATGACTGTTTATAGACTTGGCTATTGATCTTGTGCCCCTGTCAAATTCAGCTACACCTCCTAACTCCAGCTTGACTTCGGCTCATGCTCTTGACTTCCATCAAGCTTTGTCCCCTGCTTCTGTACCAACTCCTGACCTCAGTTTGGATCCTCTTTCAGATCTGGTTCCAGTCTCATCTCTTGCCCATGTATCTGTCATGTTTGCTTCTATCACTGATAGAGCTGCTGTAGCTGTCCCTTACCCTGTTTCTGTTTTTGCCCCACTCTCTTCCCCATGTCAGTCTAGTTTCCCAGAGCCCATTTCACGTTCCACGCTCCAGTTCAATTCACTTTGCAGTCCTTCAGACCACCATCATTCAGCCCTGTTAGTGACTCTAGTTCTGGTGCTTCAGGCAGCTCTGATTTTGATCTCATGCAACTTCAAATCCAGTCCTTCTTGCAGCTCTGGTTCCAGTCCTGTAAACTGCTTTGATTTTGGTCTCTTGAGCAGTGCTGTGTACACTCCTGGTCCTATTTTATTCTTGCTCTTTTCAGTCTCTGTAACTTTTTGGTCTTTCCAGTCTTCCACTGCTCCTGTTGTAGATCCAGCTCCACCTGTTGCTTTGTGGATTCCGTTTCTGTGCCTTGGGAGCTGCTTGTTGGAAGGGGCTCTTTAAAGGCAGTCCTCCAGATCTCCTCACCCCAGATTCCTTTGTTTACTTGTTGAGGTCCATGCTTACAGAACCCAATGAAATTAGAGGAAATCGGTCTAGTTTTTAGTGATCTTTTTTCAATAGTTTCAACATTGTTACATCTTTGTTGATTATGGGGAAAAAATGAAAGAAATTTAATCTTTCAATGAAGCAAAAGATGACTGAAAAACACATGTTACAATTATTAACACCACTCCAGTACTTAGTACTTAGTACTTTGTGCACCATCTGTTTCCCAAAATAACAGCAAAATAACAATGTCATACTGCTTGGTGAAGTGGGAGAACACATAAAGGGATCCAAGATCCTTCTGTACAAAAAATCTCTCTGGTTCCTTCAGAGTGCTTGGTCCTCACTCATGGATTCAGCTCAGCCCACAGATTTTCAGTGAGGTTTAGATCAAGAGTTTGGGATGGCCCTTACAAGATCTTGATTCAATGGTCAGGAAAAGTCAGTTTTATGTATGTTCTCCTGGTATTTGATAGAGTATATTATGCCAAAGGGAGAAAAACAGCCCCACACTGTAACACACACTGTAGATCAGTAAAAGTATGAAAAACATTCACTTGACCCAGCATATTCGCATGGAGTTCTGCAAAACGTGCCTCAGTTTAAAAACAAAATGGTTATGATTTTGAGTAAATGAAGGCCACAAAAATGAGAGTGGTCATATTTCACGTCATATCCAGCACTTTGTCTCCTTGGCTACACTTTGGAAAGGTCAGCGTCAAACTGGGTCAGAGCTGAATTTGCTTGAATTTTGAGAGCATCCGCAAAGCGGCAAATCTGAAACACACACACACACACACACACACACACAGTTGTCCGGTTCCATGTAAAAGCCAGTTTAATCTGAATGACTTAAAATTGATAAACATTTATTGACATGCTGCATGAGTATTTTAAGGCATGGGCTTGCCCACAATGTCTTTCCACAACTTACCCTACTCCTGTTACACCTGCTGATTGATTAACCCTAAACCCAGGCTACTGACCTACATAAGTATGATGCTTACTCTGAGTACACTAAGGCCCTGATAATCAAGTGTGCTGCACTAACAGTCTTTACTCTTCTGGGGCACTTAAAACTTTTCTAGCCAGTACTTGGTACTGGGCGTAGTGGCCTTACACTACTATGCGGCTGCTTCAGAGAGTTCTATTATTTTAGCATTGCTTTTCTATGGAGATAAGTTTGTTCATAATTCTCACTAATTAGAAGGATTATATAGGATTATATAGTGCATCTTTGTTTTGTGAACTGTAGAATAATACCAGTCAATCTTTGGGTTTGGTGAGAGTGGAGGTTTTCTTTTAGCAAGCCTCTCCAACATCTTGTAGGCATGGATAGAGTATTGGTTGAAATTTACCAAATCCAGATTTCTTGAAAAGATACAAATTCCTAAATGATTCAGAAAGAAATCTATTTTCTTGCTAAATCACAAGGCTGGCAATGTAGCTAGTGCAGCAGATATGCTAATGAGAAGTATTTCACAACAGATAAAGGACACTACTAAACTTGCCATTAACAGTGACCTGCCTAAAAATAAAATTGCTATTTATGATTATTAATTGTAATCTTTGGAAGAGAATCTAAAAATGAGCATGCTGCACATTTCTGCAGTCGTCAAGCTCATCACTATTAAAGATAAGAGAGGGATTTCTGAAGTTCTGTGTCCAGTGTTCAAAATGACTGAGATAGAATTTCACTTGATTTGTGACATTTTGACAGAAAATATGTTACTTTATAATGAGATGTGTAAATAAGTTGCACATAATTACAGGCAAATATTTATACACGCCTGTATGACATTATGCTTATTTAATATGCATCTGTATGTGTGTTTTTCAGATCCAAGGCTCAATCCGTCCTCATGCCATAATCATCCTGCCCAACAGCAGTGGGATGGAACTGTTGGTTTGCTACGAGGACGAAGGCATCTACATCGACACCTACGGCCGCATCACCAAGGAGACGGTGTTGCAATGGGGAGAGATGCCTGCTTCTGTTGGTGAGTTGCTGAAAATAAACCAGCCACCAGTAGCTGCAAGGGAGATGGTACAAAGGTGTTTACGTCTGTGTTCTGGAGTGGCTAGTCTTTTTAGTTTTTTACAAGAACTTTACTTTTTACATGTTGCAGACAAAGCACTATTACACTAGAAATACAGGCATTGGTGGTTTACTGTTTAATATCAGATTAGTCATAGCTAATTCCTTCTCATACACTACTAGGTGAACTTACATTGAAGGAAGGTTAAGGGCTTGTACACGCATTTAAACCTTTCACGCTTGAAAGTATTAAATGCATGTGCAGGCCCTCAACCTTCCTACAGTGTAAGTCCATGTGTAAATAACCACATACAAATCCCACTTCGCAAAAAGTTGGGACAGTATGTGAAACCCAAAGAAAAAAATTACTTTGAAAATACTACAGCAACAAGATATTTTAGATTTTACCATATCACCTTGATTGTTTTGGCAAATATACAATCACTCTAAAATTGATGCCTGCAGCATGTTCCAAAAAAGTTGGGACAGGGCAATTTAAGTTGTGAAATTTTCAAAAACATCTTAAACACATATTAACACCTCATGCAATCAGGAAAGGCTTAGTCATTTATGAGCAATGATGGGTTGAGGCTTATCACATCGCCAAAAAATGCGCATGAGAATATTCCAGTTTAAGAAGACTGTCCTTCAATTAGCAGTTGCAACAATTTTAGTTATTTCACCCTCTGCAGTGCATAATATCATCAAAGGATTCAGGGAATCTGGAGAAATCTCTGTGGGTAAAAACCACAACTTAATGCTTGTGACCTTCCATCCCTCATATAGATGCATTAAAATCCCACATGCTTCTGTCATGGACATCACTTAGACTTAGAAACCTAATGCAGTAATCCTGGTTCTGGACGTCCACTGCTCTGCACAATTTAGTGTTTAATCTGCTCCACCTAATCAGTTCATTATCAGCCCTTTACTGAGTTGAAGTGGGTGTGTTAAAGCAGAGAAGCATTAGAATAAAAAAAAAAAAATAATAATAATAATAAAATAAACAAAGCACAAAACCAGCTGAATCCACTAATTAGTTCTTCTACCCTTGCTAATTAGAATCAGCTGGGTTACTTCATGTTGGTAGGTTAGTACTTCCACTCTTTGAAAAAAAAAGGTTACCCACCTCTGATTGCAATTAAACAAATCATTTGTCATGATGGGTTGAAGCAAAGAGCTCTCTAGACCTTTGCAACAAGCAGTATAGCAGTGGCACTGGTTACCAAATGATTTCTCAACTTCTAACTGTTCCTAAAAGGACAACTGTGGCCCTTATCCACAAGTGGAAGGAACATCACTTGAAAATCAACCAGCCACACACAGGAGCTCCTCACAAGATTTCCAACCAGGCAGTCAGAACGTTGGTCAGAAAAAGAACCCAAGAGCCAAGAACCCCTTTGAAAAGAGCTCCAGAAAGACCTGGAAGCAGTAGGTACAGTAGTCACAGAGAAAACAATGCACTGGAAAAAATAGCTTCATGTGGTAACAAGCAATTAAACTAGTCAGCTCAAAATATTACCTTGATTGAAAGAGTCCTTCATTTAAAGTATTTATTTAGGTTGAACAAAACAAAAGAAAATAGTTAATTTACTTGTTTCCACATGAAGTATTTTTTTAGGTTGAATTGATGAACGATTTTTGCAGTGTAGGCAATGCACTCCATCGCCACTGTCTCCATTCATGATCACTTCAGAAGGCTCCATTACTGAAGAAAAGGTATGTTGAAGGGTGTTTGAAGTTGGCTACCTTTGGAGAAGCCTCCAGTGAAAAGTGAAGGTGGAAACATCACGGTATGGAGCTGTTTCTCTACTCATGGTGGAATCCAAAGCATCAAAGAGGAATGGAGCCAAGTAAATTCTTGAGAAGAATCTGTTGCCATCCACCAGGACTATGAGGATGAGATGTGGTTGGACCTTCTAGCAGGACAGCGATCCAAAACATTCTGCAGAAGTGTCTCTCAGTTAGTTCCATGAAGAAAATAAAGGTAAATTTGTGTAAGGAACTGAAGATCAAGATTCATCAGCAGCCCCCCAGAATCTTAAAGATTTAAAGATTGACTGTGTAAAAGAATGGTCCAAAATCCCACCTGAACACTAAGAGATTAGTTTCTTCATACAGAAATGAAGCTGTCATTGCAAACAAAGGTTTCTCCACCAAGTATTAAATATATTTCAGTTAGCATGTTCAGTACCTTTTACATGTGTCATTCCACTTTATTGCACGTAACTTTTTTGTGGATTGGAATGTTATGATTTCTGTAGCTTTGTAGATGTATTGAGTTAAAACCAATATTTGATCTAATTTCATGTGAATAGCTGCATGGGAAATATGTGTAATATATGTCCTATATATAGTCCTTTTTATATATATATATATATATATATATATATATTTTGGTATGATGCATGAGGTATACAAATGGTGTGTATGAGGTATGTAAATGGATTATTTTGGGTCTGCTCATACTAATGACAGCTATGACTCATTCTCATACACAAATATGAACCATCAAACCAAAATGACTTAGCAAGAAAAAAACCTGAACAAAATCTGATCTGAGCAGAAAAACTGAGCTGAGAAATAAGGCCTGTAATGAGACCATAGCCAAACACTCATCTCTCTAGTTTGCAGTTTGCCGTTTGCTTGGCTGAACCCAGTAGCCAGCAGATGGAGCCATTTTGCAGGAAACGCTGACTCCACACTTCCTTATTATTGTAAAATGATGAGGTGTTATATCAAAGTGATGCTATATTCCCCTAAATATTAGAAATATCCAGTATGCACCGTTAGATACCTTCCTGTTTGTTCAAACTATTTTGACATAATTTTTCTGTTCTAGGGTTCCAAACCACGGCAAGTGAAAGCCATGGTTGATTAAATATGGGTCTTTCTATATCAACTCACCTCAGGCCTGTCCAGTCATGTCGTGACTGAAAGATTGCATTTAAAAGATGAAATACTGCACAATATTGATTTATAATGAAATTATAATGAAACTTTTAAAATTCCTAACTAAAAAACTATTTGGAAGACATTTTTTTTGGTTTTCATGGAATGCATGATAAGGCCGGAAAAGCCTTAAATGTGTTGGCATGGAGTGGCCCAGTTGAATTTGGAAATCTGGAATAGTTTCATTACTGAGGGATCATAGACACAAAAAGCTCAATGGCAAAGCTTTATACCAATTTTTATTTCGGTTACTCTGTCCAAATAGTTGTCTTTATCTAAAATGAGGAACTAAACACAGTGCTGTATTCCAGTGCTAATTTTATACATCTTTTTATGCTACTTATATACCCAGAAATAAGCAGAAATAAAAATTTGGCTTTTTTTTTTTCATCAAATCCATCATTTTGTCCTTAATAAAGTTCTTAATTAAGCACAGGTCAAGCATGCAGCACAAATAACATTCAGCTTTACTGCCCTAGTGCTTATTTAGCACTTTATGTATAGTTAATGGGATATTACTGTTCAAAAATTCAGTATACATGCTTGAAAAAAGTTTTTTTTGTTGTTTTTGTTTTTAAATGTTTAATAGTTACAGTCACATTGATATTTCATTATATTTGTGCTTTTTTAACAGCAAGCATACTCAAACATTTGACTAGTATATGTATAGTTAACTCAAAATGTTCTCTTCATTTGTTTGGTTTTCACAGCCTATCTTCAGTCAAACCAAGTCATGGGTTGGGGAGAAAAAGCCATAGAACTCAGATCAGCTGAAACTGGAAATTTAGAAGGAGTCTTCATGCATAAAAAGGCCCAGAAACTCAAGTTCTTATGTGAGAGAAATGACAAGGTATAATAATTTGATACCAGAAATATTTCAGTATGTATTGTTGATATAAATTATCTGTGTAATAAGTGGTCTAATATTTAATATTAAATATATATTCTCATTGTATATTCCGCCCACAACACTTTCACTTATATTGAACATCTTATGAAACATATACTGGTATATTATTTATGCTTGTATGTTTTAAAGTTAAGTTCTTAGTTATACTCTTAAACGTAAAGGTGCTAAAAAGGTTTATTTTGGATGCTATAGAAGACCACTATTGGTTCCTTAAAAAGCTTTTCAGAGATTTTTTAAGGACTATTTTTGTGAGAGGTGTGAAGAAGTTTAAACTCCATGTAATGCAAATGTTCGTTATCAGTTTATTTTTTTTATAGATCTATAAGTTCAACCAAGAATTATTTATAAACCTTTATATTTAAGAGGAAAGAGACATTTACCTAAGGTGTGTTTCACCCCACTGTGTTTCTTTGCAGGTCTTTTTTGCTTCTGTGCAGTCAGGAGGCAGCAGTCAGATCTACTTCATGACACTGGGACAGAACTCACTCTTCAACTGGTGATTTCTTAGATTTGAGAAAGAGCTTTGCTCAGGGTAGAATGCTTCAGAAGATTTAAATGAAGTATCAAAATGCAGGAGTCATTCCCCAAATTGAAGATTTCCTACATTTTTTTAATATGCTTGTTCATTTTGGTAATCAGTTTTAATAATCAGGAAATTAAATGAAAAAACTTGTACATTTATTACCTACTTCAGTCAACCAAAACAGGATCCTGGATAAATAATTCTGATTTTAAAATCTATTTAGAACAAATCTAAATTAATGTGCTTCGACCACAACATCCACCACAGAAGTAGAATGAAAGGGACTGACGGCTAATTCACATATAGTTGGCAGCTAAATGGGTTACAAAGAATGTTACATTGCCTAGACTTGCTGTCAACATTTGTGCTTTATTATGCTGGATTGCTAACTCAAACATTCTTTGGAAATGTTCAACTGACTTGTGTGTGTCTGTTCTGCATATGCTTTTGTTGTCAGTTCCGCTACATACAATGCTACTATGAAAATGTATGTCTAGCAAATTTACCTGCCTCCACGACTCTAATACATGAAATGCAAATTGGACTGGCCACCTAATTAATCTAAAAGCAGTTTACATTATTTTATCCTAGGATATCGTTGGGAATTGTAAGATGTTAAGCAAACACATGGTGCACTTTATGTGAGTATTCCCTAACAGCATGCATACTTAATGAACACACTACCACAGTGTGTGCATTTTCAGAAATTTGGTATTTAGAAACAACTCAAATAGACAAGTGATATAATCGTATCTTATTTATGAATAATTCTAAAGATCATTAGATGAAATGTGAAGGAAAAAATGTAATCTAACTCCATGAGTATATGTAATAATTGTCATTATGAAAATAAATTTATTTTCATCATTTAGACAGTTATTATACATTTTGATATGCAGTGCCTTGCACATATAATTGAACTGTGCAGTTCATGCTAAATTGTTTCAATGCAACCTTTTTAACTGCAGAACCACAATTGCATGCATCTAATTACCCAAAGATTAAAAAATGCAAGCTAAAAAACACCCCCATGCACATATTAAATTAATTTGTTTATTTGACTGTATGACTCTTATGAGTTTATTAAGGGCATCCTCAGTGGATATGCATGGTTGATGGGTTGACAGAAAAAATCAGTTTTTTAATGTATTTTAACAGCAATTTGTACTGATGTAATGATGTTAAGATAAAGTTGGAAAAAACGCAGATTTAGTGACTCAGGGATTGAGACAAGACAAAAGCAGCCTGCTTCCAAAAGTGAATTAGAGGACCATGCCAAAGTTAGTGAATGTAACACTAGGTGTTATATAAAAAAAATAGAATAACCTTATGTTATATTGAGGTGGTAAGCAAACGTGGTGTGTGGTAAGTGGTACCACAGCCACAGAAATCTATGTGACCTTTTCTGAAGGCTTTAATGGCCACAGAGGCAGCATTTCATAAAGATCTATAATAAGATCATACATGTGGGTGTATGTATGTATGTATGTATGTGTGTAAATATATATATATATATATATATATATATATATATATATATATATATATGTACACACACACATGTATGATCTTATTATAGATCTTTATGAAATGCTGCCTCTGTGGCCATTAAAGCCTTCAGAAAAGGTCACAGATTTCTGTGGCTGTGGTACCGCTTACCACCTCAATATAAGATAAGGTTGTTCTATAAGACCTAGTGAGCCACCTCATACTGAATTTGCTAATTTGCAATCATTTACTCTCTGCAAAATTTGTTGTTTTTTTCTTTTTTTTCTTTTTTTTTGGTAGCTGACTTCTGTAACTCATTAAATAACTAAATAGCTATCAGTAACCATTATTAGAAGAGTTGTTGTGACTAATAATAATAATAATAATAATAATAATGAACATCATTTTGAATACAGCACAGTTTTTTTAGCTTCTAAGCAACTTAGGATATGTAGCAAGAAACAAATTAAAAAATATATAGTTGGGTTCCTAAATAGCAAATGTGCTGGTCACAGAAGCCTACATTTTTAAACTGTCAATTCAAGAGAGCAATTATCCAAAATAATGGCTTGCTTATTCCATATAAGGAATAGTCATGTTAGGGAGAAAGAACAGTAGTTCATTCACATGGACCAACAGACATTTAGAATTAATGGGCCTCATTCACCAACCGTTCTTAAGAAGAAATTTCTTCATAAAACCGAATTACACAGTTTTCACAAAGATTCTGACAGTCACCAGTGTTTTCTTATTTAGGATTTGTTCTTGGGTAAGAACAGAATTTCCACACACTCAAGATCACAAAGGTTGTGAACAACTCTGCAGTTTATGAATACATCATGAATCTGACAGACTTTCTTAGGACCTTTCTCAAGAACAAATAAAAAAAAAAAGCTTAGAAATATACTGGTTGATGAGGGCCATTGTTACTAAAGAACAATAAACAAAAATCTACAATTTGCATAGAATTTAAAAAGAACATAAAAGAGGCTGTAAATCTGAAGACATAAGATATATACATACAATGCCTTCCAAAAAAGAGCAAAAACATCTGTGAAAAAATGTCTTTGTTTTTTGTCAACTTGATCTTGTACTGAAAATGATTTTTAATAAGTCATATCACTACCAGAACAAAGTCAAGCTGATAAACACCAAAGACAATTTTTAAGAACACCAGTATTTCTAGAGGATACTCCATTGATGAATAAAAGTGACCAGATTAGTAGAGGTTCTCGATGTTAGTGAGGCACGTGTTGATGGTTTGGTAATGTAACATGGCCAGAGAGAGAGAGAGAGAGAGAGAGAGAGAGAGAGAGAGAGAGAGAGAGAGAGAGAGAGAGAGAGAGAGAGAGAGAGAGAGAGAGAGAGAGAGAGAGAGAGAGAGAGAGAGAGAGAGAGAGAGAGAGAGAGAGAGAGAGAGAGAGAGAGAGAGAGAAAAAGCAGGTGGAAAGGGCAGTGTTTGGAAGTGAGGAGGCCAAATGAAGTTGATCCAGTCAAGTGATGTAGGTATGTAATATTAAATTAAGGACTTTTTAGAAAGTGTGAGTTCATTACATCATTATGAGCATGAGTTCTTTACATCATCTCAAAAATAAGTGTCAAAGAGAGAAAGAATATAAGGTTCTTTGTGAATCTGTAGCACAGAAATGTTACACAGTTAAATTCTCATTTCATTAAATTTCCCAAACGTAGGTACTAAAATATATAACCTGCAGATTACGCACAATTTTTTCGAAATTATTAGGCCCAGATTTGAGCATATTTCAGTAATAACTTACGTATGATCTTGCCAGTACACTCATGATTAAGTATTATGTAAGAGAGCACAACCTTAATATCATCTGTTACAGTTAGGATAGAGTTTTACAACAAGACATAGATATAGATAAATGGCAGGTCTCAAAGCATTAAACACGGTGGTTTCACAGTTTCTAAAGTTCTAGAAATATAATGTCTGTTTCATCAGTCTAACTTGCCAAAATAAGTATTAAAACAAGTAGGTGCAATTTGTTGAAAAACGTGGGAAGATACTGATGAAGTGTTTACATTACCTTCTGCTATGGATTTGTTTGTACAATAGTGAATGTACATACCAGTTGCACTGTTTTATACATATTTTCTACTCATCATCTGTGTCTACAGTACATTGAATTGGAAAAGTATTTACACCTTTGCACCTTTTAGTCTTTGGTTAAACTAAAACAATATTGTTGTAAACCTATAAATAAATATGTATGTCTGTATTTTGTGTTTAATGTTTTCGACTAGAGTTCTACTACTGTACAAGCCATATGGAAGATGTTTAAGTAGCATCATTGCTACTGTATTGTGCCTGCACATGTAAATCTCATTATTTCTTGACTGTTTACTGCATGATTTAGAGCTTAATTTGAATTGTTATGTGAGATCTTTGACAGTTCAGCAAGATCTATCTGACTCTTGCAGTACTAACTATGTTGAAAGATCTTCAATCAAATGTCCATGTTTTTGTTCCTATTAAGTTTACCAACTTACAATAAAGGACAAATAGAAAATGAATAGATTAAACAAGTTGCATTTTACTCTTTTAATTGCTGCAACAATAGTGTTGTATTAGTTTAAAAAAATAAATGACATTTTGTGGTTAGACTACATTTATTGCTGTAGTGTCCTCTCTATTTCTCTAACATCATTGCTGCCTCATTAGATTCTCCCTTAAAATAAGTTTATTACAATCACAATTTGAATTTTACGTATTGTAAAATACAAGCATGAATGTTCCATAGGTGCTCATTTCAAACATAAATCACAACAGCAGACAACAGCAAAAAAAATGTTTTAAACTACTGAAAATAATTACTATGACTAACTCATAATAAAACCTATGCAAGAAGGGCCTGGGTTTGGTTCCCCAGCTGGGCGACCAGGGTCCTTCCTGTGTGGAGTTTGCATGTTCTCCCTGTGTCTGCATGGGTTTCCTCCCACAGTCCAAAGACATGCAGTCAGACCAACTGGACACGCTATTACCCCTAGGTGTCATTGTGTGTGTGTATGTATGTGTCTGTCTGTCTGGCCTGCGATGATCTAGCAACCTGTTCAGGGTGTTTCCTGACTTTTTTCCACTCCATTGCTAAACAGTTCAGCGAATGTAATTAATGTGGTAAATATTATGGATAGCCTACAGCATACTATGAGCATGAGAGGAACTTTCAGGACCTACCATACTTACCATAAGCAGGGTAATTGTAATTTTGACAAGTCAAAAGGCTGGTAATGTGATGCAAGCACAATTCATTTATTACAATTCTATGTTGCTTGAACCAAGTGAGGTTTCCAACAACAAATACAGTAAAATATATGCCTCAAAACGAATATGAATAATGAAAATACTGTGATTTTCTGTCTATTACTGGGTCACTGACCATTGCTGAAACACATATGGCAAGCGTAACCAGATCCAAGCAGCAGGTGGTGCTATAGACCTTTAAATGTCATCCCCATACCCTACCAGCATTAACAAATAATGAAAGAAAGCAGAAACACAATTACTAAAACACAGCATGGGTCTTAGAAAAACCTAATAACAAGTGAAATAACACAGTGATGAATACTTGTATTTGAGCTCCAGCTGTGTTTGACAGACATTTGCACATTTTAAGCCCCTGGCATAGATTAAGTCTCGCTATGCAATGGCCAGCTCTGTCACCGCAGTCAGTTATGACCTGGATCTTTCACAGAGAGGCATCCTTTAATAGTTTATTAAAATACATAGACATTATGCATTTTTAATAAATTTATCTGTACAAAATTCGTACAAAATGCAACACACATCCTAACAAAAACAATAAAGGGAGATCATATCACTCCCATTTTGAAAGAACTCTTCAGGATAGATTTTGAAGTTCTGCTACTAATGTTTAAGGCTGTAAATGACCTAGCATCACAGAATGTCTGTCTGTGATGCTAGGTCATTCCAGCACATGATCTTAGATTTGCAGAGACTGGCCTTCTGCAAATACCTTCTATAGAATACAGAAAACATGGAGAGGCCTCTTTCAGTTATTATGCTTCTAAACTGTAGAACTCAATTCCACTTTTTATTAGACAGTCAACCTTTTAAGTAATATGTAAAAACGTATCTCTTTAACTTAGTTTTTTTTTTTATTTAATTAAAACTCTACATCTCTTGGTATTTTTCATGATATTAAGTACTCATAATTTTTTCTATTACTGTTTTATATCACCTGTCATTAAAGCACTTTGAGTTGGCACCAGCATGAAGAGTGCTTTATAATTAAAGATTATTATTATTATTATTGTCTTTTCCGTGTGGAGTTTGCATGTTCTGCCTGTGTCTGCGTGGGTTTCCTCCGGGTGCTCCGGTTTCCTCCCACAGTTCAAAGACATGCAGTCAGGCCAATTGGATATGCTAAATTGCCCCTAGGTGTGAGTGTATGTGTGAATGTATATGTCTGCGTCTGCCCTGCGATGGACTGGTGACCTGTCCAGGGTGTATCCTGCCATCTTTTTCTTGATATACACATTCTACAAGTAGTCCTAAATCAGAAAACAACTATTTTACTTCACTTTAAATTGGCCATTATTTTTGTGGCCAGGAATACATGTGGAAAACCAAATTTTGCCAGAATGAGGCACTCCTCTATTGCAACTTGTTCTACATGCTGTTTCAGTTTCTGTAGCAGGAAGTGCAGGGACATGCACTATATTTGAGACCCGAGTGTTTAGTTTACTCACTAACTGTGGAGTCAGCTCTGTTGGAAAGAGAATCTGTAACCTGAGAGATGTGCTTGCGCTCACTTCCTTATTTTCTCCCAACCCACTCAGGCAGACTCTGCAGTGAAGGTGGACTATCTGTTAGTTTGCCAGTTTTACTGCCCCCCAGCTCAATCCTTCATTTCACTCCCTGTATAGACAACAAGCTGCCAGTGAGAGGAACAAGAAAGATTGCAAGAAGGTGGGTGAACTTTCAGCATTGTCTCGCTCCCTCATCAGCCTGGTGGGATTGTTACTGGCCCCTAAATCACAAGAGTCATACCAGTAAGGATTCTTGTTTTGCATGGGGTGGGGAATGCCTCTTTTAAAAAGTAGCATACTCTGAGCTGTTTGTAGGGAATGAGTCTGGAAGTGAGGAAGAAGTTACAGTGTGTGTGGAATTCAATATTTGATCTCAGAAGAAGCTCATGACATACTATGAAGTTGATTGTGTATACTTGTGCACCAAAAGTGATAATTTGCTAAGTTTAAATGTATACCAATATACTTGCTATAATGGTATATATTTATTAACCTTAACTGGAACTGTTTTAGTTTTGCATACAGAGAGAAAACCTTTATTTTGGGGACAAAGGACTGAAGTAATATAAATGGTATATATTATAAAAATACTAAATGAAGTAGTATATAATATTATTGTGTAAGTAAAAGTCTCTGAGCTGATGGCCTACTTGCATGCAATACCTTCTCCAAACTATGGCCCATGACATGATCATCCTTTAAGATACTTTGCAAAGCACTTTCACCAATCAATATGTTTTCTTATGCTCATAAATATTTAACTTTAGTTTCCTTTTCAGCAAAAGCACTATAAGGTATATTAGATACGTGGAAGTACTTTTCCAGTGACAGTCCATACTATGTTGTTAATGTTGGTAAGATTGTTTATTGGTGTCTATTGCAAGATATGTTCTGCCTCTTTTACTCTATAGTAGTGAGGTCTGCGTATGAGCTTTGAGTTTATTTCAGATTTCAGTGACAAGCACTGACATTTTTAGTTGTTGTTGTTGTTTGTGTCTTCTCCACTAAAGTAAGTCTTTAGTTTATATGCTGACCTGTGATCTATTAATAACATTTTTACAGAGGGTTCCACCTCTGTGCGACTGTGTGCAAGAGATATTATTATTATTATTATTATTATTATTATTATTATCAGCCCCAGTAGTAGTAGTAGTAATAGTGGTATTTTTATTACAGTTGTGAGAAGACTGAAATAAGGGTACTGATCACAAAAAGTGCTGTTATTCCAAAAAGATAATGCATACAGTTGTGCGTAAAATTTGGGCACTCCTGGTTAAAATACATTTTTTGTTGATTTTTGAACTGGATAGAAGTAAACACAACCTCTGCAGCAAACCATGTTAGAAATACATTTATTTGTAATTTATAATGTACACTTTATATTTGATTTAAAAAAAAACAAATTAATATATTAATTGTGACATGCATAAATTGGCCCTGTTGTGTCAGTACTTACTAATGCCCACTTTTAGAAGATGCTACAGCTTGCAAATGCTTTTTGTAACCAGCTATGTGTCTTTTTCTTCTTGTTTTAGGAATTTTCTTGCTCTTTCTTGCAGAACGCATTTAATTCTGCAATATTCTTGCATGACAGCATGTTTAAAATCTACCCAGAGATTTTCAGCAATGTTAAAGTCAAGGGACTCTAAGGACCATTCCAAAAGCTTTTCCTCAAAGTAGTTCATGGTGAATTTTGATGCATGTTGTGAATCATTGTCCTGTTGTAGAAGACAGCCTCTTTTCAGTTTTTTTCAGCATCTCTTGACTGACAGCTTTGATTTCTTGGCTATGACTGTTTTGTTTTGTTTCCAAAATGTCTTTTTTTGTTTTCAAGATCATGCCTTGACTTCCACAGTTCCCCTATACTGCCATTTCTTTAATGGCATCAGCTACCTTAGTTTTCTAATGTTCAGCTGGCTGCTTTGAGGAGCCCATGGTTGTTAAGTGTTAACACAAATTTAGAGAATTTATTATGCTCTGAAATTGGCATCAGCTGATATTTCCTAATGACAGTTCTTGTCTTGTGTAACCAGCCCTAATGTGTTAATTAAGGCCTAATAATTAATTAATTAATAATTAAGTTCTGAGACTGATAACTGGTAGGCTTTTTCATATGCCACCTTTTTTTATTTATTATTTTTTTAAGTTAATCAAATATATAGTACATTTATATTTGTGGAAAGATGTATGTTTGCTCTTTTTATTATTTTAAAAATTAATTTTTCATTATTTTTTTTTCTTGTCTTTATTTGATTTTTATCACCTTGATCTTCATCTTTATCCGAAGTGTATGTTATGTTGTAAATATCTGAATAGTCTCGGTTTATATTCCTTGTGTGTATTGGATTGTCAAGCTTATGATCTTTGTTTGCTACCTAGCCTACTTTGTCTGCTTGCCTCTGGTGGACAGTGATCTGTTAAACATTATTATAAACCAAAACATCAACAATTTTGGAAATCTCCACTCCACATACTATAATGTTTAAATTTCATAGATGTCATAGATATACAAATTAGAGACCTATATTAGCTCTATAATATATGTATCTGTTTAATTGTGAATTTCTGCTAAGATATTTGATAATTCAAAGTCATATCAATTTGTAAAGTACCGTTTGACTAAAACTATTGGCATATCAATTTAAAATCTAAAATATAAATATAAAACCGGATACCATAAAATATGGATATCAGTGACAAACTGTTTCAAAAAACATATCAGTTGGATGATTATTAAACACTTTGTTTAAGTTTACAGTATGATCATATATTTCCTACTTTTTTACTGATCATTATTGTTATTAAACATAAGTAGCAAATATCTTGCAACATCCAAGTTATGCTTTAAAAAGAAGAATAAAAACGCTGTCTGTCCCACTTGGACAGCATCAACCTTGATGTCATCTCTCAAGAGGGAGCCTTAAAATAATCACAAAATGTAGATTGTATATACATATCAGTACTTGGGTGTTGTGCTGCCTTTTGATTTTGGAAGTCTTTTTTGTGGTTATTATAACACCAGGTTATTTATTTATTTATGTATTTATTTATTTGTTTATTTAAACCCTGACTTTGGTTACAAGTCGTTTTAAATGCCGCCCCTTTCAGATATGTGGTGGATGCACCGTTACTTTTTATATTTTAATGTTGCAAAGAGGAATTATTAGAAACACTGAAATGCTTTCACTTTTACCAGTATTTCCTGTATATTAGCTTTAAATATATACTTATTCTTATACCATATAAAAATGTCTTTCCATCCAGAGTTTCCATAATGTCCAACTGCTGTATATAATATGACAATAAAGCAGAAATTAACTGAATTTTTAAGATATGCCAACACATAAATGTTCTCTAAGAGAATAAAGGTCTCAGAGAACTTGTGAGCCGCACTGTCACAGTCAGTGACATTCCAGGACAGGGGGGGATGATTTATCCTACACCATGTGTTTCTAAATCCACCATGCAAAAGGGCGACAAAATTAGCCCTGTGTGCTCTGCTCAGGTTTCCGCTTAGTACCCTCTATCTTACCTCACAGTCTAAAGGGCCAAGCTCCAGCAAAGGCGCGTAGAATCCAGTGCTGAGCATTGTTTTGTTAGACTGTTGCAATGGATCACAGTGAAAATCAAGAAAGATTGAAGGTTGAAACTGTTGTGGATCAAATTAATCTGTCTAGGAGTCACACATATACTGGATAAGAATCTATTTAACATAGAATCTAACTGGATTCGGCTGTGCTGAATGCTTGTTTGTTTGGCTAGTTTGTCATGGATGAATCAACATATGATGAATATAAACAAACAGCATCTGCGTAGTTGGATCCACATGACAAATACAAGACGCTGTGTGGTTTTAGGATTCTTTTGTGGGTTTCTGAGTACATATTAAATATGTTTGTTAAATGCAAGGTATGTGACCTAGAGGTTCATCAGTTTAACGATGAATATTATGAAACTAAGGGTGCTCTTGTGTTGTTGCTTTAAGAGCACCACATGAGACATGTTGTCTTCATGCTTTGCATATTGAAGTGTCATATTGCTCTCTGATGCAGCATTCAAATTAGGGAAACTGAATTGTGTGGAGACGGAGCATAAAATGGGAAACAGTGACACATGCATGCTTATTTTTTCAGCAAAACATTGGACATGATCCAGGTGCTAAACCAAAGACAAACATAAAACTGGTCCAGTTTGTGTTTGCCATTTCTAATTATGTGTGAGGGTGTTCTGAGAGGATAATACATTTCAATGTGTTCATTTGAGAGTATTTATAACTACATGTTCCTGCTATTTCAAAGCAAAAACACTGATTTATATATATATATATATCTTCTTTGGGTTCTATGTTGCCTTACAGCAGCCTGCATGTAACTCTCTTCCATAAATGTATTTTTAAAATGTTTTAGGACAAAAGCTTTTAGAACTATTATATCATAAAACTATTTTATAGTTATTATATCATAAAACTATTATAACTATCATGTTATAAAACAATGTCTTAGACATCAGACAGTGTATTCATAACCACTATATAACAGCTTTTAGTGGCAGTGAACTCTTCGGAAGTTTGGTTCCTATCACCTCTATCCTATTACCACTATAACTATTCTGACACAGCAAGTTTCTCAAGAATGACACATTTCACAACAAACTACTCTGAATGGGTTTGTTTACATTTTAATGGTTGAATTAATACTGAAAAGTTTAAAAAGTGGTGAATTTCCCCTTTATTGTCACCCTGATTGTATAAGGCTTTGTGACACTCTAGCCAAGGGAAAATGTTATCTTCCAGAATTTGGCAAATATGCCTGGATGACAATACTGTTAGTTACAGTTAAGGTCCTTTTTCTTAATGTTAAGTATGTTCTGCAAATATTCAGTCCAGCTCTGTGGTGGATATTCACTCACAACGTTTTTGTGTTTAGGCAGCACCAAGTGGGTTCCGCAGCGTCACCTGACGTCTGGAATATGGCACAGTAAGAGACAGCTCTTTTTTAGACGTGCACACACACACACAAGACATAAAGTAATACTTTCAGGATCTTTGAGGGTCACCTGTGTTCCAAACAGTTCATGCGGCATAAGGCAAGCATGCTAGCCAAAGTTAACAAAGATCATCATCCCAACCATCTTCAGATGTGACCAACTATGATTAAAGGAAAAACAGTGTGGCAGTTTTTGTTGATGCACTTAGTGTTGAAATATTGGTCCACTTTGTCCTGCATAATTGTTGTATTTCTTGTATTTTTAACATCGCCCATCTCCAATATGGTCTTGCATAAACTGTCTCTTGGCAAAAAACTGAGATTGTATAATAAATTGTATGTGTAAAAACTGAGATTACATAATAAAATACATAATTTTACCAGAAAATTAGCTAATTTGCAACCATTACAAGTGCATGTGGCATCAGTAGGCATTCTCTTAGCACTTAGTGTCTTAAGCAAAAGCAACCTACATTCATTCAATTAGCTATACAGTGTTATGTGCTTGTTATGTATGAAATATAAAATTATTATCCAGTAAATAAGGAAATAATCTTGTTAGAAATTACATTACATTACATTGCCATTATATCACATGAGATTCTCACATCACACTAAAGGCAGACGATATAAAGACACAGTCCAAAGTCTTACTGTATTCATCTGGATGCTTTTTGGTGGTGTATTGTACAGAACATAATTCAGACCAATCACATTACTTTCATACTTAATATTTAAGAGTAGGTCAACTATTCTACTATATTGATTCAACATGAACAACTATTTGGTCATGCAATATTTACACTATGGCATGGTGTTCTTTTATTTTATTCTCATTCTTTAGCTGACAACAACTTACTTGATAGATGCATCATTGCCAGAACTAGCTCTCTTACTACTGTATTACTGTTAAGTGGCTATGTCGGGACTATGTTTGGAGCTTTTTATCAGTCTAATTGAGACAACTTAGCTGCCTCTAAGGCCCCATCTACACATATACAGTATTTTAAAAAGTAATATTTTCTACTCAAAAAGTGTCCAGTTCATTAGGTAAATAAAATGTCAGTACTAGTGCAAATGGCAAGCATAAATGACATTGCTGAATTTTCATTTTGATCTCAAACGTGTATAAATGATGAGGACATTTGTCTCTAACCATCTTGTCATGCTCCAGAGAAACCCTTTTCTACTCTTTTTTTTCTTCTTCCTCCACTTCCTCAATTAGAGGCTTCTGAACTCTAATCTTATTTTTTCCCCTGTGTTTAATACAGACACAAACAGTTTAGCCTATGTCACAAAACACTCATCCTAAGCAACTGTATTATCTCCTCATATGTGCTGTTATCTTGTGAGTAATCCTGTGCGCCTGCTTCCAGGGTCCAGAAGAAGACCTCCACCATGTCCGTAACAATCTCGTCATGCTCCCGAGAAACCTCTTCCTACTCCTCTTCTTCTTCCTCCACTTCCTCCACTAGTCTCCAACAGAGACACTCCAGCCTGATTCAGCCCCTCTGCATTAGCCCCCAGAGAGTATGAACAGAATGCGCATACAGCAAAACATAATGCACTTAATTTACTCATACTTAAAAGAACAATGTTTCAAGAATCAAGATAATTTTTTATGACAATTGTAAGGAAAAAAAAACTCATTGTCAACAGGATTCTTACAACCACAGGCTATGGAATCACAAGAACTCATTTCTTTTTTCCTGTAGACACAGACCCCATGCCAATATTCAGGGAATGGAGGCATTGCACCGACATTTGTCAAGGTAATAGGCTAAATGTATGATGAAGTTGCAATTAAATTTTTTTCTGATGGCATAGAATGTGTAAATGTAAATGTAAGTAGGCTTTTACGTATATTTTTGTCTTAACAGTGTCTTCATGATGTGAGCACAGTGAAGGGACAACTTGTGGTTCTGGAGTGCAGAATCAGGGGAACACCACCACTACAAGTGTCCTGGCACAGAGAGGATGAGCAGATCCCTGACTCGGCAGATTTCCGCATTCTGAGAAAAAGTGAGTGGTAGTTCAGATCAGTGGATGCAAGTGTAACTAATTACCAGAAGCATCTGCAAAATTGTCTTAAACAACATGTTTTGCGTAACTTTGTACAACAAAGGTCTTAATTTGAAGGTATAAACAATGCATTTATTTTGATTTATTTGGAAAGTGTCCCTTTTTACTTTTACTGTTTTTTTTCATTTTCAGAAGCAAGTTCTACAGCTATCCCAGGTGAGTACCTACTGTTGTGAAATAACACCATTATTACCTTTATTTTAACAGAATGCTGTAAGTAACTAAGAACAATATGTTTTTCATGTTAAGTAATTCATTAATCTCCTAAGATTTTTTTTTGCTCTAAATAAGTCTAGAATAGGGTAGTCATACCTGAATGAATTCAGTATAATTATCATAATAAAATAATAATTCTGTCAGATATTTATGAACCCTGTCAAAAAGGGCAAATGACAGAGCCACCCATTTTCAGGTCCACACCAAACAACTGAACCGCGCTAATTCACATGGAGATTTAACACCAGAGTACATTTTTTCCAGTGCACATGTATTATCTGGCGCTTACATTTTACTTAAAACACTCATATCATTCCTGCACTGCAAGCTGCTGTAAATAACGAGAGACAAGCAAAAAAAATAATGATATACGTTTGATTTTTGATCAGTCAAACACTGACTGTTCATGATCAGGTCAGAGGTGGGTAGAGTAGCCCAGGGGTGGCACCACACATCCAAAAGTGGTAGGGCAAAACATATTGTTTCAGGGGAAAAAAAGTTGCTGGCTAAGTGATGAAATGCAATAAGGCCACTGACCAAAATTTCCTTTCATGTCATGCTAATGACATGACCAATGTATCAGTGGGTAGGGGCTAGTTACATTTACTCAAGTACATGTACTTAAGTAAAATACTAATGTATTTTTAGTCTCCTGAGTATTTTTTAAATTATTTTACTTTTACTTCTACAAAAGAATATTAGTAAGTAAAGGATCTTTTTATCCTTTACATTATCCTTTACATTTTCGTCATTCGTATTCAGTTACTAATTCCTTTTTTATGTTTTAATTTCAGAATGTTTTGATGGTGGCAATAATTATACGGCTTTGTGATTGGTTACATCTCTGACTTTGTATTTTAGACCAAAAGAATTCTAAAAAGAGAAGAACCGAGCTGCACAATCTTCAGTTCCTATGTTGATAAATGCTGGATGTAGTAAGAAGTTCCACAGCAGTTCTTAGTACTTACGTAGGTTCTCATCCTGCTGCTTTTATATTTCTACTCAAGTTTTTTGGAGAAAGTATTTTTATATTTACTTAATTATTTTATGGAAGCATTTATGGGTGTTTGCTTATTGATCAGAAGTTTTGCATGGATGCAAGCACTCTGTTATTCCCACATTCACCACCACAAAAGCAGAAAATATCATCTTTGTGAATACCTATTTAAATTTAACCTATTTAATTTGTAAAGAGTAACATGTTAAAGCAGCAGATTGTGTAGACAATACAGTGAAAATGTACTCTGGTGTTGAATTCCCTTGTGAATTAGTGCGGTTCAGTTGTGTGGTGCTACTTGAATTCGGGTGGAGTTGCATGTCAAAACTGAACTAAAGAAAAAGTTCAACAGGTTCAACACGGTAGGTCTGAAAGCTCCTCCCAGCTGAAACAGAGACTCAGATTGGCATGATTCACACAGTTTAGGAGGTTTTTATGTGCACATCCAGAACTCAGAAAGTCATGGGGCATTATCACAGTACTTTGAAAAGTGGTGGGTAAAATGCCTGCTCGCCACCATGGTTCCAGTGGCCCTGGAGTAGCCTAAATCATTACTCAAGTAAAAAGTATTGATACTTGCATAAAACCATTACACAAGTAAAAAGTACCATACCCAAAACAACTTGAGTAGAAATACAAAAGTAGTAGTAGTGGAACGTCTTAATAGCTACATCCAGCATTTATCAGCATAGGAACTGAAGATTGTGTGCTTCTGTTCTTCTCTTTTTTGGGATTCTTTTGGTCTAAAATACAAAGCTCCAAAGTCAGAGATGTAACCAATCACAAAGCAGTACAAATATTGGCCCCATCAAAATATTTTGAAATTAAATACATAAAATAAGAAATTAGTAACTAAATATGAATGGCTAAAATGTAACTCAGCAAAAAGATCTTTTACTCACTAATATACACTGATCAGGCATAACATTATGACCACCTCCTTGTTTCTATGCTCATTGTCCATTTTATCAGCTCCACTTACTATATAGGTGCACTTTGTAGTTCTACAATTACAGACTGTAGTCCATCTGTTTCTCTGCATACTTTGTTAGCCCCCTTTTACCCTGTTCTTCAGGGGTCAGGACCCCCATGGACCCTCACAGAGCAGGTACTATTTGGGTGGTGGATCATTCTCAGCACTGCAGTAACACTGATGTGGTGGTAGTGTGTTAGTGGTGTGTTAGCTGGTAAGAGTGGATTAGACACAGCAGTGCTGCTGGAGTTTTTAAACACTATGTCCACTCACTGTCCACTCTATTAGACACTCCTACCTTTTCAGTCCACCTTGTAGATGTAAAGTCAGACGATAGCTCATCTGCTGCTGCACAGTTTGTGTTGGTCATCCTCTAGTCCTTCATCAGTGGTCACAGGACACTGCCCACAGGATGCTGCCCAAGTCCAGTTGTTAGAGGAAGGGTTGAAGCACAAACTATTAAGCTCTACTTTTATACTTAGAATTTTTTGTCTCATCTATATACAGGACATTGTTCCAGTAGTGCAGAGAAACGTCCAGGGGTTATTTTGCAAACTTGATATGGGCAGGAATATTTATTTATTTATTTATTTTTTTTTTGGAGAAAAGTGGTATGCCCCGTGGAAACACCCCATGAACACATAAACATTATTCAAGAGCAAGACGTGCCTGTAGATCAGGGGTGTCGATAAGCGCATTCCTGCAGAGTCCAGCGCAGTTTGGTAATTTCCCTGCTTAAACCTTTAAACAGTCAGGACCCATCGGCGGGTCCAAAGTTTACTACACACTTCTATAACCTAAGGATAATTCAGCCAGTTTACACTGTAGTCCACATAGTTACTGTATAATAACTCTGAGTATGTAATAAGATAGGGATTTTAAAGGATTACACAGGTGTATTTTAATTAGAGAAATCACCAACCTGTGCTGGACCACTATTTCAGCACTGGCATAAAAACAGTACTGAAATAGTGGTCCAAGTCTTTAGAAGTCCTTTACTTATAAGCCTCAACAACTTCTCTTCTGAACGCCTGGTAAGAATTGAGCTGTGAAGTGCAGATACCCATTGTATGGATTTCTTATCAAATCCATAAAAATCCACAAATCCACAATTGAAATTCACTGAAACATCTTTCACCAATGATCCTAGTGGTTCGCTTTGTTAAAAGAGAGATGTTTTCCATCAAAGACCTTTTGTTGTTTAAACCATTTGTTCAATAAAAATAAGTAAAAATGTTGTATATATATATATATATATAAAAAAATCTGTGTTTTTGCTTTGAAATAGCAGGAACATGTAGTTAACTACATGTAGTTAAATACTCTCAAATGAACACATTGACATGTATTATCCTCTCAGAACACCCTCACACATAATTAGAAATGGCAAACACAAACTGGACCAGTTATGGACCATATATATACTTGTAAAGAGCCTTCTACGTTGTGGAGAAAGTCTGGCCCACTCTTTACAAATTGTTTTCATTTGGCTACACTGGAGGGATTTTGAGCATCTCAATGGGATTCAAGTCAGGACTTGGCCACTCCAAAACCTTGTTTCTTTGAAGACATTCAAGGGTGGACTTGCTTGTGTGCTTTAGATCATTATCCTGCCCCACTGATGGGCGGACATTCTCCTTCAGGATTTTCTGATACAGAGCAGAATTTATGTTTGTGTTAAGTCATCCAGATCCTGCAGAAGCAAAGTAACCCCAGACCATCATGCTACCACCACCATGTTTGACTGTTGGTATGATGTTCTTAGTGGTTACTAAGGTGGAATGCAGTGTTAGCTTTACACCAGATGTAACGGGACCCATGTCTTCCAAAAAGTTCCACCTTTGACTCATCAGTCCTCAGAGACCCTGAAAAACAGCCCCAGACCATTGTCCCTCCTCCACCAAACTTTATTGTTGACACTATGCATTCTGATAAGTAGTGTTCTTCTTTACACCACACCAGCTCAGGCTTGGCATTGCGTATAATGATCTTAGTCCAGTGTGCAGCTGCTCAGCCATGGAAACCCATTTCATGCAGGAGGTGGCCAAATTAAAAATCAACAAAATATGTATTTGGCCATCATTGAGAAATTTTTTAGGCCCTTCTTTTATTCAGACAGCCATCTGAAAATATAAAAATTGAATACATGCAAAAATATACGCTAAAGGGCATGCCCAACAGGATATTTAGGATATAATAAGGTACAATAGACATCAATCACAGTAGAGGTGTGATCTCTATGTCTTGGCTACTCTGTCTTTACACTGTATAATTAAAAAAATAAATTTAAGGAGCCATTGACTTTCTTCAGTTGATGTTCGTATATTAAGTAATGCAGATGTTAATGGTTAATTTAATCCTAAAATGTTTTTTTTTTCATGATACTAATAATGGTAAAGTTGATGTCAACTATTCATTTATTTATTTATTGGCTTCAGGTATCAGAATGGTTGAATCAACTGTCTCAGTTCATACTTACAGCTCCTTCTTCTGTTCCACAGAGGAGTTATGCACTCTAGTGATTACAGAGGCTTACCCTGAGGATTCAGGTATCTTTAAGTGTGTAACTGCAAATCAGTTTGGAACAGCATCCTGTAGCGCCCTGCTGGAAGTATACACAGGTAATCTAAGTTTAATTTTGCTTTAATCTTACTCTCATTGAACAAGATAAGAAAGCAATAGAAAATAAAATCATTTGTATGAGATGGATTCATTGTGCTATATTCTTTTTCCACTAACTCTGTAGATACTGGCTTTGACAGAATAAGGAACCAAAAAGGAGCAAATAAAAAAAAAACAAAGCAATTATTGTGATTTGCCAATTTTCAGACATAGATGAGGTTTTAGCAGATGGTGATGCAACTGGAGACTTGGATAGACCGAAACAGGACAGCTTTCCCTCATTGCTACAGGATGTAGCAGAGATTCCCCCTCCAGAATGGCCTGATAGTCCTGAAGAAGAAACAGCTCCAGATATGTCCACGTAAGAAATCTCACACTTTTAAATATAAATGTATAGATGTATATGCCTCTGATTTTTGAGATCTTTAACAAAAGTGCTGCTTGGAACAGAGATTTTCTTAAAGAATTTTCACTAGAAAAAGAGAAAAAAAAACTTACAGGCAGAATAAGGCACAGAGCATTTTTTCCCATTAAATCTCTATTTAGTATATTTTTTTAAGTAGCGTATATAATCAATGTGTAATTATCTCTGTTTTCTTTTGAATCTGTTTGTTGAAAATGCTTGCACTCCTACCTTTGGGCTTTCAGACTTCTTTTTGTTATACAGACACTTTTTAGATTCATATACACTCTAACCCTTGAGGATATCTTTTACACCAAGGCAGTCTATTTCTGTTTCTTTTCTTTTTCACATATTCACTTGTTTTTTTTTCTTTCACAATATTAACATTTTTATGGGCAAGGGTGACATACATTTTGAAAAGTTTCTTTACCAACTGCACAGCAGAACTAGCAAACCTGACCTGGCAGTTCCATTTTAAGCCAGTTCAACCTAAAATAAAAAAAAAAAATTGCTCTTTATATTGATTTCTGCCCCGTTTCACTTTTTACAATTTGCTCTGCTTTGTTCCCATTTGCTCTGGCAAGTAAACAGTTTAGTAAATGTATACTGCAGTTGTTTATGTTCAAGAGTATTTGATTCCAGTTTCCTTTTTTCTAGCAGTTTCCTAGTGAAATGGACACTTAAGTGAACATAAATTACAACTCTTGTAATCCAAAATCTGACATTTTTGTCCCCAAACGAGTTTAGTATTTTTGTTCTTAGTTCTAAGCATTTCCCTGATAAAGTTTTGGTTGGTATTCTTAGTTGTTAACTTTGAATTAACTTTGTGCTTTGTGGGTATTTTACTGTACACAGACAATTCTGTAAAGCTCAAAAATAATTGTGGTGCTCTTGCCTTTAGTTGCAACTGTGTTTATGTATATTTTTACTATGTAGTCATCTGGAATTTTTGGTGCATTTAAAAGCGCTAACTGCTCAGCTCTGTACAAGTGATTGGTTAGTCCTGCATTGTACTGAAATCCATCCTTCCATATAATTACAAGCAAATTAATTGCATCTAGTTGCTACAGCAGCCCATGCTTTCAAAATTGTTTTCTTTCTGTGGCAGCACGGTGGTGCAGTGGGTAGCACTGTCGCCTCACAGCAAGAAGGGCCTGGGTTCAATTCCCAGCTGGGCGACCAGGATCCTTTCTGTGTGAAGTTTGCATGTTCTCCCTGTGTCTGTGTGGGTTTCCTCTGGGTACTCTGGTTTCCTCCCACAGTGCACAGACATTCAGTCAGGCAAACTGGACACGCTAAATTGCCCCTAGGTGTGAGTGTGTGTGTGAATGTATATGTCTGTGTGTCTGCTCTGCGATGGACTAGTGACCTTTCCAGGGTGTATCCTGCCTTCCGCCCAATTACCGGTGGGATAGGGTCCAGCTCCCCCCACAACCCAGAAGGATAAGTGGCTTAGAAAATGTGTGTGTGTGTTCTGCAACTGCTAAATATAATAATATGAAGTGAATAAAAAATAAAATTAAATTAAAATAAAAATGCTGCTCTCGTACCCTGGGATAAACAAAATGTTAAAACCTTATATGTTTTTTGTCCTATGTACATTTTGACTGGATTTCAGTGTCACTGGATCCACTGAATTACATAATTTAGCAGCTGAAATATGAATATTGCTACATACATGCAACAAACAAGCTAGCACTTCTAACGCAAGGTAACATTTTGACTCTTTAATGACCTCCTAAAGATCCATTGACAGTTAGTGGAAAAAATGTACGAGTTGCAAAATATATTGGGTTTAGAATATTTTCATCTATCACAAGGTGTGAAAATGTCATTCATTTTTCCCCATTGAGAAGTCTTCCTAAACTCAGAGTTTGTAATATAGGCATAATGCAGCAGCAGCAGAAGTCAGAAAAAAAAATTACAGTGTGTTCAGTATTGGCCAACAGCCTCAAGGAGCATATATATCACATCATAAATTGAATGAAAAACGCATGCCCAAACAATAGTTAGCCATAAAACATTCTAAACAAATGTTGCCCTGTTGTTGTTATTTAAACAGTTAATATATTTCCATATTTCCCCTGTAAAATGACACAGAGCAACAGAGGTATGTTAACGCCCACGTAGGTGCAGTGCCTTGTTCTCTGTTGAAAATTGTCTAGGGAAAATACAGAATCATTGTAAAATTGACAGTGCTGGAAATCAATGCAAACAACTGGCCGTAATAAATTAATATAGCAATTTAGCAGTTGTCACACGTTGTAGCAGATAGATGAAAAGCACTTTGTAAATGAGAAGTTAAATAAATAAATAAACAAATAAATAAAACTTGGGAAGTTAAAAAGCTTGGGAAATTTTACTTTTCTACCACTTAAGGATCTTTAGAAAAATGTTCCCAAATTTGCTAAAGGTACAGAAATTCCAGAGATACAGTCAGAGATTAGTTGTCTAGAAGCTGAGACATGAGTAAAGAGTAAGGTGGCTCAAATTACAGTGCCAAAATTAACTCTTCACCACTCTTGAGTGGTAGCAGCAGCTAAAGCTGTCATGTGAGTCACGCAGTCTCAGACAAGGGAAATAAAGAGACGGACACTCACGCTCTGTACTCTCCTAGAACGTTACTGTCATTTTTCTGACTGACCAGCGGTCTTTCGTATACATTTTCGTTCAGAGACGACCTCAGAGTGTTGAAGTAGCCTTTTCAGGTAAATGTTTTCTGTATTTTTGTATGTGTGTTTGCTTTTCACTGTGGGCTGCTTATACATTTCACTTGCTTGCTTTTATAAAGATGCAAAGCCAACTGCAACACTATAAACTACAAAAAAACCTTTTTAAAACTAAATTAAAACATTAGCCTTGTCAACACATTTATGAAATAACATGCTCTTGTCAAAATACAGTTCTTTTCTTCTTCCAGTGGTCACTAACCAGTTTACAAAATTTGCAGCTAGAATGTTTTCAGAACATATTTGTAGAAGCATTTTATTGTACCATTGTATTGGAAAATTTGACAAGTTTTCTTGAAAATTCCTGAATGTTGCCTTAAAGTTTGCTGGTACTCTTGGGACTTCCCTTTTTTTGCAAAAGTTTTTGAGAAATTTTGTAAACAAGTAAACACACTTAATATTCTTAAATAAGTCACTGTTTTGAGAATATTAAGTAGATTCATGTTTTAATAAATGTATTTACATTTACTGCTGCAATGTAACCTTTGGTGCCCTAGACAAGACACAAGGACATCCCCAACCTGGGACTGGCCACACAGCACAGTCACCTACACTATATGTCCAAAACTTTGTAGACGCCTGCTCGTCTAACATTACTTCTGAAATCAAGTGTATTGAGAGAGGGGCTGTTACTGCAACAAAGGCAGGGAGAGTTTGTCCCTGCCTTTGTTGCAGTAACAGCCCCTACTCTTCTGAGAAGGTCTTATACTAAATGCTAGAATATTGCTGTGAGGATTTGATTGTGTTCACTAGTGAGGTCAGGTACTGATGTTGGATTATTAGTTCTGAATCACAAACGCCACATCAACTCCCAAAGGTATTTGATGTCACTTCTTCACTCCAGAGAACACAGTTCCACTGCTCCACAGCCTGATGCTGGCAAGTCACTTAGCAATGGTCATGATGTGTGGTTGTTCCAGAGCATCCCATTGTTTTAGCAGTGCTTTTCTACAGAATGCTTTTCTAGGTAGGTGCAACTGAATGTCTGTGTCAGCATAACCTTAAGTTAGTTGAAATCGCTAATTAGAACGGGGGCATGGGTACTTCTGGACATATACTGTATGTTGTGTTCGATACTCCATTACATTGTGGGTATTGAAGGGGATGCATTTGGTTTCATAATATTGTTTTAGATGTCATTTCACACATGAGAGCATAAGTGCAGATTTATGTGTGTGTGTGTGTGTGTGTGTGTGTGTGGCCGGTGTGCATTCTCCAAGCATTTGCCGCTCTAGGTAATTATCTATTTTACTTATGCCAGGAACTGCCACTGCAGTGAAAAAAAGGAATCAGTGACAACAACCAGTTCCTGAATGTTCTTCAAGGGAGCAATGTCCTGAGAGTAATATCACAAAAATAATGTGGCCAGATTTGTGATGTGGTTTTTATTTTTTTTTTTCACTCGTCTTTATGACTAGCCAGGGATAAACCTTCAAGCTTGATCAAGTGTGGTTTCTTATCATAGAAAATCAAAGAACTAATCACAGATTACTTTAGGATAATGACTATTTTTGTATGAAAGCCTATGTTTACCATTTAAGAAAAAAAAAAAATCATTCTATGTCATTTTTTCCCCTCTCTCTGTTTCTAACAGCAATATGTCCTTGCTGACTTATGTTGAAAGTTTGACATTTTTTCTGTCATTGATAGCTTATTTTCTCAATATTTTAAATAATGACTAATTTCTTCAAGATTTTGACTTGGAATGTCAAATTCATGTGTCATTTCTCTTCAAGTAAGTGTAACTATTTTGAGATTAGTCATTATTTTGAGGAAATAAATTCCATTATAATAATTAAAAATTTCAGGAGGTCAGTCATGCCAAAACCTGATATGCCGCTGCCAAATATAGTGAAAAAAACAATAGAAATGGGCTTCCATTTTGTTGGAAGAGCATCCCCAAGCAACTACAATGCCAGCCATGATAGCACCAAAAATAATAGGCATTAAATAGCATGCATATTCTTCAAGTAAGTATTTATTATCAGCCTTGATAAATTGAAGTAGGCCAGGGTTCTTAATGTGGAGGTTTAGGCAGCCCTAGGGCAAAGAGGGGGTCACAAAATGCAAAAAAGGTTAAGTACAAAAAGCACCTGTATGTACATATTTAACAATATATACTGAATGCTGTAAACCGAATTTTGGAAGGTCCAGTGAAACATTTGTAGGGTTTGCAACCAACTACTAAACAGGAAAATCCACTCCAATGTCTCTGTCCAATTAATCACAGCATTCTTTGTGCATGCTTCATTATTTTGGTGTTTAAATTCTTGTATACTAGTCATTTGGACCCTGACAAAGTGACTAGACTACACAGCTAATTTAGAAAATGTTTTTTGTGCAGATCTGCCCTAGAAAGAAATTTTGCAGACTACTATGTTACATGTAGTTCAGTATTTGTGTCACAGCTCACCTCTTTCTAGATCTGTCACATAAAAAATGGTTTTCCAAGTCTCCCCGACAGGCAATGTTGAATGTGTGCTCCTATTGCTTACTTAACTGCTTTGTCTATCAACTGTTTCTGTCTCAAAGAAAAGAGCAAGAAAACAAAATAGACAGTAATGTTAACAACAACTATGTGTTTATAGTTTTCACAGACGACTATTGCTGGTTTACTCAACTTTTAAATACTAAAAGAGAATTTAAAACATGCTAAATGTCTGTATTGTGTTTGATATTCTCTGTTCTTTTTTTTGGTGGTATCCAGATAAGTGAGTGAGAATATGTTACTTTCCATGTAGAAAATAAGAGGAGTGGGGTTATTACAGTCATTTATTGGGAGAGCATTGTGCTGCATATTTTTGATGTTAGACAATACTGAATGATGAGTTATGAGCCTAAGCTTTGCCTGTAATCCCTTACAGACATTTTGTTACTGCCAGAGTAGCTTTAAATGAATTGCACCTGCCAGTATATGTCAGCCAACAGCTACTTCAGGCTACTGTTTTTAGCTGCATGACTTGTAAAAACAGCCTCCGTTGCTATCAGCCTTAAATTAATGTATGCTTTATATATATATTTACTCATATGAACATACAAAAAATCACAATTTGACACTATGTATTATTATGTATTATGTATACATAATATTAAATTGTGATTTTTAGTTTTGTGATACAGATAAAATGTGAGGACAGGCTTACTGCAACTTCTAGAATCATTTACAGTTCAGCTGGTGGAAGATACTTTTCTTATATAGCTATTAAACTCTGGAATAGTATTCCATGGAAAAAGAATATTATTTTGAAAATTATACTTTTCTGTGTTTACCTGTATTCCTACGTAAAGCATTTTTTGTAACAAAAATTAAAAAAATTTATATGACAGCATAATCTTTTTGTAAGAGTAATTTTAATATGTCATATAGTTATTTTGTTACAGGATTAGCATAACACCTGTTTATTAGCTATTTCTTTTTTCACTTTTAAACATATAATAATTATTTCATGTGTATTCAGAACTGTTGATAAAAATTGTTTTTCCACAGGATGCAAGAGTTTCAGCATGTGAGTGGAACACCAGAGAAGACCCGCATTTATGTGTTAAAGAATAACTCTAGCTCTGGTTCTCAAACCTCTGCAGAGGCTTCAAAGTTCCTCCACACTCCCACATCTCTGCTGAAGGAGTTCCAAAACACTGTTCCTAAACCATTCACACCCTCAAGCAAGCTGAATAACCAAGCACAACCAAGCAGTGCTAGCAAGAGTTTGGCTGACCTCCCCACCTTCTCACCCACACTCTATCCACCCTGTGCCTTCAACTATGAGCGCCCCCGCCACTTTATCCAGTCTCAGCCCACGTTTCAGGCACCCAGCTATGACAGCCTCCAGTCCAATGGCAGCAGCAACCCTTCCCCACACTCTTCAAATTTAAGCTCACCCATTGCAACCACTGCATCATCAATTAGCCCTCCTCCATCTGCACCTCCTCCTGCCCCTATGCGTACCAGTGTGACTTTGATCCCTAGAGTATCAAGTTCCCGGTGTGATGACAAAACATCATCTGCAGATTTTCTATGCTCTATACTACCTTCTCAACCAACTTCACAAGGCAAATACATCTCTGTGTCTCTGCCCCAATCCCAGTCCCCACGGTACTCACCCACATCCCCCAGCACCTTGCCAAGGACCTCACAACAAGCTCCTCAAAGTCAGCCACCAAGTAATATTCCTTCTTCCCCAACTGCACCACAAATGTCCCCAAAGCCTATGAAAACAGCTGCTCTCCCTCAGCATTCCTCACATGTCTCTCAGCCTGTTAACTACAAGGAAACCCCCAACATGTAAGTGTGGAATTCAAGAAAAATGTTTAATGTTTGTTTCTTTAAAACAGTGTGCTAAACGTAATATCCACTTATTTTATAGCTTGCCAAAACCAATATTGAAGAAGACTGTTTCCCAACCAGTACTGCGTTCCACAGATGAAGAGATCCAAGGCTCAAAGGATGCTCTCATACAAGACCTAGAGAAAAAGCTACGCAGTAAAGAGGCTCGCCAAAAGAACAATCAGGTATCTAAAACACCTTATGTCTCTATTAGTAGAAAGAAATTTTGTAATCAAAGTCTCATAATGAAAGAAACACACATACATGGTTGGTGCTGAATATTACCCCAAAGCACTATGCTTACAATCAATAAATATGACTTACATTGTGATGTATGATCTTTCATGCATAACAGTTTGTAATCAATTTCCATTTCCCTTTCATTTTTTCCATTTTAGATGACTACATCCATGTGTTTAATGATTACAAATAGAGACACTTAGGCATCTTCAGTGCCAATGCCGTGGAATAAGTAGGTTAACCTGTCGCACAGCCAAAGATTTTTCAGTCTTAAAATTACTTTGCACTGCTATCAGTCTACCTTTCTTATCATTAGATTCTCATCATATAGTTCATGTACATAATATGGACAAAAGTACTGGGACACACCTTTTAATTATTGAATTCAGGTGTTTCATTCATTGCTATTGCCACAGGTCTATAAAATCCAGCATCTAGCTATGCAGTCTGCCTTTACGAACATATGTGAAAGAATAGGTCGCTCTAAAGAGCCCACTGAATTTGAGCATGGTACTGTAATAGGATGCCACTGATGCAACAAGTCAGTTCATGAATTTTCTTGCCTCCTAGATATTCCATGATCAACTGTGAGTGGTTATATTGAAAAGTGGAAGCATTTAGGAATCACAGCAACTCAGCCACAAAGTGACAGACCACGTAAAGTTACAGAGCAGAGTCACAGAGTGCTGAGGCGCATAACGCATAAAAGTCACCAATGCTCTGCTGACTCAGTAACTGCAGAGTTCTAAACCTCCTCTGGCATTAACATCAGCACAAAAACTGTGCGCTGGGAACTTCATGGCACGGGTTTCCATGGCTGAGCAGCTTCATGCAAGTCCTACGTCACCATGCACAGTGCCAAGTGTCGGAAGGAGGCAGCATGCCACCACTGGACTCTGAAGCAATGGAAACATATTCTGTGGAGTGACAAATCACACTGCTCTATCTGGCAGTCTGATGGACGAGTCTGGTTTTGGCAAATGCCAAAAGAACATTACCTGTCTGACTGCATTGTGCCAACTGCAAAGTCTGGTGGAGGAGGGATAATGCTATCGGATTGTTTTTCAGGGGTTGGCCTAGGCTGCTTAGTTCCAGTTAAGGGAAATCTTAATGCTTTAGCATACCAAGCCATGTAGGCAATTGTATGCTTCCAACATTGTGGGAACAGTTTTGGGAAGGCCCTTTTCTGTTCCAGCATGGTCCATTTAGGCATGGTTGGATGAGTTTGGTTTGGAAGAATCTGACTGGCCTGCAGAGAGTCCTGACCTCAACCCCATCTAACACCTTTGGGATGAACTAGAACGGAAATTGATAATCAGGCCCTCTCGTCCAACATCAGTGTCTGACATCACAAATGCCCTTCTGGATGAATGGGCAAAAATTTCCACAGACACACTCCAAAATCTTGTTGGAAGTCTTCCCAGAAAGGTGGAAGCTGCTGTAGCTGCAAAGTGGGGACCAACTCTGTATTATTATCTATGGATTTAGAATGGGATGTCATAAGAGCTCCTGTAGGTGTATTGTGTAGGTAACGCAATACTTTTGTCCATTTAGTGTATCTTTGACAGTGGTCAAAAAGTGATCTGAGGTCAGAAATAATGCATACATGGCCTAAAAGATGACAGTTTGAATTTATAGATGAAATAGCTATGGGAACTAAACTGTTGCCAACAACCAGGAGTTCACCTTTGACAAGCTTTTTAAGTTTTCTATCAGAAGGATATATATACTTTTCAAAGCTGTCTTCAGTCTTGTCCTCTGAAGTGACAGATTCCCCCTTGTTTTCTGTCTTTTAACAGAAGCTTTCTTACGAGGAACGCATGGCTCGCAGGTTGCTGGGTCGAGCTAATGCTGCCTCAGTGTTTGATCTTGAGAATTCTTCTGAATCTCAGCCTAAGCAGGTAAACATCCCATTGTTAATTTTTTTAAATATGTGGGTAATACTTCACATGCTAACTAATATATTAGTTAAAACGAGCAAGGCACAAATTACTGCTTTAGTCAATCCATTTCTGGCTGTTATTGAGTAACAGTTGCAATAGTTAATGCTATTTGTTCATTAATTTGACAAGATATTTAGTTTTCATTATACATGGTTTGACACACCAGCACCTCACAACTGAAACCCCCTACTCATGTTGGGTGACATAGTCCCAGTAAGAGCTACATCACACGTGTTTGTGTGAGAGAGAGAAATTCAGTTATGGGGCTGGAATGGCATTTTATCTACCTCAACAAATATAATATATTTAAAACAAGACCAGATATTTTTCTAGCTGTGAAAATACTCAACAGCTGGTGATGTCTGAGTTGCAGACTTCAAAGCAGTCATTGCATACAAAGATATGTCAAATCAAATCAAATATCATATCAAATCATTTAAACTCTATATTTAATTGAAAATAGTACAAAGACAACTGTATGCCCATTTTGAATTTGATGCCAACACGTTCCAAAAAAGTTGGGACGGGGGCAACACCGGTAAAGTTGTGTAATACAAAAAATGTGCACATCTGTGAAGGCACCATTAATGCTGAATGATATAATCATGTTTTGGCAACATATGCTGCCATCCAGATGACATCTTTTTCAGGGAAGGCTTTGCTTATTTCAGCAAGACAATGCCAAACCACTTTCTGCATGTATTACAGCAGCATCCCTGCGTAGTAAAAGATTCCGGGTGCTAAACTGGCCTGTCTGAAGTCCAGACCTGTCAGCCACTGAAAACATGACAAAGAAGACCCCGAACTGTTGAGTAGTTGAAATCCTGTTTCAAGCAAGAACAGAAAAACATTTCACTTTCAAAACTACAGCACTTGGTCTCCTCAGTTCCCAAACGCTGACAGTGTTGTTAAAAGAAGAGGTGATGAAACACAGTGGTAAACATGCCCCCACCCCAACTTTTTTTGGAATGTATTGTTGGCATCAAATTCAAAATGGGCATATATTTTTCAAAAACCAATAAACTTTCTCAGTTTCAACATTTCATTTGTTGTGTTTGTAGTATTTTCCTTTAAAAATATGATTTAAATGATTTGCATATCATTGCATTTTGTTTTTATTTACATTTTGCACAGCATCCCAACTTTTTTGGAAATAGGGTTGCACTAGAACTTTTATTTTAGAAATATTATCAATTACACAAGTTGTTTACCAAGAAAATACCATTATGCGATTGTGTTTGTGTTAAAAGGTCTTGAAAGGTTGTAGTGCAAACACTGTTTGGGTCAAAACTGTTTTGAAAATAGCACTGTGTGAATGCCACACTCCCAAAATACCAACTGAACAAAAAGAGAGGAAAAATGTGTCCCCAACCAGATTAACAATATGCCAAAATCAAACCACTAAACTATGCCTGCACCTGAACAAAAAATAGCGTACAAATCATAAATTTGGTTATGGGATTGGCAAATATTTTAGAAGCCATGTAATAAACACAGTCACTATAGCCTAAAGATTAATTAATTGTTCTCATTGATGGTAATGAGGACAGTACAAGGTGGAGGCTATTTATGAATTGATCATAAAGAAAAATTTTACTATTTAAATTCCTAGTTAATCTAGAAAACAATGAGCCCAAATATGCAATGTACTTTCTAAACTAACAAGTATTTGCATTGTGCTGGCCAAATATTTTTAGTTTTTCCTTATGTTTTAGCATGGGCAGTCTGACATGTCTTGTTCTCACCTGGGGCGTCAAAGGGTCCCCCAAGAGAATCTTTTTTAAATGGCTCCAAAATATTGACCATGTAGTAGGAACAGCCAAGTGTCACTGTTGTCAATTTCATGGTCAAGTTGATAAATTGAGGGATATAAAATTGCATTATGATCAACACTATATGACCTTTTCAGTGACATTAACTTACTGTAAACAACAATATATGGCAAATACAGATGTCAATGTTTTCAAGTACTGAAGAGAAGTACAAAAACAAAGAATATAAATAGCTGTCAATAATGTTATTTCTGTCTCTCTCTCGCTCGTTCACACTTTCACACTTGCTGTAAAGTAAATAGTTGGCTTGTCAGCTAGCTAGCTAATGTAAGTGTTGGCTACCCCATTTTGTTGTCTCACATAAACCCAAAGTTAGCTGTCTTAGCTAAGAAGCAACCAAGTAAAACCCGCTAGCTAGCTATCCTGACCGTAATTTACCACACATCCATATTGTAGGTGGGTTTCTTCACTCTTGTAACTATTTACTCTTTCATTCTCTATATTATAGATGTTTAATAAGGTTTAATGTTTATTTTAGTGAGATTTTAGCCAAATTCCTGTCTTTGGCTTAAGCTGTTGCCAATTACGTTGCAGTGCAAGTAAAACCAGGGACCCCCAGGTCTGATATGATTGGCTTACAGCCTACAAGTCTAAAATGATTAGATGAGCCAGAGGTTCCACTTTTCACTTTATGTTAATAAATCTATGGTAGCACAGCAGAGGCTTTGCAGTCTTTATGTTGTTTGTGACTATCTAAGCACTACATCAACTATTTTAACAGACATTTTCACAAGAAGGTCAACAGACTGGAGGAATATGGTAAATTTTTGTATATGCGCTGTGTTTTTGTCTGTGCACGTTCTGTTGATCTGCACAAAATTCTATGTCCTAGCAGTTTCCATGTGAAAGCACTGACTGGAGTGTGTGCATGAAATGAATTCAGAGACAGTCTGGCCCTGATTTTCACTCAGACCAAAAAGCGCTTTACATCTCATTACCAGCGCCTGTATGAGAAAGCATGTTGCTAATCTGTACATTGTGGATGTGTGTCTGTTGTCTTTCTACTGAAGAAGGGAGGCAGACCAGAGAAAAAAAATACCCTACGAGTAATTGGAGATGTAATGTTTCATATTAACATGTTAAGTTTTCTGGCTATGAAAAGTTTTTATAGAGCACACAGTCTTTTTCCGGTCATGCTAATTCCTGAAAGGGTGAAAATCAGAACAGTTTTAGCACCACTACTTGTTTTTTTACCACTTGAGCCATACTTGTGTGGATTGTTTTGGTATCTATATAGTTTTGTCTGAATTTATATCTATGATGTGACACAGGGGTGTCCAGTCTTATCAGCAAAAGACCATTTTAATTTTAACAAAGCAGGAGTGATCAATTATTTGAAGACTGAGACCAACTGATTTAACAAGTAGTTTCAAGCATGCTTTAGCTTGTTTTGAATGAAAACCTCCAGCCATACCAGCCCTTTTCGGAGAAGACTGAACACCCCTGATGTAATCAAAGACATTTCCATCAAACTTCTAAACCCCTGACCTTTGCCAGCAGCAGCAAGCTTCTTCTTGGAGGGGATTTGCTTGAGGGTTCTGCCATTCAGGAAAAGTGTTATGCCCCTCGATTTATCCAGGTGCCCCAGGATCTTACTGTGGAAGAGGGCCGTTTCTGCCGGATTGACTTTAAGGTAAATAACCTGATACCCCTGATATTCAGTAATGCTTCTGAAATTATATATGTATATATATATATATATATATATATATATATATATATATATATATATATATATATATATATATGTGTGTGTGTGTGTGTGTGTGTGTGTGTGTGTGTGTGTGTGTGTGTGTGTATACGCTACTTACTATGCTACTCTCTCTCTACATAAATAAACTACCTCTTTGTTTCTATTGCATTTTATCAGCACCACTTACCACTTACCAAAGTGCACTTTGCAGTTCTAAAATTATTGACTCTAGTCCATATGTCACTCTGCATACTTTGTTAGCCCCTTTTACCCTGTTCTGCAATGGTCAGAACTACCACAGTGCAGGTATCATTGGGTGGTGGATCTTTCTCAGCACTGCAGTAACACTGACATGGTGGTGAAGACAATGACGCAGTTTTCTGCAATTTGACATATACGTTTAAAGACTTTTGGGCAGATTATTTTAAAACTTCACTAAATTCACAAAAGTTTTTGTACCTCAGTAATCATTTTATGTTAGGGTAAATACTGTATATTTATTTAGAGATTTTCATGTCACATATTTGTGTTGTTATGGATGAAAATACCCTAGCTTACACTGCTGTGGAAAAAGAGCTAAATTTTGTCTGCCTCACCCAAAAAGGGGCATACATTAAGGAACATAGATTTACATAAAAAGACTATACCCACAATCCAAATTAATTTAGAGAACATAGATAATAAATAAATAAATGAACCTGCCAACATGGTAATAGCTGTATTTTCAAACACAATGCATAGGAAGCAGCAAGAGTGTAGATGAGACTGCTCACTGCCATAAGATTCACACAGCTCTCCTTTACCAATATTAAATAGGATGCTATGCTATCACAAATCATGGCTAGCTAGTGAGCCAGAAGGCTAAACAACTAAATTGAGGGATGGCTACTAAATAACTAATAGGAAGAAATGACATGAGTTTCAATAGATTAAAGACAAAGGAAGCTTATATGCAAAAGAAAAATATGTTTTAAGGTTGGATTTGACTGCTGAATTTGTGAAGGGAGAGAGTTACAGAGGCACAGACCAAGTCTGGAAAAAGCTTGCTCACCAAAGCGATGGAGGTTGGATGAGGGAATATTAAGCAGTCCAGCTGTAGAAGATCGGAGAGTGCAAATAGGCTTGTAAGGTTAACTTTAACCAGTACTAGCCATAGCCAAATATCTTGCAAAGCAAACTATGCCTATTTTTCTCAGATGCACCTAAGTGTGTATAACTCATTGCATTTCTTTTTCACACATTTGAAAAAGGGATTGATGCACTACTAACCACTTCAGCAACACACTGTTCATCAGCTGTTCAACATTGATGCGCACAGAGTGCTGTGTGTGTCTGTACCTGCTGTTGCCCAGTTTTGGAAGAAACCAATACCATAGGAAAAGGGGTGTGTGACTTTTTAAGGTATGATCTCTGACATAATTAGAAGAATACATTTGACTCATAATAAGAAATCACCATAGCTACATATTATAAAAAAAATAACAGTAATAAAATTACAAAAAATACAGATATCAAAAATCTGGTGGGTCATGTGACCCCCAGCTTGAATGGGCCTTATGCCCCTGAAGGCAGAAGCTCATCTGTTGCTCCACAGTTTGTGTTAGTCATTCTCTCGCCCCTCACTAGTGGTCACAGGATGTTGTCCACTGGATATTTTTGGTTGGTGGACTATTCTGAGTACCGCAGTGACAGTGTTTAAAAACTTACGCAGCACTGCTGTGTCTGATCCACTTAAACCAGCCCAATACAAACTAACACACCATTGTCCATATCATTGTCACTGCAGTGCTGAGAATGTTCCACCATCCAAATAATACCTGCTCTGTGATGGTTCTGACTATTGAAGAACAGAGTAAAAGGGGGCTAACAAAGCATGCAGAGCGACAGATAGACTACAGTCTGTAACTGTACAACCACAAAGTGCACCTGCATGGTAAGTGGGCCTGATAAAATGGACAATGAGCGTAGAATTTTAAGGTTATGGCTAAACAGTGTACACATACACTCACACACACACACAGTGCATGTGTGTGTGTGTGTGTATACACATACATATTTTTTTTTCTTCTATAGGTTGGAGGTTTACCAACCCCTGATGTCACTTGGTATCTGGATGGGAAAGCTATCCGACCTGATGATTATCATAAGATGCTTGTATGTGAGAAAGGTGTCCATTCCTTCATCATTGAGATTGTGACCGTTCACCATGCAGGTGTATATGAATGTGTTGCCAGGAATCGCGCTGGAGAGAGTCACTTCTCCCTGCGTTTGGATGTAATTGGTGGGCACTCATTAAATAATCTCATCATTCCAAGATTTTTGATATCTTTATCATATAAATTGATTTGGAGTCTTTTCTTTCATTCTTAGCTCAAGAATTGCAGTGCCCACCCATTTTTGTGGTTAAAATGCAGAACCTACGGGCCCTTGAAGGTGACACAGTGAGGTTAGAGTGCAAAGTGTCTGCTTCGCCTTCTCCACAGGTCTACTGGAAGAAAGACAAGGAAATGTTGCGCATTGATCCCACCAGAATGAGGTCTGTTTACCACCACTATACATCATAGTGTTGTCTTTTAGTTTGTCAAAAGGAATGATTAAACACATAGACATGTTTGATGATGGCAAAGAAAGATTACAAAGAAAATTTTAGAAAGTAGTAGTTAAAAAAAGGTCTCCAATGTGCATCTGAAGGCTACTTTCATAATGTTGGCAGTGAAAAGCCTCAGCAAACAGTTATTAGTGTACATTACATGGAGATTAAAGAGTAGCATGGTTCCTGTGCTGCAGGATAGGCATATATGCATGTTAGAGAGTCTTACGTATTACAAAATGCTTCCTTGATGCTCCCTGTTAAAATGTGTCTTTTTACTCTTTATAGCATCATATTAATTTAATTTCTTTATTTGTTTTAACTACATACAGGTTTTGATTAATGGCATGTTAATTGGCAATAATACTGATGTATATGATGCTGTAATACTAACTTGATTTTCAAGTGTGATTTTCCAAAATATTTTTTTTTAGCTCCCCTGCTTCTTAAAACAGTGTGAATGTGTGTGTGAATGTGTGTGTCTGTGTATAGAGGGGGTCAACAGGGGCAAAAAAAAGAAAAATCTGTCAAGTGGAGCAACTTGCACACGTGCAAATGTGACATCGGAATCAGAGAAAAAAATACTTTTGACTTTGTTTGTGAAACCATGAATTAACTACTACTAGTATGCTTCTAGTACACTCTTTAAAAAGTTGCCACAAAAGGTTCTTTGAGTGATGACTTTGAAAGTTTGCTAAAGAACCATGTTTGAAAAAGAGATTTGCAAGCATTAAGGAGCTTTTAAAGGTTTTAAAGAACCTTCACATAATGTTCAGTTTATTCACCTTAGATTTACAGGGACAATGCACATTAATAAACATTTCTGTCAATGTGTCAAAACTGTAGTCCCTGGGCAGGTACAAAAGGACAAAAACTTACATAATACATTTACATAAAAAATTACATTAAACATTAAAGACACAACAGTTGTAACATGATTTACATACTATGACGACTTTCTTGATTGTTTTGTAGCTATAATTTTAAATGCTATGCATTCTCTTATATGTATAGGCAGTTCATTCTAGGTGCTCTTACTAAAATACTGGCTGTCCAAAAAATTTCTTCATTACAGGTATCACAAAGGCTTTGAAAACCTATGACTTTTAAATCTACTGCTCAGCAAAGAGAATCTTTAAATATGACTTATTTAATACTTGTATTTTGTAGATCAGTATAATTTTACAAGAGTGGTAGAAAAACACATTGCAACATAATTTGAAATAGGGTAAGTTACGCCTCATATTCTGCACAGCTGTATGTACCACAGTAATGTTGCCTTTGGTGTCTTTTAGTCTGTCCCATGACAGTTCTGGACATCAGTGTCTGTTCATTGACCGGGTGGTGAAATCTGATGCAGGCTGGTATACTGTATCTGCCATTAATGAGGCTGGAATGTCCACCTGCAATGCTAGGTTGGATGTGGCAAGTAAGTACTCCTATTAATTTTGTTTTAATGTCCTGCTTAGATTAATCAAAGTATGTTTGGCTAAGTGTAATCTTCATAATTTATTAACAGGCGGGGCTGCTCCTCAGTATAAAGTTCCTGTTTGGTTTATTTAAAATTTGTCTATGCATCATTTTTTAGGGTGTTCAAGAATATGCGATATCTAAGGACAGGAGCAGCCAAATACATCATAAGATAACACAATGTCTGTGTTTTTTTTTCCAGAACAAACAATGCCACACCCAACACATCACTAGGGAAATACACTCAAACAGCAGTCAATTTTGTTGTTATGGCATAAAAAATAAAATGTATGAGCATCTTGACCCACTATTTTACTTTTCTTGTACAACTTAATACAAATGCACTGATCACTAGTTTTCAAAAAAATAATAGATAATGTGAGGGAATGAAGACCCAGAGTCATCCAGACAAAATTTCAAAATTAGACAGAAAATGAATGGGTTGGGATTAGTTTTGTCCCCATCATTTGGTCAGCTGAGAAATTAAGGGGGAGGAGGGGCATTTTAACCTGGGGGCATCTTCTGTAAAGAAGTAAATCACGATCAATGGCTGGAAAATGTATTGTAAGTATACGGTCCCATTGTGCATTCCCAACCTGTATTTTTTCCTTTGCTGTGATGGGTGATGGTTATAAATCTTGGTACTCCAGGTGGAAACAGATCACAGTGGCTATGACGTGGAAGAGCTATTGTTCCAGTGACACATATTACATTAAGGAGTGTGTAGATTATTTGTTGTACAGGCAACTAAAAGACTTAACAGAAGGTGTGGCTTCTGATTTTCTCTCAACTTCATTCCTCATAAAGTGGCCAGTGAATGGAAGTAAAACATAAGTTCTACCAAGACTATCTGAAACCCTGAACATTTAACAGCTTTTTATTCTCAGAAATATTGTGCCAAGGAATGTGCATGAGAGGACAAGCTCTCATCTATAAAACAAAACAACACAGCTTTTTCTGTGGCCCAACTGTACAGATTTAAGTTTTAAGTGTAAATTATACCATCTGGTATTTCTCTTAAATGACCCAATTGATGGTAAGCCATTTGAGACTGACATATCACATAAGTTCATTCAGATTTTAAACTAAAACATATACCAGCTGTCACAGTTCTTCTCCATTAGTTCTCTTTTTTTTCTACCAACTAATAATGTCCTTTATTCCAGCTCGGCTGTGCAAGACAGGCCCTCCAGCCAAGCCACTGAAGATGCTTCCTATCATCAACCAGTTTTCCTCCTTGGGCTCAGAAAGTAGCCCTCGGCACACTGCTCCTCTGTATGAGAGTGAGGAGTTATAGACTTTCCTGTGAGCCTTCAAGTATGTTTTTGTTTTGAGAATTACTGTAGAATCATAAGCATTATTCTTATTCTTTGTACTTACATAAGCCATATTTATGCTGATAAAGTAGTATCTTTCCCATCCCTGGCATTTATCAAATGCACTTTAGCCTGTGTTTTATCATAACATCCAAGCAACTAAGGAATGATTTCAGAGATAAACTTCACTGACAAATTGCCATGATGTCAGTGTCATGATGGTTTACTGTTGTTGGTATAGAACAAACGTGGGTGTAATTAATGTGGGTGGTAATTGTTGAGCCACATCTTACTTTAGAGAGAATAAATCATTTTATATATATATATATATATATATATATATATATATATATATATATATATATATATATATATATATATACATACACACATCAATGTTTAAATATTTAGAAACTGAAAAAGTGTTCAGTTTAAGCTGGAATTTTCCTTTAAGAGCTAAAATGTTGGAATCTGTTGAAAAAAAATGTCTTATGAAGCTTCACTGTGCATCACATTTCTGTTCCATTCTGTAGACTCCATATACATATAGAAGGTGGACAAACTAACAGAAACACTTAATATATTAATTTTATTTGGCTTATAAAGATTAAAGCTACCCTTTGTATTCAGAACAGCTTCAATGCCTCTTGGAATTCTGTCATACAAGTCCTGCTATATATAGTGGAATTGGTCCATTCTTCAGGACAAAAAGCCTCCAGTTCTTTGAGGGATGAAGGACAGTTCCATAATCCAGAGCTTCCCATAAAGATTGAATGATGTTTAGAGCAGCTAAGTAGAGAGGCTGTGGAAGGTATTTGACTACTGATGTTCTTGAACCTGTTTGGCCATGTGCACAGGGGAATATGGGAACATCACAGAGCAATGTTTGCACCCAAGTGTGCCCCAAAAAGCAGTCGTCTGACCTAATGATGGCTAGCCACATCTTTATGGACTCATCACCAGTTGGCAAGAGACATTGCGAGCTAAAGACATTTTGGTTGTTTCCCTATTATATAGACCTTTATGTGGGAACAGTATTAAAGACAACTCTTTAGACTATAGCACCCCATTGCTTAGGGGTCCAGGTTTCGTCCCATTCCTTACATCAGACTATCAAAAACACATTTAAAACTAATGTTAGGATTTATTCTATTTCATATTCTTTTTCATGTTCTGTTTCTCACATTTCATCCACCCCATATATGTTTTGGGAAGGTGTTCCTTTGTGTGTCAACGTGGATACATTTTTAGAATACCTGTGTATGCAAACAGTGTAAAGATTATCTTTATTGATTGTAATCAAATGTCTATTATTCATCTACCTTTGTGGGTATCTTGTTTTAAATGTAATGCTGTCAAAAGTCATATTGTGTATACACATGGGAAAAAATCAGCTGTGTCAAGCTAAATGTTCAGAGGGCATCCATATGCAAAGTTCAACTGAAGCTATAGAGGATAAACTTGCTGGGATCCTGTGTCAGAATGTTTGGCATCTATGCCACCATCTCTATCTGTTTTACAAGTACTTTTGTATAGCAATAATAGCAACCTTTGAAAATGCAAATAAAGACATTAAAATCAGGCATAAAATGGGGTTGTAAATCTACACTGAAAGAGAGATGTCATGCTTTTTAACCACATCTACATTGTCATGGCTATTTTGACCTTCAGATCAGTAGTGTAGTCCTAAGAAAAAAAGTACATTTTCAGTTCATGTTCAGTTTTTATTTCCAGTTAAAAATACTGTAAAACAGTTTAGAGAGAGAGAGAGAGAAAGAGAGAGAAAGAAAATACTGAAACACAGTTATTCCAGGGTTGGTGCCACTACAGTGGCCCACTGAGTCAGATGACAACAACATTTAAAAAGCAAATGAACATTGAGAACACAACAGCTTTTAGGGAGAAATCAAAAACATTAGGGAGAACACAGATACATTAAGGGAGAACAGACCACTGTAATTGTGTCATCATTTTGTATGTCATTTTCTATGCTCTTATGCCCATTTAAGGAACTCAGGGTCTAAAAGTAATTCCTTTATGAGAAAATAGAGTTTTCGAAAATTGCCTATTTAAATCCTGTGATAATCAAAAATGTCCCAAAGCTAATACGTTTTGTCCTATGAACATTCTTCTCTTGAGTATCACGGGTTCCTTTGAATTACAAAGTCATTAAAGAGTTGAATTATGAATATTGCTACATGTAAGCTGGGCGGCAGGGTGGAACAGTGCTGCACTGCCACCTCACAGCAAGAAGGGCCTTTTAAAACAAATAATGCCATTGTAGGTCATAATTTATTCTTTAGATTACTTGTCACCTTCCTGGCACTGACTTTGTAATTTTGTCATTTTTATAGTATTCTCAAGTATATGGTTCTTAGTAAAACAGAAAGAAATAAAAAAAATCTCTCTGAAAGTGTGGCTCTAGCAGGCAATTTGATGTGTATCAAAAATCTAATGTAAACTTTCAAGCACTTCTAATTCGTCTGCAAAAATAAAAAATAAAAAAAAATTGCAAGATCTACCATTGAGTTCACGCTAGGGGAAATAGCCCCACCCCTGTAGTCATTGGCAGCTCAGGTTGACCAAGTTAGCCAAAGTCAGGCTAAGTCAAAAACGAACGCAGCCATAGTGATGTGATGCCGAATGAGTGATAAAAAACAAGGCTTTCTGAAGCTTTGAACATTTTCGAACCACTGGTTGCATCCAAAACTGCATACCACCATAGTAAACAGTATGCCAAAAATAATCCACCACCACTAGAAATGCATTCTTTTGTATAGTAGCCTATGTGTGGTATTGTAGGATGTGGTCTCAGATGCAGTTATTGTATTAAAAATTGGTTCTCTATTGGAAGTTTCATTCATAGCACACGTGGGGGACATCTGCTGGTGAAAAGGATGATGTGCAGTAAACACTGATAATGGGTCATAAATGTTACATCATGCACATTAAAAGCACTGCCTTTCTGCAAATGTCTGTGATGTTGATGCTTGTCAATTGGCAGTCAGACATTATAATGTTTATTTCAACTTTATATAAATTTGCTCCTTAATTAAAAGTGTCTAGTGTCAGGGTTCATTTAATGCTCTCTGTGAACTGGTTCCATTTAAGAGCAGCAAAGTAGCTAAACGCTGCTTCTCCATGTTTAGTCTTTACCTTAGGCTGGACTAACTGACAAGTTCCTAATGATCTGCTTGGCTCATACTGCTGCAACATATCAACTAAATATGCTGGTCCTACACCACTGAGCAATTTATGGACCTGTAATAGTATCTTAAAGTCTATTCTGTAACATACTGGTAGCCAGTGTAAGGATTTAAGAATCAGGGTGATGAGGTCCCTACTTGTCTTTTTTGGGAGTCCAGTTAGGACGCCATTACAGTTATAATTCCTGCTAGAAATAAAAGCTAGAAGCAGGCTGAGACCCATGATTTTTCCCAGGCTATAGTTCAGTTGTTTAGCGTGGACCTGAGGACGAGTGGAGTGTTCACACATCAAACTGACCAAAAGGGTGTTCTGACATCATTTGGCATGTTGTAGCTCATGCAGCAGATGAAGAGGAACTGCTGCATATATAAAGTCAGACAAAATGTCAACCAGCATGCATCAAGTCAAGTCAGAATGCACGGCCGCATTAAGTTGAATTCAGCCACTGACTAGTAAGCACATCTACTGTGCTGTGCTTAGCCATACTGTCATTTTTAGGATGATATATTCTAGTCATTTCATGAACATTCTCATTTCAGTCACACACAGCAGTGTTCAATACAATTAAGCCTTTCTTCAGGCCATTAACACCACTATAGCATAAATGCTAATTCAGTTAGCACTGCTGGCATCAAGCTAACTGTGGTTCACCTAAGCAATTCATACCCAGACAGATGCTGTAGCTAAAACTGACAACTAAATAGACATTCACTTAACAGTCAGTAACTGAGCATTTCCAAAGAAGGAGCCTAGTTTGCCTGTTACCTATTAGCCTGTCATGCTTTGTTTCCATAAAAGCAGAATACTTGTGAAATACAGCGTGTTCTATTGTGTTATTATGCTAAATATAGCATGTGATATTATTTAGTGGGTAGTTGATGGCAAACATTAACATCAAAGAGCATAAGTAAAGTTAACTCAAATGCAGCAGGTTAGCTAAGTAGCTAACAAGTTGTCATGCACATTTCAGTTAGAAAACTGATAGCGATAGTGAGAGCGATAGCGAATAAACTGTAAAAAAAAAAAAACTTATTGCTGGTAGGCTTTTTATTCACAACTGTGAAATTTTTTACAGGGCAAAGAGGCAAGTGAGATAACAGTATTCATCCTCCATTTTAAAAGTTTCCTAAAGTCTAGCCATTGACATGACCCTATTTCTGGCCAGGGAGCATATACCACTGAAGTCCTGTCATTCTATAGTCAGAGGCATACTCTTATGCCCATATAAGAAACTCAGGGTCTAAAAGGAATAGAGTTTTTGAAAATTGCTACTGTTGCAACCTGTGGTACTGTTGCAACCTGTGTTCCAAAGCTAATTTGTTCTGTGCTATGAACATTTTTCTCTCAAATATTAAAATATGAATATTGCTACATGTAAGCTAATGCCACTGCACACTAAACTGACAAAAGTAGACTCAGCCTCCTTAAAAGACTGCAAAAATCAGCACGCTTTGCCACTGTGGTCAAGTATTTTGAAGTACAGAATGAGGGCAGACAAAAAGAAGTCAGAAAAAAAAGAAACAGGTTTCCATGTTAAGTTATGGTGCAGTTATCTGTTCTTCATCTGGTACTCACTGAAATATAATAGGTCTTTCCCTTCTGTTCATAGCTTGTTTTGACAAGCTCTACACTAACCTTTGTACCTACCGCTTACTGCATTCAGGCTAATTCAGTACAGACTCAGACCTAATATTACTGCCTACCTCCCTTATAAGCTTATTTAGGCTATCAAAAATCACTAATTATTCTTTTAATGCAACATTAAAAGTAACATTTTTTGATAATTATCCCGTTTCACCTTATATGGTGCAGGAGTTACATTCTTGCACCTGAGGCGTTATAATAATAACTACTGTGCCATTTAAGGTAGAACAGGAAAATTTAAACAAACAGCTGGGGGGAAAAGTAGCTGACTTCAGGTTTCTTGAGAGTTGAAAGGCATGAGAAGGGATGAAGGAGGTTTGCTCTGTTTCTGCTTGACAGGTGTTAGGTAACTTCTTTTTGATGTCCACAGAACCTATAAGTCAGTATTGTTTTCTCCTGTTTGCTAATGTTTGTGATGGCTGATCACAACTGCTGCACCATTTAAGGTGGAAAAGAAAAATTTGCACAAGAAGCAGGCAAAAAAGAAACTAACTCTACCTTGTGATTTTAACACTGGTAGCCTTACTTTTG